TGTGGACCTATGTGAATTGTCTCTATTTCATTACAAAATTTATCAATTAAAGCTGGCTCCATTTTGAGCCCCTTGATGATCTCTAGTGATCAGCCTATCAATGTGTTGCTATCTTGATGTATTTTTTTAAGTAAACTCCTTTTAATTCTTTTTTTTTCCTGAGTTCTGCCTCATTAATCAAGGCAAAAGCCTGAACAAAGAATTTTCCTTTTAATAAAAAGTGAGCCAAGCATGATTTTGAGGGCTTTCACCCTTGGCTATTACTGTGGGTGGGCCTGCTTCACCTTCCACAAGCTGGAAATCAGATACTGCCTGATGGTGGGCTGGAGGACCCCTCCCCTGTGGTTAGCTAAGTATGAAGTGATGGAGAATTTAGTTCCCCAAAACTCAGGACAGATAAAGAAGAAATAGGTCCCAAAATCCAAATTTTGATTTTTTTTTTATTTGTGCATGAAGAAGGCAAGGCAGAAGAAAAGGCAAAAGCTATTCGGAATGGACAGGTGAGTGAATGGTCTTGCATGCATTTGCATGAGAATACCATTATTCATAAAGGGAGCAGGAGGAGCAAGCCAGATGAGGTGTAAAAGCTTGGGAATATCTTGCCAGTTGTGTCTGCAACTGAGTGCTAAGGCTTGGTAGGGACTGGGAAAATTATAGGAAAAAAAAATTCAGCCACATAAAGCATAGAACCTTAGGTATTATACTCAGTTAAATGTACATTTTAAATGTAGCGTAGGCAAGCATACGACTTTCAACACTGTTGAGAGACTTTAAAACAGCAATCGCCCTCAGACCAGCCTACCCCACCTCTTTAAGTACAGCATCTGAAACCTTCTTGTTAGAGGACTCCTCTGCTGTCCTCCCAACTGCTTCCTGCTGTCTTCCTCTTCAGCTCTTCCTACCTCTGTTATCTATTTTTTTTTTGGCTGGGTTCTTCATTCTCAATGGCTCAAATCAGAGTCTTTTGGTGGTCCATGATACATCTTTCCCTTATGAAATAAAATCAATCTTAGAAGACTAACAAACCTTATTTAATCATCCCAGAATCTCTACGTGATTTCTTCTACTTATCACTTCGTGAATTTTAACCTCACAAATTCTAAAAACCATCACATGAAAATGAACTGAGAAACCACATTATCCTTTAACCTCATTCACTTTTCTATCTTCGAATATGTCCTCTCAGTTATTTACTCCACCCTCCTAATTGTCTTTTTCATATTTATCTGAAGACTGTTTCTTCACATTTTAATTTTAGCAGTTTTTTCATAAAGAACATTTCTTTTTCTTCACATTTTTGTAGCCAAGCTATTTACACAAAAAAGGAGCAATATGTTACAAGTTGATTTAATTCTTTGTCTTTACATAAAAATTTACTTTTTATAACACTTACCATATGGGGTTGTTGTGAGGGTCAAATGAGGTCATATGAATAGAGTATTTTACAAACCTTAAAACACCATGTAAATGCTGGCTATTATTATTGCAGACTATTTTCTGCCCCTTTTATCAAACTCCTCATATATTTAAGCACCATGCCTTAAATGTGCTTTGACACAATAAAGCTTTAGCAGCAATAACTAAACAAGATCAATTTTCTTTGCAGCCAGAGAAACAACTCCCAATACTTAAAACATCAAGATAATATACATTTTGCAGAACTGCTGAATAGACATTATTACACTTCACATCAGTTCTTCATTGCCTTCCTTTAAAGTGCATCTCATCTATAAATCTAGGCCAGGACTTGAGGCTTCTCATCCTATCTATAGTCAATCTATCTATAAGTATTTATTAGGCACCTACTATGTGCTAGATAGTATGCGAAGCAATGGGGATACAAAAAGAGGCAAAAGATGGTCCTTTCCATCAAGGAGCTCACAATCTGATGGGAGAGACAATATGCAAACAAATATATATAATAACCTAGAAATAATTAACAGAGGGGAGGCATTTAGGGTTAGGGTTACTAGACTTCAAAGGATTTGGGAAAGGCATCCTATAGAAAATAGGAATTTACCTGAAATTTGAACAAAGGCAGGGAATTCAGGCGGCTGAGCTGAGGAAGGGGAGTGTTCCAGGCCTGGGGGACAGCCAAAGACAATGCCCAGAGCTGAGAGATGGAGTCTTGTTTGAGATATAGTAAGGAGACCGGTGTCACCGAATCAAAGAATTACATGGTAGTTGTAAGGTGTAAGAAGACTGGAAAGGTAGGGCAGCATTAGGTTATGAAGGACTTTGAACATCAAATGGAGGATTTTGTACTTGATCCTGGAGGTGACAGAGGGCTACTGAAGCTTATAGAGCAGGGTGGTGACGTGGTTGGACTTGTATTTTAGGAAAATAACTTTGGCAGCTGAATGGAGGATGGTTTGGAGCTGAGAAACACTTGGGGTAGGCAGACTCACCAGTACACTATTGCAGTGGTCCAAGTATGAGGTGATAAGAGTATTCAACAAGGTATTGCTCCACTTTCTCTCCTCTCACTCTCTTCTTAATCTTTTTAAATAACCTCATTATCTTCTATTACTCATTATCTTTTCCCCTAAATGCCCATTCTTCTCCCCCAACTTTTCTCCTATTCCAACTTCCCTATAACTTTTGAGGGCAACACCATCCTCCCAGTCCCTCAGGCTTATAACTTAGGAATTGTTTTTCATTCCTCACTATCTCTCACTGCACCTCAATCCCGCCTCCAATATCCAATCTGTTGTCAAAGCCTGTCAATTTAACCTGTGCATCACCTCTCATATATGCCCCTTCTTTCCTCTGTCGCCACTCAGACCCTCATCACCTTCCCTTTTTCCTCCTTACCATCCCTACTTCCTTCCCTCCTCCTTTCCTTTCTTCCTTCCTAGTCTATTGAAACGGTCTTGCTGGGGCCTGTCTCAAATCTCTCCTCATTCCAATCCATCCTCCCTTCAGCCACCAAAGTGCTTTTCCTAAAGCACTGTCATCCATCATGTCATTCTCCTACTCCAAAACTTTAGTGGCTCCTTATTGCCTATTTGGCATTAAAAGCCCTTCATAATCTATGTCTTTCCTACCTTTCCAGTTTTCCTAAACCTTCCTCTCTGCCATGTACTCTTTGATTCGGTGATACTGGCTTTTGATGTTCCAGAAAAAAGACATCTCTCAGCTCCATACATTTTCTCTGGGTATATATACCCCCCACCCATTACGCTTTTCCTTCTCATCCCTGCCTCCTGGCTCCTCTGGCTTCCTTCAAATCCCAACTAAAATTCTATCCTCAACAAAGAAACTTTTCTTAATCCTTCTTGATTCTAGGGCCTTCTGTCTTTTAGATTTTTTCCCCCTATTTATCCTGTTTATAGCTTGTTCGGGCATATTGGTTTGCTTATTGTCTCCTCCATTAGACTGTGAGTTCCCTTGAGGGCAAGGACTGTCTTTTGCCTCTTTTTTGTACTCCCAATGCTTAATATAGTGTCTGGTGTGTAGAAGATACTCAATAAATGTTTATTGACTTACTGACTGGTGGCAGTTTCAGAGGAGAGAAGAGAGCATATTCAAGAGATGTTGCAAAGGTAAAATTGACAGACCTTGGCAACAGATTGGGTACAGGGGGTAAGAGATGGTGGAGAGTCAAGGATAACACCTAGGTTGGAAGTCTGAGAGTCTGGGAGGATGGTGGTACCCTTGATGGCAATAGTGAAGTTTTAAAGAGGAGAGGGTTTAGGGGGAAAGGTAATGAGTCTGGCTTTGGTCATGTTGGGTTTAAGATGTCTATTGGACATCCAATTGCGATGTCTGAAAGGGTGTTGAAGGTGCTAGATTGGAGGCAAGCAGAGAGGTTGGGGCAGGATAGGTAGATTTGAGAATGATCACCATAGAGATGATCTTTAAATCCATGGGAGCTGATGAGATCACAAGTCAAGTAGTGTAGAGAGAGAACAGAAGAGGGCCCAGGATAGAGCCCGTGGGACACTTGTGGTAAGAGTGGGTGATCTAGATGAAAACCTAGCCAGAGACTGAAAAGGAGCAGTCTGATAGGTGGGAGGAGAAGCAAGAGAGAGTGATGTCCTGAAAACCTAGAGAGAAGAGAGTATTAAAGAGGAGAGTGATGAAGAGTAATCCAAGGCTGCAGAGGAGTTGAGGAGAATGAGAATGGAGGAAAGGCCCCCGGATTTGGCACATGAGAAATCTTTGGTAACTTTGGAGAGAGCAGTTTTTAGTGGAATGCCAAGGCAGGAAGCCAGGTTGTAAGGGATTAAGAAGAAAATGAGAGGAGAGAAAGTGGCTTTCTGAAGGAGTTTAGTCCCAAAAGGCAGAAGAGATATAAAACAAGAGTTAACAGGGATGGAAGAATCAAATGAGGATTTTTTGAGAATAGGGGAGAAAGGGTTATATTTTTAGGTAGCAGGCAAGGAGCCAATAGATGGAGAAAGATTAAAGATAATTGAAAGAATGGAGATGACAAAGAGAGCAATCTTTTGGAGGAGATTGGAGGGAATATTTTCACTTGTGCAGGTAAAGGAATTTGCCTTGGTAAGGAGTAAGGCTATTGCTTGCCTTCTCAAGGAGGGAATAAGAGTGGGAGGGAAAGAAAAAAATTAAAACTCAAAATTTCAAAAAATGAATGTCAAAAATTCTATGTTTACAAGTAATAGAGAAAAATTTAAAAAATTAAAATAATAATTAAATAATAATTAAAATTAAAGGTAAAGAATAAAGCTACCTCTTTGTGTGAGACAGGGTAAAAGAAGAGAGAATGGCAAAAGGCATATAAATGATATAAGATGAAAGAGAAGAGAGGAAAGGGAGCGACCAGCAAATGGCCTCAATTTTTTCCATGAAATATGAAACAAAATTTTCAGCTGAGAGAAGAGGGAGAGCCTTTGGGAAGTTTGAGGAGGAATGAAAAGATTTGAAAAAGCTACCATGCAGAGGGGGATATGTATTGAGTAGTGAAGGCCCAGTTGAGGATGTGTAACATAAATTTGCAGTGGTAACATTATAATTAATGTTTTTGACTATTCCAGGTTATCCAGTCATCATTGTTAAAGCTTGACAGTGAACTCACAGGCGTGGAGGAATTTGTGGAACACTTGGCTTTCTTAGATTATATTTCTTCAAAAATGCCATCACTAGATAGAGAATATTATGTTATCTCCCAAATGTATTCAATCACAAAACACTACAATGTCAATATTTCACCAGAGCAAGTTGCACTGCTTCAGGTCCTTCTTTTCAAATATAATCAACTTAAATCAGCTTTTAAATTTCATGAATCAAATAAGGATAACGCTATTATTAAGTTCAAGTCAAATCTGGATGAGTATGTGCTCACTCTGCAAAATAAAGTTAGAGACTTGAGGGGCAAGGTAAGTTTCTTTTATAAGAAATAAATATTCTATCTCATTTAAATCTGTATATGGATGAATAAGTAAATAGGTTTTTAAAAAATATTTGAAGATATTGGTTGTGTTTTGGGGAAAAGGCTTGTTGTAGTTCAGTCGTTTTTCAGTTGTGTCCAATTCTTCATGACCCCATTTGGGGTTTTCTTGGCAAAGATACTGGAAGTGGTTTGTCATTTCTTCTCCAGCTTATGTTACACATGAGGAAATGAAGCAAACAGAGCTAAGTGACTTGCTCAGGGCCACACAGCTAGTAAGTGCCTGAGACAAATTTGAACTCAGGTTTTCTTGACTCCAGGCCTGGCACTCTATCCACTGCACCACCTAGCTGCTATAGAGGATTATTAGATTGAGGCAAAAGACCAGGGTACAAGTGTTGTCACTGATTAACTGACTTTGGACAAGTTATTATACTTCAATTTCTCCATCTCTAAATGGAGTTGATAACCCTGGCCCCTCTTCACATGTGACAAAGATAGATAAAACATCCTATGGAAGCAATATAATGGGCTGCAGAGAGGAAGAACCCAGATTCTCATTTCAGTTTTTCCCCTAAGCAACTGTGTAACTTTGGACAAATCACTGAACCTCTCCAGATCAGCTTTTTTATCTGTAAAGTGAAAGAGTTTAATTAAATCATCTTGAAGATCCCTGCCAGTGGTGAAATTTGGCCATTCTAAGGAACTAGATTTCTCAGAACAAAAAGGGCTACATAAATGACCAGCCCAGGAATACAATCATGAACACATCACCCTACCAGTATTTAAAATAAATAAAATGAGCATTCTGTATCTTAAGGTGTGACTCTCCTTGGGTAAGTAAATTTTTTGTAAAGTTCTATAACACATTTACATAACACTTTGAGGTCTGCAAAATACTTTACATATGTTATCCCATTTGATCCTTACAGCAGCCCTTTGAAGTTGGTGCTATTATTATCCACATTTTACAGATGAGGAAACTGAGGCTGAGAGAGGTGAAATGGTTTGCCCTGAGTCACACAACTAGTAAGAATTTGAGGCAGTTAGTATTCAAAATCAAGTCTTCTTGACTCCCAAGTCCAGGATTCTATCTATTCACTGTTATTTCACTGCCTCTAATAATCCTACCATCACTGTTGCTTAGATTATTATGTTATGGCCCTAATTATGGCCACATTTATTACATTAATTGTACCAGTAAAAATATCCTGGTGATTTGACTAGTAATTAAAATTCTCATTTTCTAAGTTAATAGTTCGCCCCACCCCCTATGCTACTTCCTCACAGGCAAAGTATGGGATCCTGAGGGAGACTAGGCCAGATTTACTGTTGACCAAAAGCCTGTGGAGAAGGACTTCACATCAGTGTTGCTTTCAATTGCTGCTCCAGGGGAACTCTGATGTTTTCCCATTCCCCAACTCGCTTGATGAGAAACCCCTTTACTGTCATGGCTGCTGCCTCTTGAAATGCAGACCTGGTACAAATGTTCCATGTGGAAAGAACCCATAAGCACTGGGCTCATGTCTGTCACTTACTATCAATATAACCTCAAGCAAGTCATTTCATCTATCTGGGCTTTAGCTTTCCTATCTGTGCAATAAGAGATTTGGACTAGATGCTCTCCACCTGTACAATTCTTTGATTCTGATTCATCTCTGCCTTTTCAGTTGACTTGGTCACTTAAACATTCTGAAACTTAGTTTCCCCATCTGTAAGAAGAGTGGAGCAATATTTATTCATCCTACCTTGAAGTTCTTGTGAGGACCAAATGAAGTCATAATTGTCAGATGATTTGTGACTGTAATATGCTATATACATGCAAGCTATTATTCTACTCAGTTTTCACTTTCTGTTGTAGCATTTCAGGTATATAACTGAGCATTTTTAGGCAGAAAGCCTAATTTCAAAAGACTGGGCATTTGACCGAGAACGTATCAGAACCCATTTAAGCAGAGTACCAAGTTTTTAAATAGCTATTTCCCTCCACTACGGAATCTATTCTCTCCATCTTCTTCTGCCTAGGATTTCATCTTCTGGTAAAAGCATGCCAGTGTGACAATGGGCCAGAGCTAACTCTGTATTTGGATGGGGAGAGCTCTGGCTTACTCCTATATAAATCTTACTGGCATCAAATGTGACCACTATGCATATTATCTTTAGTTAGTGCATTATTATATTAAATGGAAGTGGTTCTTACACAAAATACACACTTACAGTTTTGTAAGTAAAATATTGTTTCATTAGATGCCTGTCAAGTGTTTTTAGTGAAGTGTCTTTGTGATTTTGTATGTCTATTCATCTCATCATTATCACCAACATTTGTTGAATGACAATTATGTACATAATACAGTGTGAGCAATTACTGGACCTTTCATCACTTTGAACTAATAAGGTAATAAGAACCTCCTGATTCATTCATTCATCCATTCAACAAATATTGTTGAGTGCCTCCTATGTTCAAGCCAGGAGGAGAGAGGGCAGAGTTAGGAAAATGAGTAAGACATAGTCCTTATCCTCAGAATCTCCACATGAAAGATAAAAAAATCCCTATAATACAAGGCAATATGGGGTCAAATGAGAGTGTTCTAAGGGTGGTGTGAGTTCAGATAATGCTATCCCTTGGGCTAAATGCTTTATACAATAATTAATAATTATTGTCTCAGATGATGATTACATATGTCAATAATGGATACCTAGAGCACAGAACTGAAAGGGCCATTAAGATTATCTAGATGAAAAAACTGAGGGCTGGAGAGTTGCAGAATTTATTTCTGATACTTTCAATAACCTCTCCCTCTTTGAAGTTCATGTCCTCCAGTTATATTCCTCTCCTTAGATTTCTCAATAACCTTGTTAGCTGATTTATGGATATCTGCTCCAACTCATTCACTGTCATCTTTCTTAATGACTTGGATATTATTTTCCTCTTTTGGACACTTTTTTTTCCTCTTAATGCAGCTTAAAATTACAGTAGCAGTTTTGTCTGTCATATCACTTATTGATCTTTATTGAACTTGGAGTCTATTGAAACACCCAAGACTCTTTGACATGAAGTGTTATCTAGTCATATCTGTAAATTTTTTACCTAATTAAAATAATTTCTATTTATTCCTATTGAATTTCATGTTATTAGATTTGACTTATGACTCTGGCCTATTGAAATCTTTTGGGATCCAGATCCTGTCATCCAATGTATTATCTATTCCTCCTCACTCCTCATTAACTGAAAATTTTGATATTTGGCATATTTGCCAGCTGTCTCTATCCAAGTCATTGATAAAAAATATTAACTAGAACAGGACCAAGGACAGAGGACTGTAACACAACACAAGACAATCTAGGCTGATATTTTCTCTTACTTTTCTTTCAGCCATACTTTCAGCCAACTCTGAGTCTTATTTCTGGTTAGATATAGTCTTATCATCTATGAGGTCACTGAAGAAGACTTTGTCTAGTGCTGGTCATGGTCCAGGCATATACAAGCATTTCTATGATCTGTTCTGTCAATCTAAGACTTTATTTTAAAAAAAATGTGAGTTTAGTCTTTTCTTATCTGTTCCCGATGAACCTATGGTGATCTTCAGTGATCATCATTTTCATTTACTATTCACTGATCAGTTTCTCTTTATTGGTCAGAATCAAATCCAAACTAGCTATTCATCTCATTGCATCCCCTGACTACTGAAAAAGAATGTGGCTACTTAGGCAAGCAAAGAAATTTGTCGGCTACTCTCCTTTCATCAGAGAACTCCAGCAGATATCTGTCCAGAAGTCATCTTTGACTTTCCTCCTTCTCATGCAGTTTCAAAATCCTATCAGTTCTCTCTCTGCAGAATCTTTTGAAATTATCTTCTATTCCATTCCCATTTTCTCCATCCTATTTCAAGATTTTTGTTATCTTCTCTCCTTCCAATATATCATGTACTCTGTTGTTCATGGTATTACCTTTGTATAGAGCTCTCATCACATTAATTTGCTGCACTAAAATCTCCTACGGCTTCCCATTGTACAATACACATTCTTTATTCTGGCATTCAGTGTCCTCCAATGTATTTCTCCAATCTATCTCTATGATTTTATCTTATGCTCTTTCCCTAACGCACTTTATATTCCAGCCAGATTGGACTATTCTTTGACCTCCATTCCTACATAACCTTCTCTCAATTCCATGCCCCAAATGGAATCCCTCTTATCAGAATCCCTCATCTCTGCTCATTGAAATTCTTCCCTGTTTCATGTTATACTTCTATAATACCTTTTCTAATCTTTTCAAACTGAAAGTCATTTTTCTCACCTTGAAGCAATCATAGAACATTGGTCCTTTCCTTGCCCAAGTATTCAACTATGTTGAAATATTCTTATTTGAGTCATAAATGTTTGTGTAGTCATCTTACAGCCTCTGAAATTATAGATTTCTTGATACTCAGTTTCTAAAGTAGTTCCTCACACATAGTAGGCATTTAATGACTGGTTGTTGAAATGAATAAGCTCACAGAGCTTGTCAATGGTAGATCAATGACTAGCCCCTAGATCTCTTGCTGGTTAACAGTTTAGTCTTACTTTTAAAAAATGAACTTAATTTCTGAATTCATTGGTCACAGAATTGTTTTTTATTGTTCCTTAGGTAAGAAACCCTGTTCTTACACATCCTGCTACTAGGCCAGTAACTGCCTTGGAAATTATTGAGTCCCTCTCAGAATAAACTTCAGTTCTATCCAACAAAGCTCAGACTTATTCAAATTATCAAGATCGTTTTGAGAGTTCTACTGCAATGAGAACTGTAGCTTTAGAGCGAAATATTGCACACACTGTGATGTCAGAGATCTCAGAAATTGAATGTGACTTAACTTTGAGGAAAATATTATGGGAAGCACAAGTGGAATGGGGGAATCTGTCTCATGTGTGGAAGAATAGCATTTTTGCCAATATTAATGTAGATTTCATTCAGAAGAGTGTTACAAGATGGATGCATATGATTTATATGCTAGATAAAGGTAAGTATGAGAATCATGAGTTACTTGCAAGAATTTACAATTTTAATATCTTATATGCTGTATGCTTCAGGATATACACAATTTAAAGTAACAAAGAAGTTATTAAGTAAAAAATAGTAAGTAAACAGTTCTTATCTTGGAAAATCAATCTTCAAGCTGGACTCAAGGATCGGGAGATTTTCAGTTGTAGCAGGGTTCAAGGTCAAACATCACATGTGTAATCCCAGGTGAAGTAATCATCCTTCTGTTACTAGATCATTTGCATTATTCATTTTCATCTAAGTTTCTAATGTAATTAAGAGGTTATGTTCTGATATTTTTACATTAACTACTAAAATTGTAATATCTCTTATTAACCAATTATCTCTAACACCCTGCTCCAACTTGCTAAATATTATTTATTAAATAAACTAGATAAGCTTCTTTTCCCTTAAAGACACTTATCAGCAGTACAACCTTGAGCAAATCACTTAACCTGTTTGCCTTATTTTCCTCAACTGTAAGATGGGGCTAATAACAGTTACCTACAGCTCAGAGTTGTTATGAGTCTCAAATGAGATAATTCTTGTAAAGCATTTAGCACAATGTCTGGCCCATAGATATTATCTAAAGTCACTTTAACTATTACTATGACTTTTAACTTCTTAATTCTAGAAACAATCCCAACACAGTTTTCCTAAAAAACTAATTAAAGAATCTTCCCAAGAATTCTCTTTGTATTTTTTCTTAAGATAAAGGATAAACTCTATTCTCTCAGAAATTGAATTCTCTCATTCCTTGTTTGTTTTCCCTTCAGTCAACACAACTAAATACTAGCCTCCTCACAGACTAATCACAGAAGAGCTGTTAAACTGCCATTCTAAGACTCCATTTCCTCTTAAGGGTAATAGAATTGGTGTGAAAAGTTTTCAAAGATAATTTTAAACTATGAAAGAATGACTAAATCAGGAGCAAGAACCTGTATTTATTGTGAAATCATACTTTAAATCTAGTGATTTGTGACTTTATGTGCCAGTTAAAACTCCCAGGTAGTCTTGGAAACCAGCCCTGCAGAGAGTGCCTTTCAGTAATTTCATCCACATATTGATTTTAATATTGCTATATTGTCTGAACCTTTCCCACTGCCTGTTGGGAATTGCCTCTGTTTTGAGGAGGGAATGTTCAAACAGTTTACTTTTGCCTAAACCATTGACTTTTTTTCAGACACCAGATAAATCAGAAGTGGTATTTTAGGCTATAATTCAAATGACACAGTTATGAATATCATGAGAGTTACCATTCACAATGTATTAATAAAGGAATTAAATTTAGAAATATACCCTTTATTGATTAAAACTGGGGTTATATTCCCAGAAATGTGAGTTTTACTTAAAATTATGTTTCAAGATCCAATCTCTTACATAAAACTTATTATAAATTAGATTACTGTTTCTGAAGAAATGACCAAATGACCTATCACAACACAAAATAAGAGACAGAAAGCTAAAAATAAAATGTGAGAGTATGGTGCTATATAGTACTTTCTGCCAGGGTTGGACATTGCATCCCATGTTTCTATTTTTTTTTCATTTTATGAACTTAACAAAAATCAATAAACATGAATGTTTCCTTATGTAAAGAACAGGAAAAGATGATTATTTATGACATTATGAAAAGTTGTCATGTATAGTTTTTTAAGCATTTGTTAAATTTAACATGATAGTTTCAACATTGCCCATTTGGGTCACCTTCTAAGTGTGGTTTGGGTTTTTTTATGATTGATTTAGGCTTTTTTCTTTCTTTTCCTTTTTTTGGTAGGTATCATTATCACTTCTGTCCCATCCCCCATGTCTCTCTCTCCCCACAAAAAAAAAAAGGCTTCCTTTGTAACAAATTCGTATGGTAAAGCAAAAATGAATCTATACATTGGCATGTAAGAAAATGCATGTCTCCTTCTGCAAATAAAATCACCTCTTTACAAAATTTATCATCAGTCTTTCAGAGTTATCGATCATTGCATTGAACATAGATCGTAAGTCTTCCAAAGTGGTTTTTCTTTATAATGTTGTAGTCATTGTATAAATTGTTCTGGTTCTGCCCATTTTGCCCTGCATCAGTTTATACAATTCCTCCCAGGTTTCTCTGAATCTATTTGTTAACAATATTTATTATGGTGCTATAACTTTCCATTATATTTATAAACCACAATTTGTTCAACCATTCTTCAATTAACAAGCATCCCTTAGTTTCCAGTTCTTTGTTATAACAAAAAGTGCTGTTGTGAATATTCTTATACATATTGATCCTTTCCTTCTTTCTTTGATATCCTTGTGGCATATGCCTACTAGTGGTATTGAATTATGAACTGATATGCACAGTTTAGAATAATAATAATAAATAGCTAGAATTTATATAGCACCTATTATAATATGCCAGGCATTATGCTAAGTTCATTACAAATATCTCATTTGATCTTAACAACCACTATAGAAGGTAAATGCTATTATGATTTCTATTTCACAGATGAGAAAACTGAAACAAACAAGGTTTAAAAGACTTTTCCAAGATCACATAGCTAGTAAAATCTGAGGCTGGATTTGAACTCAAGTTTTCCTGACTTTGAGGTCCAGCACTATATTTACTATGCCACCTAACTGCATCTAGTGAATTTGAGGATATTGTTCCAAATAGCTTTACAAATTGTATAGATCAATTCATGCCTCCACCAACAATATATTAGTATACCTGTCCACCCATTGCCTTTCCAATAATAGCCACTTTCCTGATTGTCATTTTTGCCAATCTACTGGCTATGAGGTGGAACCTCAGAGTTGTTTTAATTTACATATCTTTCAGTGATTAGGAACACTTATTTTTTGCATATGTTAAGGGATAGTTTGGGTTTCTTTCCTTCAGAGTTATTTCTTCAAATCCTTTGGCCGTTTATCACTTGAAGAATATCTCTTGTTCTCATTTGAATTAATTTTCTATATATCTCGGATATCTGGCCTTTTCAGAGAAACTTAACTACAATATTTCCCCACCACATAAGTGAAAAGTTTTTCTTCTAAGTTTATCTGGAATCATTATGTGTGGGAAAACATTTTCACTCTTATGTAATCAAAATTGTCCATTCCATTTTTTGTAATTCTTTCTATTCTTTGGTTAAGAATTCTTCTCTTTTCCATAATTATGCAATGTATTGCCTTCCATGCTCCTCAAATTTGTTTGATAAGTGACTTTTTATATCTGTCATGCATTCATTTCCTATTTATTGTGGCATATGATATGAGATATTGACCTAAACCTAATTTCTGTCAGACTGATTTCCAGTTTCTCTAGCAGTTATTGTTGAATAGTGATTTCTATCTCAATGATTGAAGTCTTTGGGCTTATTAAACACTATGGTATTGTGTTTATTTTCTACTTTGTCTTATGTACCTAATATTTTCTACTGATCAATCTTTCTATTTTTTAGCCAGTAGCAATAGTCCTGATGATTATTGTTTCATAGGATAGCTTGAGATTTGATACTATTGGGCCCCCTTCATTCCCAATTTAAAAAACTATTTCCCTTAAAATTCTTGACCTTTGGTTCTTCCAGATCAATTTTATTATTTTTATTTCCAGTTTTATAAAATGACTCTTTATAGTTTAATTGGTATGGTGCTGTATCTTTAAACTACTTTAGGAAGTATTATTATTTTCTTTACATTAGCACAGCTCAACCATGAGCAATTAATAACTTTCCAACTATTTGTTCATCTTTATTTCTGTAAATAAAGGTTTATAGTTATAGTTTTTTCATATGTGTCTTGGTAGGTGGACTCCCAGATGTTTCATGCATTCTGTGGTTATTTTGAAAGGAACTTTTTTTATATCTTTTTCTGTTGGATTTTGTTGGTAACATACAGAAAATTTAATGATTTATGTAGATTTATTTTATCCTGCTAATTTGATGCAGTTATGAATTGCTTCTCTTAAATTTTAGTTGAATCTCTGGGGTTCATGATATTATTAATATTGGCAAAAAGCAAAACTTTTTATTCCTCTTAGCCTATGCTTAGCTCTTTAATTTCTTTTTCTTGTATTATTATTACAAATAGTATATATCAAATTATATCTGAAGTATGTCAAATAGTAGTGGTAATAGTTGGCCTCCTTGCTTTACCCCTACTCTTATTGAAAATTGTTAGATCTATTGTTTTTGTGATTTGTTCCTTGATATATATACACATACACACACACACACACACACACACACACACACACATATATATATATATATACATATATATATATATATACGTATATATATATACATATATATATACGTATATATATATATATATATATATACATATATATAATTTTTTTTTTAGGATAGGCAATGCGATTAAGTGACTTGCCCAGAGTGACACAGCTAGTAAGTGTTATGTGTCTGAGGCTGGATTTGAATTCAGGTCCTCCTGAATCCAGGACCAGTACTCTATCCACTGCACCACCTAGCTGCCCTATATATTCTTTTGGATTGTAATTTGACATCCATTTAAGTTTCAATTCTTTTTTCAAATGTCATGTATTGATGATAAATTTTTATTGTATTGAGTTCAATAAAGAATGTGTTTACTATTTCTGTTTTTCATTTTTTAAAAAAGTTTTTATGCCCTATAACATGGTTAATTTTTGTAATTATGCTGCACATAGATAAGAAACATATTTATATCCACATGTAAGTCATATACATAAATATGTACATATGTATGTATGTGCATGTATATATAACATGTATTATAGTTTCTGTTCCTATTCAGTAATCACTAAAGGTCTAATGTCTAATGTATTAAACTTTTCTAAAATTCTTTTTCAGTCTATCCTATCTTTATTATTCATATTTTTTAGATTTTTCTAAGTCTGAAAATAGAACATTGAGGTGCCCAACTATTATAGATTTACTTATTCCTTTTAATTCAATTAGCTTTTCCTTTAAGTATTTAAATCCCACCAATGTACATATATGTGTGTGTGTGTTTGTATAATATGTAAAAAGTATCACATATACTAAGTATTGATATTATATACTTCTTATAAATAGCATATCATTAGATTCTGTTTTCTAATTTATTCTGCTACCCTCTTCTTGTTCATGAGTGAATCCATTCCATTCATGTTCAGAGTAATAATTGGTAGTTGTGTATTTCTTTCTGTCATATTCTCTTATACTTTTTCCTCTTTTTCCCCTGCCCTCCATCTTTGCAAAGGAGAATGGGGTAGAAAAAGAAGAAGTCCCGTCAATGCTAGTACCCTATATTTGAGGTGATCTTTTTCTACTCCTCTGCACCACTGCCCTTCACCGGGCCCAGATCCTGATTTCTGGTTCTTGCATTTATTGCTCATTTAAATCTCCCCTTTTATGATCTACAATCCAAAGATGAAGTCTGCTTGTGAGAGATTATGACTGTCTCCTTACTGACTCTCTTCTACCTCTTCAAGGCCCTTTCCTTTTTTCTCTTTCCCTACCTATTTCCCTGTTTCCCTTACAGTATTTCCACACCAAACTTGTGCATGGGTCCAATCCTCCTTTATTCAGTTAGGATGAGAGTTAGTTTAATGATATGCCCACTTTTCCCCACTCTACTTGCTATGTTTGTATATTCTTTTCCTTGTGCGACTAAATCATGTGAAATAGTAAGATCTTCCCTCTGCTTCTCAGTTTCTTCCTTATTTCTGTGTTCCTATATTCCTTTTCCCTTCTCTTGTCTTTCTCACTTAAAGAAAACAAAACAGAACCGTGTGTGTGTGTTGTGTGTGTGTGTGTGTGTGTGTGTGTGTTTAGGTCCTCTGTTTATGGTACCTACTCCCCTCTGTCATCCTGAAAGAGTGGTAGTGCCCCCAACAGTAGAAGAAGGAGTGGATTAAGTGAGAAATATGAGTTCAGAATTGGACATGTTAAGTTTGTTAAGGTTTTTGGACATCCAAGTGGAAATGCCCAGCAGGATTTTGGTTATTTGGGACAAGAGTTCAGGAAAGAGATAAAGGCTGAAGGATTTGTTTTGTAAAATTTGGATTCAGTCAAAAGGCACACTTAAGAATCTAGAAGGCCACTTGTGGCCTCAAGGCCACAGGTTCCCCACCCCTGGGCTGAATGAATAGATTTGGGAATCATCTGCATAGAAATGATAGTTCAACCCAAGGGAGATGGTGAGATGAGAAGAGTAACCAGGTCAAAAGCAAAAAGGTGCACACAAACATGGGAAGCAGGAAATGGATAATGATCCTGCAAAAGAGATTGAAAAGGGCTAGTCAAACAGAAAGAAGGAGAACGACAGAATACTATCACAAAAACTCAGGCAGCAGAAAGTATGGAGGGGGAGGGGCTAGTGAACTGTGCCAAATACCATAGAAAGACCACAAAGCATAAGAATTGTGAAAAGGTCATTATATTTAACAATGAAGAGTACATTGGTGACCTTGGAGAGAACAGTTTTAGTCAAGTGATGAAGAAAAAAGCCAGATTATATGATGTTAAGAAGTGAGTGAGAACAGTAACAGCAATATTATAACAATGATTAAAACTGTGAAAGACTTTGCTACTCTGATCAAGACAGTGGTTCAAGACAATTCCAAAAGACTCATGATGAAAAAATGCTGTCCACCCCCAGAGTGACAACTGATGAATCCTGAGTACAGACTAAAGCATACTTTTTTCACTTTATTTTTTTCTTGGTTCTTTTTTTGTGTGTATTTTTTTTTGCAACATGGCTAATATGGAAACATATTTTGCATGATTTCAGATAGATAATTGATGTCATATTGCTTACCTTTTCAAGGGGTGGGGGAGGGACAGGAGAGAATTTGAAACAAAATTTTAAAAAATGTTAAAAATTTTAAATGTAATAGGGAAATATTTAATGAAATGAATAAAAATACTTTTTTTTCTAAAAAAGTAGGTAAGAAGTAAAAAATTGGAGTCAATGTAATAAATGGAGACAGCTTTACCTAAGAGTTTGAATGATGACAGATAAAAAAAGAGACAAACTCAAAAATAGGAATGGTATTAGTAATGAGTAGCTATCATATATGTTGCTTTTAAGAATGATAGAAACTGAATACATTTTTTTAAAAAGTGCCCCCAACCCCCCAAAAAAATCCTTATTGTGCTGTTTTGATTTACAGGCTTACCAAAAAATTCTGTGGTAACAACTCTTAAGCAATCAGTGATGGATTTTAAACAAGGCTTGCCTACTATAGTCGCCTTGGTAAATCCTTGTCTTAAAAGTCGGCATTGGGAGGCAATCCAGGTGATTATCGGGCAGGCACTTACTTTGGATAGAGAGAGCACGGTGAAGCAACTTCTGGAGCTTGAAGTAGGTACACGAATCTGCAGCACTTCAGAGCTCTGTTTGTCTAGGTTCTCAACCTCTCCAAAACACATTTGGGCAGGGACGGAAAGGGAATACACAAACACACACATTCCCCCTCTCCCCCCCCCACACTACAGAAAGAGACAGACTGAGGTATGACTACCGTGGCACCTCTGGAAAGGTTAGGCTAGCTTAAGAGAATCCAACTACTTTCACTTTCACTTTTTTAAAAAAATGTTGAAGCAATTGGGGTTAAGTGATTTGCCCAGGGACACACACAAGTGTCAAGAGTCTGAGGTCACATTTGAACTCAAGTCCTCCTGACTCCAGAGCCAGCTGCTCAATCCACTATGCCACTTAGTTGCCCTGCCACCCCACTTTCACTTTGAACACAAATCCTGTGGGGATGTAGATGTAGCAGGGCAGGGGCGAGGGTAGTGTAGGCATTTGGACTTTGCTACTTCAATTTACTAAATATATTTCTACAAGTGCCAGCTGGGAAATAGTGTACCTATGGATAAGGAGCCCAAATTAAAGAAAGCAATATGCTCTCTTTGAAAACAGTGTTGCTTTTCTGCTGAACTCTAACACCATACAGAAAAACAATTACTCAGATGGTATGTGTTGGCCTGCCAATATGTTTCATTGCTAGCTATTTATTGGTCTCCATATTTTTAAGGAAACATGGAGAAATGGAAGAGAATTCAACATAATAGGACAAATAAAAATTATTAAGGTAATTTTAAGAAGCAAAAGGAGTTGGAGTTTGTGATGCGAATGAATGGCTGAAAGATCTCTATTTTTATTTCCAGGAAGAGCAAAGCAGAAAATGAACACTACAATAAGAGATTTTCAGTTCAGTAAAATTAAACAAATATTTATATGTTGCCTACTAGGCTACTGTGCTAAGTTCTGGAGCCATAAAGAGAAAAGTCAAATAGACACTGTCTTTGAGGAGCTTAAAATACTTGATTTTGGCTAAATGGTTAGATTTAAGGGAAAAAATCTTCATAGTATGAGTGTTTAAACATTGGGGCTATTAAAGGAAGGGGCTGCTGAGGCAGGTAGGTCACATAATCCTCAGGTTTAAAAATTAAATCCATAGGCACTTATCTGGGAAGGGAGGTCAGCTGAGATTGATGCCCTGGGAATCTGCTAATACAAATAGTACTTAGGAAATCATCTGTGGGCCTCTTAATTTGGGAAGTTTATGAAATCTTAATAATAAGTATGCCATTAAAGTGAGATCTTGAATTAAAATATATTAGTAATTATTGTATTGGGAACTCAGGGATATTTTGTTTATTTTAGTTGTATCGATACGAAGAAAAAATCATTGAAATATCAACAGTAGCAACAAATGAAGCTGCTTTGGAAAAAATGCTGTTTAAGATTATTGAGCTATGGAGCAATACTCCCTTACGTTTGATTCCCCATCAGACAGATGCTTTCACGATCCTTATTATTTCATCCATAGATGATATATTAGCTCAGTTAGAGGAGTCTCAAGTTATAATTGCAACAATTAAAGGATCTCCCTATCTTGGGGCAATGAAGGTAAATATTGTACAAGAAAGAGATTTTTACTGTTTTGATATTTACTGCTTTGTTTACAGCTTTTGCATTCTGTAAACTTCAAGGCTGTATATGTTATTCTTGTGTGTCTTTTAGTGATTTAAATACAGATGTTTTTCACATAAAAATTTAGCATAATTGAATAAACGCCAGAAGATTGAAATTTTTTGAAAGTCTTTGGATTTCCTACAATACCTAGCAGACCAAAAATTACACCTAAAATCAGTCAGTCAGCATATATTTATTAAGCACATATCATCAGGTACTGTTCTAGGTGCTAGTGACATGAATATAGAGTACACTGAATATTTGAAGATGATATGAGGAAAGTATAGAAACAGTTTAACAAAGAAATATTTTTTAAATGCACATTATCCCAATTTAGACCTTTCTCTAAAAAAATAGATTTCATTTAATACAACATTACTACAACTATGATCTTTTTAAAATCAAGAACATTTTATACTTTCTGGCATATTATATTGAAATATTATACAAACTAGAGGGAAATTTTCAACAGCAAGCCTTCAATTTCATTTCATTCAGTTCAAAGGAATTCTAACAAGTAAGAGATATATATAATAATGAAATCACTGCATGGTTTGAAAACACTTTTATCACCAGTATCTTAAAAGGCCATCAGGTTTAAGGTTGGACTTGGGGTCAGGAAGACCTGAGCTTAAATCCTGCCTCACACACTTCAGCCTCAGTTTATCATATGTAAATGGAGATTAGACACTTAGCTCTCAAGGTTGTTGTGGAGCTAGGTGGCGCAGTGCATAGACCTTGGCCCTGACTCAGGAGGACCTGAGTTCAAATTTGAACTCCAGATACATAATACTCCTAACTGTGTAACTCTGGGCAAGTCACTTAATCCCAATTGCCTCACCAAAAAAAGCCCCAACAAAAATAAAAGGTTGTGAAGATCAAAGGAATTAATATGTTTAAAGTGCTCTTTTAAAGTATTATAAATATTAGGTATTGTTTTCCATAAAAGTGTTTATCTTTTCATTTAAGTGACATGCAAATCCTATTTTTCCTGAGTAGAAAGTTAGGATTTTTCCTTATTGAAAATAAAGAAACTCATAGGACAGAACATATCAGAGTGAGTTAATTCTCAGCATGATTCTCAAACTTTATCACCTCAAATCAAGTACTGAAGAAAAATAAAATCTATCAAATATTTAAAGAGCAATTCAAGCCTGTGTTATAAAAATTATTCTCAAAAATGGACTCAATAACACTCTACCAAACTCTTTTTATGAGACAAAAAATGGACATCATTCCAGGGAAACACAGATCAAACAGAAAAAGAAAACTATGACCTAATCTCATTTATCAGTATTGATGCAAAAATTTAAAATAAAATCTTCACCAGGGAACTACAGAAATATATTCAGAAAAATAATTCACTATGACTAAGTTGGATTCATGCCACGGATAGAAAGTTGGCTTAACATTAGGAAAATAATTACCAAAATTAGTCACTTAAAGAACAAAGATTACAATAACCACAGATTATTTCAATAGATGCAGAAAAAAACAATTTGACAAATTTTAGTGTTTCTGTATCTTAACATTAGAAGAACTTTTTTTTAGGGTTTTAAAAATAAGTATAGACATGAAAAGGCCCTTCTTTCATATTATTGAAAGAATATTTAAAACTAAGAATTAGCATTGGTTTTGCATTGGAAAAATATTAGAAACTTTCCCTGTACACAGAAGGCTAAAACAAAGATAGTCCCTCTCTCTACTATTATTTGTCATAATCCTACAAATGTCCTATAACAGTAAGACAAATTAGAATATAAGTTGCTTAAGAGTCAGGATTGTTTCATTTTTATCTTTGAACTCCCTATTCCTAGCACTGCTTATTAACTATTTTTCCTTGTTGACCAATTGACAAGAAAACAAAGTCAAAGATGAAGCAAGTGAAAAAGAACAAGGAGTCAGTCACCTGGCACATAGTAAGTACTTATTAAATATTTCTTGGTTGACTGATTGACGAAATAATCCTACTTGTAAATGACACTGAGAAACACTGAGAGAATCAATGAAGAAATTAATTTATTGACCAATAGCCACAGCAGTGTTTCAGGATACAGAATAAATCCAAGATTGAATCATTGTTTCTATGCGCTACTAACAAAACCCAGGAAAAATATTAAGAAAAAGTTTATTCTTCCCCAAAACCCTATAAAATGCATCAAATGTCTGGATTTAACCTACAAAGACACTCACAAGATTTATTATATATACAACTCCAAAACAGTCTTAACAAAAATGAAAAGAAATCTGTGCCAATATGACAGTAACACCTAAATGAATTTACACATTTGGTGCCACATTATTCAAAATAATAAAGCATTCCAGAAGAATTGCAAGGGAAATTATGAGAAAAAGGACAAATGAAGGTGGCATAGTTTTGCAAACTTGACAGTATATAACAAGTATAAAATAAAGCAGTAGTCATTAAAACTTTCTGGTGTTGGTTAAAGAATAGAAAAAATAAAGTTGTAAAATAAAATATATAAGCAAGAAGCATAAGGAAGAGAGGGCTTGAAAATGACAATAAACCAAGAATATAAATTACTGGGAGAAGTACTCTGTCTTTGACAAAAACTTTTAGGAAAACTGGCAATTAGACTAGCATCTGATTTATATCATATCATGTCATGTCATATTATATTATATCATGTTATGTTACGTTATGTTATGTTATGTTACGTTATGTTACGTTATGTTACGTTATGTTACGTTATATTATATTATATTATATTATATTATATTATATTATATTATATTATATTATATTATATTATATTATATTATATTATATTATATTATATTATATTATATTATATTATATTATATTATAATATATTATGCCGTGCCGTGCCATGCCATGCCATACCATACCATACCATACCACACCACACCACACCACACCACCACACCACACCACACCACACCACACCACACCATACCATACTATACTATACTATATACTATACTATACTATACTATACTATACTATACTATACTATATTATATCACATGTTATGTTGTGTTGTGTTGTATTATAGTATCACAATATTTCCAAAAATGGATATGGTATCTGAACAAAAAAAGCATACATTGTAAAAAATGCAAATTAGACAAGATCAGGTACATTTCAACTATGACTAAAGGAAAAATTTCTTAACCAAATAAGAGAGAGCAAAAAAGGAAAAATATTGATTACCTAAAATTTAAAAAAACATTCACACAAATAAAATCACTAATGACAGAATTATAAGAGAAATGGTAGAGAGAATCTCAAGGGAAATAATTTTTAAAAGTATGAAGGAAAGGACCTGAGCTCTCAAACTATACTACATAACAGCAATTATCAAGACAATTTGGTACTGGTTAAAAAATTAGAGAGGTTGATAAGTGAAACAGATTAGGTATACATCATATAGAAACAAATGGACATAATAGCTAAGTGTTTGATAAACCCCCAAACCCAAGCTATTGGAATAAGAATTCATTATTTAATACAAATTTCTGGGGAAAACGATAAAGCAGTCTGCCAGAAAGTAGATAATAAATCAACATCTCACGCTATCTGCCAAGACAAGCTCCAAATGCAATATGTGCCAGGTATTGTGCTAAGGACAGAAAACAGTCCCTGATTTGTAGGAACTCAGAGTCGAAGGGGGGCGACTGCATGCAAACAGCTATGTATACACAACATATACCAAGAATAAGTTGAAGATAATCTTGGAGAAAAGGTGCTGATATTAAGGAGGACCAGGAAAAACTTCTTGCAGCATGTGGGACTTTAGCTGAGACTTAAAGGAAGCCAGGGAAGCCAGGAGTCAGAGATAAGGAAGAGACTTCCAGTCATGATACAGAAGTGATGAACTTTCACTGTAGAATGAGAGATATAATTTTTGGACATGGCCAATCAGGGAATTTGTTTTGCTCGATTACACACATCACAAGGGCTTGGTTCCCACAACCCCATTTCCCCAAGTTGAGGTCTCAGTGTAAGAAAGAATATCAACTTTTTATTTAAAAACACACAAAATTTAATTTAAAAAAGAATTTAAATGTTAAAAAAATAAAGTGAGGGCATTAGATTAGATGAACTCTAAAATGAATACTTCCCTTTCAGCTCTAAATCTACAGTTGTCTGTTCAGATAGGATACGACCACTTCAAGCTATAAAACCTGTGTCCTGGTGAAATAAATTACACGTAGCATTGTTTTGGGTTCCCACTCTTAAAGCTAAAGGCTAAAGAAATACCTGTTGTTAAGAAGGCTAAATGCAGAGAACCTTGGCAAAATATATTAATTTTAAAAAACAAACTGGATTAACATCTAGCAGCTTCATTCTGGGAAGAATACATAGGAAAATTCAGGAGTTACCAGTAAGGGAAGCAAGAGAGCTAAGAAATAATAGAGTACATTGCTGAAGTTACTGCATTAGATCTTACAGTCCCATTGTAGCAAAGAGGAAGAATGAGGGTAGTGAGATAACCTCATAAGCTTCTGTGCTCTGTCTCTTTTTCTGTCTCTCTCCCTCTCTCCCTCCCTCACTCCATCCCTCCCTGTCTTCCTTTCCCTTTTCCTCTTTCCTTCCTTCATTCTTTTTCTTTTCTCCCCCAAGCTCACATGATGTATTTCTGTATCTACTTATTTACTGTATTTGTTGGATATTTATTATCCCATTTCTTAATTCTAAAAGTGGACAAGTGAAATGTTTTATATTGTTCTCTATTAAAACAAAAAGTAAAAAGTGAATTTTTCTTAAAAAAAATTCATGACTTGATTCTTCCTCTGATTATGACCCTCAGCCGAAATCCTTGCTAATATTGAGTATTCTGTCTCTGAAAAAGAATGTTGGCAGTGTTTAGATTTTGTTTCATTAAAAATGTTCTTTTTAATGTAGTCTCTTGCAGATGATTGGGACCAGAAGTTGGATGTCTTCTCTCACACTTTGGATGAGTGGATGACATGTCAAAGAAACTGGCTTTATCTTGAACCCATTTTTCTTGCTCCTGAAATACAAAGGTATACAAAGTGAAATAGATACTGGAAAATATGTTATTTCTCCCGTTTTCTATGATTTTTACCATATCAAGTTTCTTTAACTGACTACATTAAGATTATTTTGGGCTACAGATAAAAATATAACTTGACAAATAAGTTAACAAGCATTTATTAAGTGCTTAGTACTGGGCTAAGGTGTAGGTCTGGAAAAAAAAAAAGGCAAAACATGGTCCCTACCAACTGTAATGAGGGAGAGAATATGCAAACAACTATGGACATACAAAATATACCCAGAGTAAATTGGAGGCAATTCCAGAGGGTAGGCACTTGCATTGAGGTAGATATGGAAAGACTTCTTCAAGAAGATGAGATGTTAGCTGAAACTTCAGGTTAGGCAGGAGACTGTGCTGGGAAGGGATAGCCCTCCAGGCAAAGGGGCCAGTGAAAAGATACAAGGTCAGGAAATAGATTGTTCTATGACAGAAGTGGCAAGATCAGTGTCACTGAATTGTAGAGAATACAGAAGGGAGTAAAGTGTGAGAAGACAGAAAAGATAGGAAGGGGCCAAGTCACAGAGGTTTTTAAAGAGCAAAGAAATCATTATTATAATTTTTTAGGATGACAATTCCAAATATCATTTCTAGAGGGGCTCACTCTTCAATTAGTGAGGTAAAATACAAGGAAAAGGGGGAAATTGCAATTGTTTCTTTTTCTTTCCCATACTACAAGACTACAAAAATAGTTCTAGACTGCCCAGTCTACATACTTAATGATAGGCACCATCATCATTTTTTAAGTCATATTGTATTTAGTAGCATTATGTTTCTCTGGGCTGGACTTCCTTTAGTATTGAACAAAACACATATTTATCAAGTGCTTTCTATGAGTCTCACACTGTGCTAAGCACTGCAGATAAAAAGAAAGATGAAAAGTACTCCTGCATTTGAAGAGCGTATATTCTGATAGGGGAAACAATATGTACATAAATATTGACAATACATATATGGTAAATAATTCAAGATAAGCTTAGAAGGGAAGTAGTTGAGAGGACAAGGAAAGGCACTGGGGGCTGAGTTTTGAAGGATGACAGAAATCCTACAAGGCAGAGAGAATTCCAGTTATAGAGAACAATTAATACCAAGATGTAGAGATGGGAAATGGAATATTCTATCTGCAGAGCATTGGTTAGGCCAATCCACCTGGACTATAGAGCAGGCAGATGGAAGTAATGTTTAGGAAGACTGTTAAGCTATAAAGGGGACAGGTTGTGAATATCTCTAAGTTCCAAAGAAAAGTTTGCGTGACCTCAGTGGTAATAAAAGCCACTGGAGATCATTGAGTGGGGAGCTAACATAGTGAGATATATACTTTAGGAAAATCATTTTGGCATCTGAGTGGAGAGAGGCTTGAGTAGGGATACCAAATAGACCACTGTAATAGTCCAGGCAAGAGGTAATGAGGAGAGCATAAGCTAGGACAGTGGCTGTGTGAGTAGACAGAGGAGAATGTATGTAAGAGATGTTGTAGGATAGAAATGATAAGATTTGGCAGCTGATTGGATACTTGGTGAATGAGGGTAAGAAGACTAAGATTATACTGAAATTGTCAACCGGGACATCTGGAAGTATGGGAAGTTTGGAAGACAGATAGATTTGGGAGGAAAAGTTAGTGGATTCTATTTGGACTTGTTGAGTTTCAGATGCCTGAGGGAGATGTGGTTCAAAATATTTAATAGGCACTTAGTGGTGTGGGATTGGAGCCCAGGAAAGAGAATTTTGTTGCTGTTCAGTTGTCTTCAGTTGTGTCTGACTCTTTTGACCCCATTTGAGGTTTTCTTGGTAAAGATACTGGACTGGTTTGCCCTTTCCTTCTCCAGCTCATTTTACAAATGAGGAAACTGAGGAAAACAGGGTTAAGTAACTTGCCCAGGGTCACACAGCTAGTGTTTGAGGCCAGATTTGAACTCACAAAGATGAGTCTTCCTGACCCAGGCCTGACACTCTATCCACTGTGCCACCTAACTGCCCCCAGGAAACAGAAAGGCTGGGGAAATTATAATGGTTATAGGGTTAGGCTTCCTATAGTGATAGTTTTATCAATACTCTGAATGCCATCTTGAAAGTTTTAGTACATACAGGAAAATTGAAGGAGAAAGGAATAAGAGAAAGGGGGCAGAGATAGAAGGGAGGGCAAATTAGGAGAAGGGGTATTCAGAATGTCATGCCATCTTGGGGTGGGGGGAGGGATGAGATGTGGAGAAAATTTGAAACTCAAAATCTTGTGGGAGTGAATGTTGAAAACTAAAAATAAATGAATTAACTTAAGAAGAAAAAAAAGTTTTAGTACAGATAAAGGACTAAAAGCTCATTCATGACTAAGTTGTAATCATTGACGGAGTGTGAACATTGTTCTTTATCAATTTCCATTCCAATGTAATGAGGAAAGAAATGCTCCTAGAATTTTAAGTAAGATGAGGTTTATTTACCTAAAATAAAGGCATTATGAGGTATTATTTATCCACTTTACATTATCCTTTTTCTTTAAAAAAAAATCAAATGAATAGTATGTAGCATGTCGGAATGAGTAAAAAATCCTTAACAAAACTCCTGTGACTTTAAATAGAATCAATATCCAAAATATATTAAAGGACTACATATAATAAATTGACAGCACTGTCAATATGATATACAAATCCATTTTTATAACTATAATAAATATTTCTTGGCAGAAGATTATTTTATGTAAAGAACTGAGATAGTACTTTAGAAATTAAAGTCATCTCAGATCTTGTTTCTATTTATAAAGGCAGCTTTCAGCAGAAGAAAAATTCTTCGCTGATGTAACTTCGATATGGAAAGATATAACATCAAGAGTGGACAATAAACCTGAGGCTCTGAAAATAGTCATATCAATAGGAATCCTGGATATGTTGCAGGCAACCAGTATGCATCTTGAAAAAATTAAGAAAAGTCTTGAGGTAAAACTTGGTCATGTTAGCATAAAGAATCTTTTCATTCAGTACAGCACAGTATCACATGGGACGTTTCATTTGGAAAAATCACAACACAGTATACAATACCGCACCATTGGTAGTCTCATACATATCAGGGGGTGGGAGAGAACCCAGATTGTAGGATAAGCATCATATTGAAATTAGCGTTTCTCATGCTACTGTCTCTCTGAAACTTGATGGCAATATGTAACAGAGAGTGTGGTTCAGTTGGCCAATTTCTTTAAAAAGGATTTTTACTTATTCTAAACTTAGTAACCATCAAGAGAAACCAAATCCAAATATATTTTTTTAAAAATAGAGATGAAAAATGAAACTACAAACTACATTATTTATAATTTGTTTTTAAATGTAAATTAATTTTGATGAGATTAGCAAAATTTTTGCCTTCCTTTCTGAACTTTTCTATTTTTAAAAATGTTGTTGCTATTATTATCCTTACCATTATTGCGTATCCATAGTCAATGTGCATGTTGTTCTGTCTTTTTTCATTTATATTTCTGTATATATCATTTTATTTGTAATCTCTCTGTTATCACTTAGCACAGTGCAATCATACCCCATTATATTCATATGCCACAGTTGTTCAGCCATTGGTCAGTGGACATATTATTTTTTAGCACTGCTATTATAAATAATGTTTCTATTAATATTTTTGTACATAAGTATTTTTTGCCTTTCAATAACATTAGGATTTAGTTTCAGTGGGATAACTAAGTAAAAAAAGAATAAATATTAGAGCTCTTTCTATATAATGATTTAGTGCTTTCTAAAATTATTATGGCAATTCACAAATCTTCCATGGGCATATAACACTGTCTACACAGTCCAAACAAGACTGGATTTTGTTTTCAACTGTCTTTGTCATTTTATTGGTCAATGAAGTGGCACCTCAGAGTTGTTTTAATTGTTATTTTTCAGGTAAATAATTTTAACAGATTTCTTGGTTATTGATCATTTGGGCATTATTTCTCATTTGTGTATTTCCTTTTGAGAAAGTCCCTATTTATGTACTTTGACCGCTTACATATTGTAGAGATAAGATAATTCAGACAGTTAGTATCAACTTCAGGGATAGTGGAAGAAGAGCTGGTGGGTAGTCCTCTTATCATGGTCACTCCCAGACTTCCTAACCTTGGGTATATGCTGGGCTCTGATGAAATCTGTATAAAGTGGAGACCACTCTCACTCTGAGTAACCACTGTTCTTTGATAGCAAAGGGTTTTCTGCTGTGGTTTGGAGGATGGAAAAGTCCAAGAAAATGGCTACCTGGCAGAGACTTGTGTTGTGTTGTATTGACTACCAAGATAAAAAAACAAAAAACCAGAAAGGAGAAATCACTTAAGATAAAGAGAAGTTGGAAAATTTCTGGGTATATTCTTGAAAAGACAAAAACTTCTTGGGAAAAGAAATGTTAAGACAACTGAGATAACCACATGGTACCTAACAACAAAATAAGGGGACAGGAGGTGACATATTAACTTTTACCTTGGCACACTTTACCACATGAGCAGTAAAAGAATCTTAAAGGTGAATCTGTTCTCCAACTTATCCTTACGGTTTCCTTTGGAAGAGTTCAAAAGGAAAAAATATTGGATATTGGTGGGCATACCTCAGGAACATGGCAAAAATGGTCTATGTAGCAGGTAGGTCTATACCACCACAGTATGTTTGCTGATGGTTAATAATAAAATGTTTTGAAAATGCATTTTGCTTATCCTAAAGCACTTTAGGATTTACAAAACACAGTAAATACATTAGTTAGCACATTTCTCTCGCAACAGCCTTGTAAAGTAAGGGCTATTATAGGTATCCACTCAATTTTACAAATGAGGAAAACCTGAGAAGTTAAGTGATTTGCCCATGGTCACATTGCCAGGTAATGTGAAAGACAGGATTTGAACCCATGTTTCTTCTTGCTATGAAATCTCTACTCTTTCTACTATAACATACTATTTCAAAAGAAAATGTCATTTTAGAATGGTGCTGGAATATATACTTTATCTCCAATGGCTTTGGTTTTATGCATGTTTATTGTATGTCATAGAAAATATATATCTTTACATCAGTGTATTGGGTTCTTAATCATATTTCTCTACATTCTCTGAGACAGGAATATCTTGAAGTGAAGAGAATGATTTTCCCAAGATTTTACTTTCTTAGCAATGCTGAACTCATTGACATTCTGGCTAAAGCAAAAATCCCGAGGCTATCCAGGTAATATTTTAGTACTGTGCTTAGGAATATTCTTTCTTGACCATGTCAAGACTTTATGATGCTATTTAGCTATGTTTCTGGTCCACAGCCTCATCTTATGAAATGTTTTGAGAACATAAGACAGTTGTTTATATGGAAAAAAGAAATAGGCCCTCCTCTGGTCACGTTGCTTATATCAGCGGAAGGTGAAACACTTCTTCTGCCAAAGTATAGTATATATTTAATGTTTAATCTTTAGATATAGCAAAATCTTAAAAATAGAAAATATTCTTATTTGGGATTTCTGATCATTCTTTAAAGTGTGTGTTAATTTAGCAAACCCTTCATTCGTAGTAGAGTGGGGACAAGACATTTGCGTGTTCTAGTAAAACCTTGAAAATGGCCTTTCTCCTTACCTCTCCTCTCTTTTCAACAGCTGGGCTCCTCTATTTTCCTGTATTTGGAGACTTCAAGCTTTCACTACAACACATGCAAATTGGTTACTCATATAGTTAATAACTGTGGTTCAGAGAGTAACATTTTATGGCATTAAAATATGCATATTTGTTTAAGATACATGTATTATTTAATATATTAAAATGTATCTTATTGTATCTCTAATTCCATAAGTGTCAGCCTTCCTCACCTTCCCCTAGTCCTACTATTGATTCATAAATAATGCATATTAAGAGATAAAAAATAAGATAAGCATATGTTTCATATAATTAAGAAACAAGCTTTGGAAGTTGTTTAAAATAACACTTCAGCATACAATAACTAAAACAATAATGTGTATCTACAGCTGTAAGCAAGTGAGTCAGCAAAAACTTGACCTATTTTATTATATGCGTTAATATTTGCAAGGCACTTATTATAATGCCTAGCACATAGTAGGTGCTATATAAATGCTTATTCCCTTCCCTTTATTTACCAACTTGAGAGATATGGCAGCTAAAGGCAATATCATTTTAGAATATCAACTTACTTGTACAATCTTAGTGAGAAGTTTATGGTGGAGAATTATCATTTCCTCAAACAGCAAGAAGCAGTAGAAGGGAAGAAACAGTTTAAAGAAAGTCTCTTAGGAGATTCCCCTAAGCAAAGCTGTCCATAGGGCCTTTAAGGGCGAGAATGGAAGGTGAATACAGACAAAATTTGGCACGCATTCATCAAAATCACACAAGACGCCTCGACAGACTCAACAAGGGAAAGGAATTTACTTGACGACGCTTTGTTTAGTCTCAAAGCTGGCATAAAGGAGGGAAACGTATGCTTCCTAAAAATGTTGGTGACCATCGTGAAAAATGTTCAACACAGGATCCAAAAGCAAATGGGGTTCCATACAGAAAGTGAGGTTTTCCAAAAGTTCCGATTGTCATATGACACTGCGTTGCCTGCATCATGCCATAGAACATTGCCGAGTCCCCTAAATGAGAATCATTCAAAGGAATTTGACTTATCTATCCACGCCAAGAAAAATCAAGTCTGCGAAGAATATCTACTGTCCAACTGCAATGTGTAGCTACGGATCAACAACCCATAGAGCTTCTCTCTCAGTGTGTGTGTACGTGTGTGTGTGTGTGTGTGCACACCTCAGACAAATACTAAAAATGGACAATATGGGGGCCTAGAATTTATTAGTAAGTGAGGAGAGAGATGGATGGTCTTTAGAAAATTATATAACTTGGGGCAACTAAGTGACACAGAGGATAGAGCACTGGCCCTGGAGTCAGGAGGACCTGAGTTCAAATGTGCCCTCACACACTAGCCGTGTGACCCTGGTTAATATATTCACCCCGATTGCCTCATCAAAAAAAAGAAAATCATGCAAGTCTTTCAATGGCCTCAACATCCTTCTTGAAACAAGGGCCATTATTAAGCATTAAGATATGGCTGCTATAAGTCACGTATACCAAATTTTCAAAGAATTTTCATTGAGGATAATCCAAAGGGCAACAGAAGGGAACGTGATAGGCAAGATAGCTTGTGAAACATTACATGTAGACAATTGGGGAGTGTAGAGGATATCTTCAGAGAACTCTATGACCGGAAAAAAAAAAAAAAGACGGAATACCTGTGGTGAGAGGAAGGTGAGGTCCACGTGTTTCACTGTCATCTGGGCAATATCAGAAGATCCAGAGAATGGATCCCAGCAAAATGACCAGACATCAAGTGCAATTGTTAATAGTTTAACTTCCAGCGGGAAGGAGATCCCTCAAGGAGGTCTCTAAGGGATCTGGCTGTGGCCTTATACTGTTTAACATTTATATCCATGATATGAATAATCAGTCAAAAAGCCTTTACTGGAAAACCTACTATGAGGCAGGCCTGTGCTAGGCACTGGTAAAGGTATAGATAACATGGGTAGAGATAGTGTAATTAACACATTTAAATATGACCTGCAGCTGGGAGACACAGCCAACATGCTTAGACGACCGAGCTAGGTTCAAAGAGATCTGAGATTAGGACAATAGGGCATGCCTAAGAAGATGACATTTAAAATGAATAAAGCTAAAACCTTAAACACAGTCAAAAAGATCAGCTTCACAAAGTACAATGCAGGGAGGTGAAGCTAGACAACTGTCCATTTGTGAAAGGCCTGGGGGTTTTATTTGACTCATTGTAGATCAGCAGTGTGATCTGACTGACAAAAGAACCAGGGCACTATGAAGCTGCATTAAAAGGGTCATCAGGACTTACTATACACAAGTATATGGTAGCAGAACCAAGAACTTAAAGAAAATAGGTAATTACTCCCCCCCATGTAAGATATCCAAATTAACAAAAACAAGAGGTAGAAATCTCATACAACTCAACATTAAAAACTGATGTTGAACAAATGAAGAAGTGGCAGGGGAGGAAAGGGGAGGAAGCCTGGTCCAGATGGATTTACAAGTAAAATTAATCATTGAAGGAACGATTAGTAATTATGCTGCATAAATTATTCTCAATAATTGAAAAAGAATTTTATAAACTCCTTTTGATTAGACAAATATAGTCCTAATATCTAAACTCATTTTCGTTTAGTAGTTTCAGTCATGTCAGGTGGGGTTTTCTCAGTAAAGATACTGGAGCAGCTTGCCATTTCCTTCCCCAATTCATTTTATAGATGAGGAAACTGAGGCACACAGGATTAACAAGTGTGCTTCAAGTATACCCAAGGTCACACAGCTAGTACATGTCTGAAGCCATATTTAAACCAAGGAAGAAGAATCTTCCTGACTCCAGACCTAGCACTCTATCTACTGCACCACCTAGCTGCCTCAAATCTTAACCACAGAAGGATAAAACTGAAAAAGAGAATTGTGAACCAACATCACTAATAAACATAGTCATAAAAATATTAAGTAAGATCGTATAACAATTTATCCAAAAATTATTCACTCTGGCCAAGTTGTATTTGTACTTAGGAAAACAACATAATTGATCATGAAACAAACAAACAAATCCCTCCCGATTATATCCACAGGTATAAAAAAGCCTTTAACAAAATAAAAAATTCACTTAAGCTAAGACCCTAAAAATCCACTAGCAGACTTTTGCAATCTTTTCTTCTGCAACTCTTACTTCCCTATCCTTTTTGCACAGCCTATTCTTACCCATAAATTTTGCTCACAACATATTCTCTACTTTTTATTAAAAAAAAAGCCACCAAAAATCTGCAAAACCAAGTTCACACTCTTTTTTATCACTGTCACCCCTTGAATTTTCCAATGCTTTTTTCACAGCAGGTTTCCTACTCTTCTTTGCAGCACTTATCCCCTTTTTATCAGTATTCTTTAGGGATTCATTCTGTTTGGGATTGTTGCTGCTATCCTTAGTGGCACTTCACTTTGTCTTTCTCTCTCTTCTGGCTGGAGGGAATGGGAAAGGAAGCCTGGATCTCTGCCTGTCTTGGCAAACTGGCTTAGCTAGTTACAGCCGGAGTCATAAGTCAGTCAAGATGACTTGAGCTCTCGCCCAGACTGCCAAAATTTAAAGGGTATTAGGAGCACTTACATTGAATTTAGTACCTAACAAGAACAATTAGTTTTTAAAATAGAAAGGTACCAAATGGCACACTTTCTCCCCTATGCCAGTCTGGCTAACATCAGCCTCATGGGCTTCCAGAGTCTTTGCTCTCAATATTTCAATGGATTGTTCTAGGTGTCAAAATTTCTAGTTCCATTTCTGGTTACAATAGATCTACTCCCCTTTTACTGTGTTCCTTAGTCCCATTGAAGGGGTATCTAAATACAGCAGCACACAGCTCCTAATGGATGATTATTAAATAATGTCGGTGTATTTCTTCCTTCCATTTCAAGAGAATTAACTGATTGACTTTACATCCCAACCATCTCAACCATCCCAACCTGGCCTAGTGCATAGAAAACTGGCCTCAAAGGCAGGAAAATTTGTGTTCAAGTCCTACTTCTGAAAAAATACTGGTTATGTGGCTCTAGGCAATTCACTTAATCTCTTAGTACCCTAAATGGCTCTCAAAGACTCTATGTTGTAAAGTAGGTGCTGGGCTTCACTGGTAGAGAGAGTTTCCTTAATGGGATCTCTTTATATCAAGGAGATCACAAAAATGATCCAATGATTCCTGTGGCACAAAGAGAATACTTCTATATTGTGGAAAGTTAGCACTCTGCGTGTGTGTGTGTGTGTGTGTGTGTGTGTGTGTGTGTGTGTGTTTATGTGGTGCCTGGCCATTCTGGGGGGGCAGGACAATAGCGCAGGGCAGTGTTGCCATAGTTGGACTTGTGGGCTCCCAGGGCAGGCCTGAGGACTTAAGAACTACAATTAAGTTTTCTTCATCTTGGGACCTTTGGTTGGCTGGTTTATTCTGTGCAGTGACACACCAGCAGTAGCTATAGTTTTAAGAAAACTGAAGACTCTAGAAATCTGAGATGGATAGGGAATGTATCCCAGGTGTTGAAGATAGCTGTGTGAAGGGCGTCTGTATCATGATGAGCTTCTCCCAGGGAGCCTTAGATTGGTGGCACTCTTGAGCTCAGGAGGGCCAAGCTATAGCAGTGGCGGCCTCTGCTGCTTGAATGTCTGCACTAAATTCCGCATTAATATGGCGAGTCCTCAAGAGAGGAGGGCCACCAGGTTGCCTAAGGAGAGTCCAACTGGCCCACGTCAGAAAAAGAACAGGTCAAAACTCCCATGCTGATCACTAATGGGATCAGGTGAGGTCCTTGCTATTTGAGCTTGGGTGAGATGGGGACATCCAGTCTTTGAAGACCCCCAATTACATAGTTTGATAGGTTATATGCATAATATTTAATGATAATATCTGTGAGTTCATATGGTAATATAGGTTTTTCTTCTCTTTGACCCACAGCTATAATCAAAGCAATACTTAGCAATTTATTACAACTGTAAATTTAATGAAGCATTTTAATACATATCACTAAGTAATTTTTAATAACCCTTTTTTGACAAACTTACAGGAAAGTCCGTGTAAGAACTGCCGTAGAACAATGGCTGGTAAATGTGGAAAAGAACATGTTTGATATGGTAAAGATGTAAGTGTGGCTTTCTTATCTTTAAAATTATGTTCTAGATTCTCAGCTTAACTATCAATTCAAAAAATATCTATTAAGCACCAACTATATACTGAATAAAAAGTTTCTGAAATTACGTGGTCTCCAAATTCAAGGAATTTTCAGTATAAAGAGATTAAGAAAGCTAATAAATGTGATAAAAAAAAGATGTGTTATGGGACAAAGAGAGAACCAAAAATATTCTTAAAATTTTGAGTGAGGAAAGATCACTTTCAGCAATGAGATTCCAAATAAGATTTTATAGAGGAGGGAATAGAATAGGAGCAGAAATATTGAGTGATATAAATATGTAAAAAAGAAAAGCCATGATAAAAGTCATTATAGGAAAAAGAACGAAACATGAGAAGGATAAAAAATGAAAGTCTGAATTTATTGTGTTTATAAGAAATTTATCTGCAACTAATTGATATTTTTGACTCATTTGGTGATAGAAAAATAATTTTAACCATATATATATATATATATATATATATATATATATGTTTTGTGATTAAAGACATGAGGATTATATAATTGACATGGAAAGGGGAAAAGAATACAACCTGAGCCGGGCCTTGAGGATCACTCAGATTTCAAAAGGCGGATATGAGGAAGGAGCATATTCCAGGCATGGAAGACTCTCTTTGTGAATACACAGAACTCACAGGAAATAGAATGAGTCAAAGAACAGCCAATAGTCCAATATGGCTAGAAAATAAAGTATAGGAAAGAAAGTATTATAAAATAAGCCTCCCATGGTGGAAACAGGAAGCTTTTGATGGGTTTGGGTTTTTTTGTTTTGTTTTTTAGGCATTTGGGGTTAAGTGACTTGCCCAGGGTCACACAGCTAGTAAATATCAAGTGTTTGGTCTGAGGTCAAATTTGAACTCAGGTCCTCCTGACTTCAAGGCCAGTATTTTATCCACTGCACCACCTAGCTGCCCCTTTGAATGGTTTTTGAAGAGGGTAGTGACATAGTATGGCTTATATATTAGATGAATTTGATATTTCAGTGAAAGATGAAATATACAAGAGACTAGAGTCCAGAAGACAAATTCTAAAACTTTTAGAATGATCCAGATAGTCAGTGATGAGTCCTTGAACTAGCACCTAACAATCTGATAATCTATCATTCTTCGAGAAATTTCCAGATGGATCTAACACACGAATTCCCTATGCAATGTAGCTTCCATATAACATGGCCATATGGAAAATTGACTACACTATCATACAAAGCCTTCATAAGGTTTTTTGTATACTGTGAAATTTTGATAAAGTTGAAAGCTTCCCTTAGTACTGATGCTCAGTTGTCACACACAATTCCTATGAAATTGAGAAATTTGAAGGGCAGCTCGATGGCACAGTGAATAGAGCTCTGGCCTTGGAGTCAGGAGGACCTGAGTTCAAATCCAGCCTCAGACACTTAATACTTACTAGCTGTGTGACCGTGGGCAAGTCACTTAACCCCTATGGCCTCACCAAAAAGGCAAAAAAAAAATTTTTTTAAAAAGAAATTGAGAAGTTTGAAAACATTTTACTTTACTTTTACCCTACAAAATCCCTTTTCCCTACTTGACAGTAACAGATTTTCTGAGAATTCTTTTTTTGCCTAACTTGTGTTTCTTCTCTAACTTACTGTGTTGTACACACTGGCTTTTTCTTTGATTTGTTTATGTCATTAGCGCAAATTTATCATTAAAAAAAGATTTTGTCTTGTCTGCTCTTCCTCCTTCTCCTGAACGCTTATTTAGCCTACATGTAATACCACCAACCAGCATGGTGCTCAATATTCTTCATTCTTTCATTCTTTCTGAGTTTTGACCCACTCCAACCTGCATTCATGCTGGGAGCTCTCAATAGTTTCCCTGAGGTAGGACTGGTCACAACTGTGTACCATACTACTAGTATTCATTCTCAGGATCCTAGGGGTAGTCCTGGTGTAGGGATAGGCAAAATGCCTACTATTCACAACTGTAGATCCTGAGTCCCTTATAAAATTTTTTTTATTTATACTAATTAATCACTGCTGATGATATTTAACTCTTAATCATGAAATATTTACCAACAGAAGGCAAATGACATTAATCATAACATACCATAACATCACAGTCCACCCATCAACATGAGTCATGCTCTCCCACTGAAGCACTCAGGGTTTCACCCTGGACTGCAACAGATGCCATTAAGTCTCTGCTGGACTTATGCTGATAGAGACTTTTGCAAAGATAAAAGTGAGCCTCAGAGTAACTCATATCCAGCTATAGAAAGCATCAGTGGAGAAACTTTATCTGCTTCAAATTGGAATATGAAATATGGGAATAGCAGCATTGAAAGAAAATTTTAACTGATGAAAGGCTGGGCCATCATCATTCATCTGGACCTTTGTCTTGCCACTGGACTCTGATGATGCTGGAGAAGAGTGACGCTGATGACTTTGCGCAGCTCTGCCTCACTTAAATCCAATTCGTACACATGTCAAGACATCACTGTCACGAGGTCATTGGCCCTTTTTGAGAACAAAGAACCACCACCACCACCAACTGCAGTAACGACAACAACAACAAGTTGTGCATGAGGTCTTTACACAGAGAGAAGGAATTCCAGAGTAGGGGCTGTGAATTGAGCCTTTGTCACATGTATTTCTTACACATGTGCCTCACTGTTATTATGGTCTAAGTTTAGGCTTGTGCCTCCATAAATGATGTGCATATTTGTGGAAAGTGGCAAACCAGGTTTTAGGAGAATGTTTTATATTAACTGCCTTCACCTTGTTATCTGAGCATAGTAGTAGCTGCCATCTGAGATCCTGTCAATTTGAGCAGAAGTTAAGGAATGCTTTTCCTTCTCCTTTCTCGTCCTTCTCCTCCTCTTCCTTCTCTTTCTCCTCCTTTTCCATTCTTCTTCTCTTCTTTCTTCTCTTCCTCCTCTTTCTCCTTCTCCTTCTTCCCAAATCTTTATGGCTCATTGTTTAGGTTTTAATGGCTTAGAATGAGTGTAAATAGAAATTGTTTTCTGTTCTGGACAGAAATTTTAATTGTCTTCCCCTCCCAGATTGATAGCTAAATTGGGTCTTCCTTTGTCTTACTTATTACCTAGCCTTTAATTATCGAATGGGCATGGCCTCAGACAAACTGAGACCTAGGAAAGACCTTAATTTAGAAAAGCCAAGATCACCCACTGCATCCTGAGCGGTCATCTTGACTTATGTCTTGCCACTCACTTGGCTAACTCTGAAGGAGAGAGTGAGGCTGATGACTTTTCCAGCTCTGCCTCATTTAAATCCAGTTCCGCATGAGTCGCTACATCATCCTCATGATGTCATTGGTCCTCCTTAAGCATGGAAGACAGATGAACAAAAACAACAATAGCAACAGCAACTGGTGAAAGTGATTTGTCAGAAAATGAAAAAGTAAATGATACACTGCTCACTTCCTTGAAAAAAAGTGCTCCTGAACTTAAAGCCAGAAATAATAAAAGACTTAGAAGAATCTTTCTTGAAATAGCCAAGTGAAGTATTTTCATATCCTGATTTTCTCCCTCCACCTTTTAATACTCTAGATTTCACAAACTGGCCTTCTCAAAATTTAAAAATTGGAGAATGGCATAGGGTCCTGTAGGAAGTTCCATTGAACAACTGATAGGTCATTTATTGAAAATGGAAAATGGAAATTGAAAATGAAAATCTATTGAAACAACACCTGCCTATCCAAAAGGAGAGAGCAAAATTACCAATCAGCTGCTCTGCTCTAGTCTTTATTGAATAGCCCTATTCCTCCAAAGGCTCGTCCAAACAGAAACCCTCAAGATATGCTGAGTCTTTGCCACTTCAGACAGCATGTGTAGATAAAAGTAGAGAAAAAAAAAGAAAAAAACTGCCTCTAATTCTTGCAAACTCAAGCAGAATACATCAAAATGCAGTTTAAACCATGCTGGCAAATATAAATGGAATTTCAAACCACCGTCAATCAGAAACTCATCTGCCACAAGCAAGTCATTGCCACTTATGATGACTTTAAAATTCTTAAGAGTCCCTCTTTAAATCCTTGTTAAGAAGTTTCATCCAGACCTACTTTAAGCAATTCCACTGCTCAAGCAACTGATTCATTAGTTAAAATGGTTTCAGCAAGCTGTATGCAGCCAGTCTCCCATATCTGTATCATCCCTATCTCTCTGCTTGAGACACAAGAAAGCAAACCATCGAGAAGCAAAAAGAAACTTTATTGGAAAAATAGCTGTAAATAGACCATTCCATATACAGAAGAGGAATTGTTTAACTCCTTCATTTACAACTAAATGTGAAAAGTGATCACACATTGATCAAAAATAACCTTTTTTTGCCTATCATCATTCTCATTAGGAGAAAACCTAGCCCACAAAAAAAAAACAGCTGAAATATGATTTGTCACTCCCAGTTACAGTTAAAAAAAAAAACACGTTGCTTGAAGTGATGCTAAGTAAATCTTGTGAAAATTCCCAACTACCCATAATGCTTTTTCTCTCTTGATTATCTACAATATGCATCCTGTTTGTGCATAGTTATTTTCAGTTTTCTCCCTCATCAGAGTGTAAACTCCTTAAGAGCAGGGACTGTCTTTTGCCTTTTTTTTTAATGCCCTGAACTTAGTACAATGCCTGGCACTACTTAACTTAGTAAGTGCCTAACTAGGTGGCACGGTGAATAGAATGCTAAGTCTGAACTCATCTTCCTGAGTTCAAATCTGGCCTCCAATACTTACTAGCTGGATGACCCTAGGCAAGCCATTTAAACCTATTTGCTTCAGTTTCCTCATTTGTAAAATGAGCTGGAGAAGGAAATGGCAAACCATTTTCAGTATCTTTGCCAAAAAAAAAAAAAAGACCGAAGAGTCAGATAGGACTGAAACAATTGAACAATAAATGCTTATTGAATGACCAGGCTGCCAAAGTGACCTATGACACAGAAAGGTTAAGAGCCCCTTATCTATAGTCTTCTCTTAGAAGCAGCTGGTGGTACAGGAAATAGAGTACTAAGCCTATTGACTGGAAGATCTGAGTTCAAAACTTGGCTTAGACCCTTACCTACTAACTGTGTGGCCAAGTTACTTAACCTCTCTCAGACTCAGTTTTCTCATCTGTAAAATGAGGATAATAATAGTACCTTCCTCACAGGGTCATTGTGAGGATCAAATGAAATAGTCTTTGCAAAGTGATTTGCAAACCTTAAGGCACTGTTTAAATGCTAGTTGTTGTTGTTATTATTATTATTATTATATTATCTTCCAAGGTTTTAGCAGTAAGGAGGGAAGATTTAGAGAAATTTTGGTAGTATTTACAACGGGCTGAATATATATGGCGAGGGCAGAGATGAGGTAAAGATTGGCTGACGATGTGGCATTTTTTATTAACCTATAAGTCTTTTAGTTATATGTTTTATAGAAAGTGTCATTCACTGGTAGATCATTTGCTTTGGGAGTTCTCATCTGTAGCAGAGCTAAAATTAATTGGGTGTCCACACGAAGACCAACACCAATATGGCAAGCTCTCAGGGAGTGATGGGCCAAAGGGAAGGTCAGTAGGCCCAGATTAGAAGTAGGGTAGATTGAGGCTTACCTGTGGATTAGCAATGGGATCTGGTCCATGAATGACCACTGTGCTTTCAGTCTGCCTGAGATAGGAACACTCAGTCTTGAAAAAAAAAATACCATTCACAATTAAAGCTAGTGGAAAAGGAGAGCAATAGGCGATATTTATATATTTGTTTATCTCTCCAGTCTTGACCTCTCTTCTGAGCTCCAGTTCCACATTTCTAACCACACTTTGGACCTTCACTATTGGATAGCCCATCATGAACTCCAATAAAGCGTGTCTAAAATCAAATTCATCATTTTTCCCTCAAAGAGTCTTCCACTGTGAATTTCTCCCTCCCTGAATCTCTACATTTTCCCTATCAACCGATGCAAAATGTTCTAGTCCTGTTAATCCTTCCTCTCTCACACCTCACGTGAAGTTACTTCCTAAGTCCTATTGATTAATCTTTAATATCATCTCTTATATCTAACTTTTACTTTTCATTCTACCTGCTGCCCTCTTGCCTGTGAGCCTAGACTATAGCTCCTCACCAAACTGGTCTCATCTTTCTAATTCATCTTGTGGACCACTGCCAAATTAATATCCCTAATATATGCCTTTATATCCACCAGTCTTTCCCTCCTGCTAGTTCTCTGTTATCTGCAAATCTGAGAATCACTCGCTATCCACGTAGATCACCAGCCTCCACTGGCAGAGAATATGCCAGCCTCGGAGGAAAAAATGAGTATCATGGATGGAACGGGACTTAAATAGCTCTTTGTTTGTTTAAGTACCAAAATAACATGGAGAAATCCAAGATGCTGAAAAAAAATAACTTGCCCCATAAATTTAGTCACTCTGAGTCAGCAAGTAAAAAAAAAGGTGATCATCAGTACTATTGCTTATAAATGCCATACATGAAACTTTGTAATTATAGGTTTATAAATAAAGGAATTAATGAATGGGACCAGGAAAATTTTAGAGAATGGATACAGACTCATCCAGGACAAGTGGTGCTTGTTGTGGTAAGTTAGTATTTCTCGAGACAGAATGTAAAGTATAAGCAGTTTATGGAAACATTGCTAACAAAACAGATGATAAGAAAAGATATATAAAAAAGTGACCATCCTTGTGGCTGTTGTATTATTACCAATTTTTATGTTTTAATGAGAAAAAAATTTGTTTTGCTGAGGTAAATCTTCATTGCCTTTGCCTCTGTCATTAAAAAAAAAATCCTTTGGAACTTGTAAAAGTGAAAAGTCCTTTATGACTTTCAGTATGTTGTTAATAAATTAATGTCTACTCATACTAGCAAGCTAATTATACCAATACATTTTTGTTGTGAAAGCTTTGATAAAACTCCTAATAGTGAAAAAAGTTACTAGTATTCATTTTATTTTTAAAATACACGTTATTTATATTTTTTATTTTTATATAACCCATATTTCTTCTTTATGCCTCCTCCTCTTACCTCCCAGACAGCCATCCATTTTCACAAAGAATTGAATAAAAAGTGGCAGGGGTAAGGGTGGGGAATCAGCAAAATTAAGCAAACCACTGAAAAAAACTGAAATTACATGCAATGTTTCACACCCACAGACAGCCATCCACCTCTACAAAGGAGCAGGAGGAAATTCATTCTAATAGATCTTTGAGGCAAGCTTGTTCTATATAATTTCACAACATTCAACTTTGTTTTGGGGCATTTTTTTCTCCAATTACTTTATTATTAATTGGTATGTAAAATTTTTCTTGGCTCTAATTATTTCACATTACATCAGTTCATATAAGTCTTTCCAAACTTCTTTGTATTCATCCTTGAAAAGAATTTCTGTTTGTTTGGTTTTTGGTTTTAAGCAATTGGGGTTAAGTGACTTGCCCAGGGTCACACAGCTAGTAAGTGTCAAGTGTTTGGTCTGAGGTCAGATTTGAACTCAGGTTCTCCTGACTTGAGGGCTGGCGCTCTATCCACTGTGCCACCTAGCTGCCTCTGAAAAGAATTTCTTATAGTACATTCATATATCACACATTTATGTGCCACAATTTCTTAAGATACAGTCAGTATCTACTTTGTTTCTGGTTCTTGATTACAACAAAAAAGTGCTGCTATAAATAGCATGTATAAATTGGAGTGGATGCTTAGTAGTTAGATCTCAGGGTCAAAAGGGTATAGATATTATAATCATTTTATTTGCATAACTCCAAATTGCTTCACAGAATGGTCGTACTAATTCACAGATCTACCATCAATGCATTAGTGCATTCATTTTTGCACAATCTCTCCAATACTGACAATTTCATCTTTTGTCAACTTGGCCAACTTGCTAGATGAAACCTCAGGATTGTTTTGATTTACATTTCTGTAAGTAAGGTGAATTTTAGTGTGTGTAAGGAGGATTTTCTTATTCCTTTTTAGGTAATAGTTCCAGGATCCTAGATAATATTTCCCACAAACTATGGTTGAAAACAGCTTCTACCACCCAGTTGTAGTAGAGACACAGGGGTGACATACATGCGCCCTGTGCTAGATCGTGACAATATTGCTAAAGTTAACCTGTGAGCTTAATGTTGGCAAGATGCCTTCTTTTTCTGTTGCCCTATAAAGCAAGTGGGCACTGGTCAATGGGTAGGTGAATCCATTTTGGGGATTTGGTTAATGCGGAGAGGAATGCATATACCAGCCTTGATCAGCCCCCATCAAAGCTTGGAGGGAATCAGTGTTTGCCTCAACTGGCCCCCATTGAGGTTTAGGGGATGGTAGGAGTCATAGCTCCTACCATTCTCTCCTGCGCCTGGAAGAAGTGTGATTAGGGAATGCTGTAGGAGTTGGAGCTCCCATTATCATCAACCTTCTTTAGAGAAGACTAGACTAGAATAAAGTAAGCTTATTTAACCCCTCCAAAGCTGTCTTCCTGTCTGACCAGATCAAAAGCGAACCTGTTCTAGAACAACCTGTTAGTGTTAGGAGCCCTCTTGTGTTCTCCTGCCCAACAAATGGTGTTATCTGTGTGTTCTTGGCCAATTTGCTGGATGAAACCTCAGTATTGTTTTGATTTATATTAATTTGCAAAATTAATAGTAATTTGGAAAATTCTTTCATGTGGTTGTTAATAGTTGGTGATTTTTCTTTTGAGAACTGTTTATTGATCAACAACTTTTGATTACTTTCTTTAATAAGTTAAAGTATTCACTAACACTTGTTCCCTATATTGCAATTCAAGATTTCCAAACTGAAATGTGTATTTGTAATATGCAAATATATTTTTATTTATTTATCACTCTAATCAAGATAGAAAGCTTTACTGAAACAAAGATTTATTTTTAGGAACAGAAATGTAAGCATCAGAACAATTCTCTAATTAGCTAATTGTTAAAATTCATTTTTTCAGGTATGACTATATCTGCCCAGAGATACAATTTTAAAGTCCGTATGTTTCTTTAAAATGAAATTTATGATTCAAGAAAGTAAAAATTAAGATAATCAAATTCTTGTGTCCTCTTTTCAGAGACCAAATAATGTTTAATATGAACTGTACTGAAAGTTTTAAGAGTTCTGAGCCAGCCTTGACATTGAAACAAGTCTTTGAGAAACTGATAGGCTTTCTGGGACAGCTTGCAGATCTAGTGATGTGTGACACTCTTCATTTTCGAATAAAAATTACTCTAGAGGCATTGCTTACCATTTATGTTCACTGCAGGGATATATTGACAGATTTGCTAAACCAAAATGTCTTTGAAGAAGATAATTTTGAATGGACAAGGTACGTACTTCTAAATTTTGTAAGTAAAAATCTTACCAAAAGCACTTTTATCTCTGGTCATATCGATTCTCTAAAAATTTTAGAAAATTCAAGCTGAATTCTGGAATGTGTTTTTAAAAAACAAAGCACTTTGTAGAAGTTAAAGCATTATATAAATGGTAGCCACTATTTTTCTCTTTTTAGCCTTTTCCATTCTTCCTTAATGCTTATGCCTTCCTTCTCATTCATCCTGTCCTATCTTGTTTATACATAGTTATTTACTTCTCCATTACCCCATTAAACTGTGATATCCTTGAGAACAGGGGCTGTTTTATTCATTTCTTTGTATCCTCAAATGCTTAGCTGAGTGCCTAGCACATAGGAGGCACTTAATAAATGCTTACTGACTTGACTCCTCCCTCCCTCCCCACTTCTTACTTTCTATGGTCCTTTTCTCCCTGATTGTTCTGTTCTCTACTTCTTTTTTTGTCACGAGGAGTATTAAAAAAAGCTCTTGCATGGATGGTACAGTGGATAGGGTACTGGACTTGGCGTCAGGAAAACTTGAAGTTATATGATCCTGGACAAGTCACCTATCCTCTGCCTCAGTTTCCTTACCTGTAAAATAAGAATAATAATAATAGCACCTACTTCACATGGTTTTTGTGAAGATCCAATCAGTTAACATACATAAAGTACTTTGCAAACCTTAAAGTGAGATATATGTGCCAATTTATTGTTTTTGTTGTTATACTTTTTCCCCTGATTTGCTGCTAATTTCAATAACTTCTTGTGGGGAGCAGTGACTACAACTTTAGTCTACTAAGTCATGAATCTCTTCACCATATCAAAACTATTTCAAGATAAGTATTAAAGTCAGGGGGAATAGATCCAACTACACTTAAGTGGGGGAGGAAAAGATACAATATAGAGAGAGAGTTCTTGGTAAAACTGTGAAGTTTCAAACTTCCAAAGACATTTATTTTCTAAGGGTTTTCTAAGCTCATAGAGAAAACAAAAACCCTGCCTCCATAATCTTATTTCTTTAACTTCCAAGAAAAGCTAATATAAAGCATAAGTAATATCTAATGTGTCATTTAATGTTATAAATATGATTTTTTTGGATGCGGCATTTATTAAACTCTGAGGACAACTAGAAGGAAGGAAGGAATTCTACATTTAATCAGAACCATTTCAAATCCTTTTAGTGCTCGTAATTGCCAAGAACTCTGGACATTACCTTTCTCTCAAAGTTAATGTTTTAAGACGTTAATAAGGGAACCCAGGGAAGATAGGATAAAAAGATGAAGGAGAATGCTGAGGGAAGGCACTTGCCCATCCGAGCTAGTGATTTTTCAGACAGCCCGGGACTGATATTTCTATGTAGCTACCCTGGATTCCAGCCTCCCTACTCTTGAGGCACAGTCTGCCTCGGAATGTCCAGATTTCAGGGTCACCTGGTACTCAGGCTAGTAATCACTGACTAAGCCAACTTCAATAGATATTAGAGATATAAGTTCTTACACGTTCCCTGGCCCTTTGATAGGAACACCTTATTGGTCTTGTCAAATGTTGTGCTTTACTCATCTCTTGACACAATTCATGCAATACTTGTGGAAGATTCTTACTAAGACAAAACTGATAAATTAGCATAGTGAAATTTTCATGCAAGGATCCAGCTAATCAAGGGAGTAAGTTGGACAAATCATTCCACCTCTACGGGCCTCAGTTTCCTTATCTATAGCAGTGCAGTCGCTTCACCTTTTATCTACTTTGGCAATGAATTACTCCTCATTGGTCAGAATCAAACCCAAAACAGTATTTCCCCTCAGTGCTTCTTTCTGTTTGGTAGCAAGGTAAGTCTAGAATTTCTCAGCTGTTCTACTTCTACCAGATGTCCAGATAGTTGAAGTCTCCGATCATGACAACATCCTGCCTTCATATTGCTTTGGTGACCAGTTTACAGAATTCCACTCAATTCTTTCTTCTGCCTGAGTGGTCATATCACCGTGACTGCAGCATGTTTTCTCTTGCTCCTTCCAATGAATCTTTATCCAAAACGTCTCCGTGTTTCTCCCATGTTTTTCATAAATTTCCACACTGAAATCGATCAGTGCTACGCACCATCCACTTTTATCTATGACAGCAACAACAATTAGTATGTTTAATAGCACTTTGAGGTCTGCAGAGCATTTTACAAATAGTGTCTCACTTAATTTTCACAATAAGCTTGTGTGGGAATTGTTAAAACCTCCACTTTACAAATGAAGAAATTGATCCTCGCTGGATACAATCTGTTCCTGTGTAATCCTATATGCACCCTCATGTTCCAGTTTGCTTTGTTTATTGGCTCTGCACTACATATTTGTGTCCCTGTGAGGTCAGAAGTGTCATAGCACCACAGAATCTAGATTTCTTGGTCTAGATCTATAAAGGGGCATTGGAGGTGGTCTAATCTAGGGGTGGGGAACCTGCAGCCTTGAGGCCACCTGTGGCCCTCTAGGTCCTCAGTGTGGGACTTTGACTGAATACAAACTTTGCAGAACAAATCCCCTTAATAAAAGGATTTGTTCTGTAAAACTTGGACTCAGTCAAAGGCCCAAGGACTAGAAGGTCACAGGTGGCCTCAAGGCTGCAGGTTCCCCACTCCTGGCCTAGTCCAACCCTCCCCATGTTATTGATGAGAAAACTGAGACCCAGAGAGGTTAAATGTCATTCCCACAGTCACAATAACAGAGCCAGGATTCAAGCTTTGGTCCTCCAGCTATCAATCCAGTGGTCTTTTCATTGTACCAAGAGGCATAGATTTGAAAGATCTGATGATAGAATCTTTTTTTTTGTTGCTGTTCAATCATTTTCAGTGGTGTCTAACTCTTCATAAACTCATTTGGGGCTTTCTTGGCAAATACACTGGTTTGCCATTTCCTTCTTCAGATCGTTTTAAAGATGAGGAAACTGAGGCAAACAAGGTCAAGTGACTTGTCCAGGATCACACAGCTAGTAAGTGTCTGAGGCTGGATCTGAACTCAGGAAGATATGTCTTCCTAACTAAATGTATTATATTATATACTATTATATATTAATTATATACATAATTAAACATTTTTACTAATTAAGAATCTAAGCCAGTTTCAAAGATTAATCAATAAAAATAGGAAAGTGACCATTAACTGATTTTAAAACATATCATTTCTTTCTAACTATCTATCATTTTTTGTGAATTACTGAACACCTCCACTAATTTTCTCCTGATGTCATAACTGGGAGCACATTTATATCATTTATTTTCAGTTTAAAGCCTTCTTGGTTAGACTTGTAAGTTTCCATTCTCTTTCTATTGAATGTAAGTCCCTTGAAGGCAGCAAGTATATGGTGTATGCTTAATAAATGCTTGTTGATTGATTAATATTGATTACCTGAGCATTTTAAAAAAAATTTCTTTTTAGGCAACTGCGTTACAAATGGGATGACAGCCAGAAGACATGCTTTGTATTTCAAGGACATGCAACCTTTACTTATGGCTTTGAGTACTTGGGCTGCACCTCTAGGTTGGTTATTACGCCTCTCACAGATCAATGCAGGTTAACCCTCACTAGTGCACTCCATTTGAATCTTGGAGGCTGTCGTGCTGGTCCAGCAGGCACAGGGAAAACAGAGACTGTCAAAGACCTGGCAAAAGTAAGTACATTCCTACAAAAAGAAGAGATAAAATATTCCTTTATTTTCTATGCCAATTCTGATAAAATCTTGAATTTATATCAGATTTATATCCAAAGTATCTTTGTCTGCAATAATATTCATCAACCATGTACTTAATTGCATGCCTAAAGCATATAGTAGATATTCTTTCACATTTGAAGTACAAAGTAAAAGTAGGGAAAATGCCTTGTGTTCTCAAACAGTTTTTAATCAAGCTTAAAGACAAAACACTCACAGGAAATAACTAGAGCAAAATTTTTTTTCTTTTTTTAAATTTTATTAATTTTTTTTGATTTATCAACAATCACTTCCATATGCTTTTGAGTTGAAAATTTTTCTCCGCCTTGCTCCCCCCCACCCTCCCCAAGACGGTGCACAATCTGATATAGGCTTTATATTCACGTTTCTATTAAACATATTTTCACATTAGTGAAGTTGTAAGTAAAAATTAAAACCAATAGGAGGAACCATCATAAACATGAAACAAAACTCAACAGAAGGTAAAAATAAGTGATAGCGATTCGACTTCCGTAGTTCTTTCTTTCGATGTGGACAGCATTTTCCATCCTGGAGATGTCTTAGATCCTCGTAATGCTGAGAAGGGTTCAGTTTAACAATATTAGTCATTGTATAACATGGCTGTTATTATGTACAAAGTCCTCTTGGTTCTGGTCACTTCACTCAGCATCAGACCACATAAGTCTTTCCAGGTTTTTCTGAAATCTGCCTGTTCATCATTTCTTATAGCACAATAGTATTCCATTACATTCATATACCACAACTTGCTCAGCCATTCCCCAATTGATGGGCATCCTCTCAATTTCCAATTCTTTGCCACCACTAAAAGAGCTGCTATGAATATTTTTGTACATGTGGGTCCTTTTCCCATTTGTATGATCTCTTCGGGATATAGCCCTAGAAGTGCTGTTGCTAGATCAAAGGGTATGCACATTTTTGTAGCCCTTTGGGCATAGTTCCAAATTGTTCTCCAAAATGGTTGGATCATTTCACAACTCCACCAACAATGTATTAGTGTTCCAATTTTCCCACATCTTCTCCAACATTTATCATTTTCCTGTTTTGTCACACAACTAGAGCAAAATTGTAGGCAGCACGTGAGCAGATGAAAAAAGGTTATATTAGATGGTACGTAGTTAGGTGATTCAATGGATAGAGTACCAGGGCTGGAGTCAGGAAGAGTCTTCCCAAGTTCAAATCTGGCTTCAGACACTTAGTAGCTGTGTGAGCCTGGCAAGTCACTGAACCCTGTTTTCCTTAGCTTTCTCATCTGTAAAATGAGCTGGAGAAGGAAATGGCAAACCATTCTAGTATCTTTGCCAAGTAAACCTCAAATGGGGTCACAAAGAATTGGACATGACTATAAAATGACTGAACAATAACAATGTTATTTAAGTGCTATGGGGTGTGCAGATTAAAGAAATGGTCAGAGTTCAGCAAAGTTAGGAAAGTGAGGGATGTGGATGGGCAGAGTGGACTGAGAATACCTTCAGGGCAGTGGTAACAGCAAGAGTGAAGTCAAAGGGTCAAGAGTTAATGGAGAGATTGATTTTACTCATTTCACTGATTATGAAGGTAGAGAAAAGTACACTTTGGAAATATCTTTTATGCAGTTAAAATAAAAATTTAAAGAATTAATGCTTACAGTGATAAACCTTCAGCTATTTGGCAAATTCAGCTATCAAGAACTCTGGAAGCTGTGTGCCATGTTGACCTAGGCCCAATTAGGATATATGCTGCTATAATATATAAAAGTAAGACCACCTAATGATTACATTATCATTTAATAGGCAATCAAAGCCATTTCCTAACTACCATAAAGAGTGGAATTCAATTCCAATTATTCGTCAGGTATCTACTTCTACTCTGATTATTGTCTAGCATACTGAGGGCTGTCAGGTTATAGTCTGTACCATCAAGACATTTATAGTCTTGTTGGGGAGATGAGAAATAAACACATGAACTAGTTAGATGAGTATTTATAGTCAGTGCTATACAGAATTAGAAAAAAGATGAGTGGGAAGCTAAGTGGCTCAATGGATAGAGCACCAGCCCTTGAGTCAGGAGGACCCGAGTTCAAATTCGGCCTCAGACAGATAACACTCACTAGCTATGTGACTCTGGGCAAGTCACTTCAATTGCCTCACCGGAAAAAAAAAAAAGATGAGTGTGGTCAAAATGATTAGGGACTTTTAGACTAGTGATGGGGTGAACATTGGGTATAATTAGGCAGGTAGATGGCACGATGGATAAGAGCACTGGCCCGGAATCCACCGGAATACAGTAGACCAGGTTTCAAAGCCAACCTCAGACACTTACTAGCTGTGTGGCCCTAGGCCAATTCCTTAAACTCTGCCTGCCTCAGTTTCCTCCACTGTAAAATGGGGATATAATTGTGGTGAGAATCAAGTGAGATAATATTGGTAAAGAGCTTGGCACATGGCAGGCATTTAATAAATCCTTGTTCCCTTCTCCCCTTCCATGTGTGGGGCTGATAGTGTAAGCAAAGATGAGGGAAATTTGACAGGAAAACACAAAGTGTGTGTGCTTTTATTTGTTCACCAGTGAGGCTGAACTGGATAGAGTACAATGTTCACGTGGGCAAGTAGGGAGAGAGAAAGTTAAGGAGATAAAACTGGGGCAAATGGTGAGAAGCCTTGAATATGAATTTAGATTGGAGGCAGTGGAAGCCGGGGAAGGTTTTTGAGCAGAGTAATAGTATTACAAAGATTAATTTAGTTGGAAATGTGGAGGATGGGTTCAAGATAGGAGAGACTAGAAGTGTGGTCACCTATTAGGAGGCTCTTGCAGCCATCCAAACATTAGGATTGGCCTTGTAAAGTCATTGTATTTAGATCCTAAAGGGCCTTTTAGAGACCAAGCCCATCGCCTTTGTTTTGCGGATGAGGACAATGAGGCCCAGATAGCAGAATTATCTTACTCTGGCCAGAACTGGGATTTAAACCCAGGTTCTCTGATATTCTTGTGTAATGAATGGCTCTAGGGCTGGCAAAGAGTAAACAGTTTGGAGAGGTGTTTCTAAGGAACAATTGTCAGGATTTGATGGTTGATTGATTTTTACTCAGCTGAAAGAGATGTGCAACACCTGGGAAATGTTGACTGCATTAACAAAAATGTGTAAGTTGGGAAAGGGTAACTGGTTTAGAGTGAAGGTGAATAATACCTTGGATATGCAAGAGCATTATTTCAGGTAATGGTAAAATATTCAAGTGGGAATGTCCTCCTCCTCCTCCTTCTCCTCCTCATCCTTCTCATCATCTGTAATGCAGAACATTATTTTACCATTTAGGTAGTAGGGCCCTTTAGGCAATGGAAAGCAGAAGTTGCTGCTTAATCTTGCCCCAGACCTCTTTCCTCCTAAATCTAAACAATAGTGAAATGTACTCCTGCATGGCTTAAGCACAGCCCATACCTCCAAAGCAAATGGATAAGAAAACTTGCAATACAATGGCTTTAGATAATTATGTTTATACCAGAAACCAGGACACCTGGTCTGGTTTGTGTGATCCCTGACCTGTAATGATGGGGTGCTCGGGTGCTTGTGCTTATACTTTTGCCCCAAAATGCCTCCCTAGTCTCAGAAACACTATCTCTAACAACCACTCCCCAGCCCAAGGACGCTGTGCCTAGCAGTATTCATGCATGGGCCTCAGCAAGATCCTTATCTGGCTGCTCAGGTCCTAGCCCTCAGATCATATCTCTGGAAAACTCCAAATTCCTTAGCAAGACCCTTATCTGGCTGCTCAGGAAAGTTTGCAGAGCATTATCATATCTACACAGAGGGAGAAGGGTGTCCTTGACCAGCCAGACTTCAAAGATCCATCCCCCTCCCTGTCCTGTATACTCCCTATATAAACCCTAGCTCAACCCCTGATGGGGGCTGCTTGATTTGGATGTGAATATCCCTGGCAGCCGCGCGCTAATAGCTAATAAAGTCCACAATTTAAAATTAGCTTGGGTCGTCAACTCGCTCATTTCTGGTATAACAATCTTCATAATCTTTTTCTCCGCTTCCTCCTTCTCTTTCTCCTCCTTTTCCTTCTCCTTCTATTCCTTCTCCTCCTTCTTCTTCCCGACTCTCTGTGAGGGTTTCCTAGCAAAGATACTGGAGTGTTTTGTCATTTCCTTCTCCAGCTCATTTTACGGATGAGAAAACTGGGGCAAACAGGGTTAAGTGGCATGTCCAAGGTCACACAGCCAGTAAGTGTCTAGCAAGTAGTAAGAGATTTGGAGAATCTGAAGAATGATCTGAAGCATCATCTAATCTAACCCATACCTGAAACAGGTCCACACCACAGAATCTCTGACAAGACTTCATCCAGCTTCCACTTGAATACCTCCAATGAAATGGAATTCATTTCACTTTTGGATGGCTCTACTTGTTAGCAAGGTAATCCTTATATTGGGCCATAGAGAGTAACAAAGAAGTATTAAAATGCAGCAAAAAATAGAAGCAGTTAGAAAAATAGGACAATCTAGTGACATTGGAACTACAGACTATTTTAAAATAGACATAATGAAAAAGAAATGACAGTGTAGAATAAATTTGTTTGGATTCACTAAAGATAATAAGAGATTTTAAATAGCATAATGGACTGAAAAGAATTTTCGTAATTTCTGAGGTCACCTCAGCACCTTGCTAAGAGGAAACTGGGAACCCTGATTAGTCCCCAGAGACTAGGGCTGCAACAACACCCTATAATCTCGTCAGGGGGATTGGGGGGCACTCATAAAATTGATCAGGGTCTTCTCTGATTACTCTCCTCTCTCCCTTACATATCGAACACAGCTTCATTGTTGCCTACTGAGCGAGCTCTCCTTCAAACTTACTACCTCTAGCAAAAAAGTTTATTCTGTCCAACTAAATTTGTACATGCTTACTTTAAGTAACTGTTCCCCTAAATAGTTTTATGTTTATATAATCATGCACCCAAAAAAAGGCAGTCACATTGGCCCAGCCAAAAATACTCATAATGGTATGGACACATGAGTACACGTATAAAAGACACAACTACATACACCAACCCAAAGGGCACATGTACATGTAGGTATATATAAATTACAGAAAGCAAAAAGTAGGTTTTATGTACTGCATACAAACTTGCATAGATGTACCGGGTTCTCAAGCACAGAAATACACATTCATTTCAGAAAGCATTTCATTAAGCTCCCTGATACCACTCTTGTGTTATATGGACACACATACAAAATATACACAAGTATACTGATATGTGAAAGCTGGACACACACCAATATGGATGCATACGCTTTCCTACTATATTCCAACTTAATCCAGAATTATTCATCTGTTGCTTATAGGTAAATGGGTTGGGCAAGGAATAGAGCCATGCAAATTCTGCCATTTTAAGAAACAGAAGGAATAAGAATATTTGTGATAGGGGCTGCTAGGTGTGCAGTGGATAGAGCACCGCCCTGGAGTCAGGAGGACCTGAGTTCAAATCCGACCTCAGACACTTGACACTAGCTGTGTGACCCTAGGAAAGTCACTTAACTCCAATTGCCTCCCCCTCCCCCAAAATGAATATTTGTGATAGAGGCTAAATCAAAAAACCACTCTGTTTCTTTGGACATAGGTTATGTTGCCAATACAGAATAAAGCTCTGGAACAATCCAGTGTCCAGCCTCCTTTATAACTTAAAACCATCACATTCTCTAGTTTTCTTGTCCAACTGTAGTATTATTTATGAAAAAGACCCATGGATGGCTCAGAACAGATTTCTTACCATTTTTCATAGAAAATAAACACCCTAGTCATGGGTCAGTTGTTTGAAATATGTTTAATAAACTACTTAAATTCGATCCTATTGTCCTGTAGATTTGTTTATGGCCTGTTTCCTTTTTTTCTTAGTAGTGATAATTTGCCCTAGTCACACAGTTTGCTAGTAACTGCTAGTATACATGTTTGATAGTATGTGTGTATACATATATATTTGATAGTGTACATATAAATACATGTTTGAATGGTCTGACAAAGGATAGGAGTATATTTGTAGTCATGGAAAAATGTTGTCTGAGCAAAGATTATTGGGAGATTAAATCCTTGTGACCTTTGTCTCACTGGTACTGTGTCCTAATCAATTGAACTACTAGCTTAAATATATACTGGTACTTATGTGTACAGACCACAGTCCTACTGTACTACTTTTAAGAATTTGCTAACTTGTGGCATGCATGCTAACATTTTGCCATAAAATATCATCTGGTAAAAGTAAAAGGTTTGCCCAGGTATGCTTTTTCAGAAATTCCTTTGTTCTAAAAATTGCCTTTACTATTATTTTATGTTCTCATTTCAATAAATGTATGCACTCTAAAACCATATTATTTCCCTCAGGCCTTGGGCAAACATTGTGTGGTCTTCAATTGTTTTGAAGATTTGGATTATAAGGTAAGACGCATCATATTCCCAGAGGAAAATAATTTTTAAAAGTTTTTTGTGTGAACTGATAGGGAAATAATAATAGTTAATACTCTTATTATTATTATGTCTTTATGTTCATGTGAAAGAAGATTTTTGATAACAGAAGTAAATAGAAATGTCACGTGTTCACTCCATGCCAACCTAACAAAATATAACTAAAGAAATTCTAAAAACAAAGAAAACTCTTATTTTTATGGTTATCAACAAGAAAAAATAGCATAACTTTGAAAAAATAACAAAAGTTCTGACATCTCAAAATGGCAGCAACAAAGTTATAAAACCATAGAGGAAACGCTTGCCAAAGAAAGTATTGAAGATACTCAAGAAATGCTGAAAGAAGAAGCAGATTGTATGATCTCTACCTCAAAAGAAATTAAGGAAAACATAAGCTCCACAAAAATGACACAGGAGGAAAAAGGAAAGAAGTCAAGAAACTTGCTAACATGATAGAAAACCTAAATTTTTGCTGGAAGCAGGAGTATGCTGATAACTGTTCAACAAAAAGCTCTCCCATGATACATGTTTAGGTTTGATGTACATTATAGTCATATGAAAAAATGCTTTAAATCACTCTTTATTAGAGAAATGCACATTAAAACAACTCTGAGGTACCACCTCATACCTATCAGATTGGCTCATATGACAAAAAAAGAAAATGTTGGAAAATGTGAGAAAACTAGAACACTAATGCACTGTTGGTGGAGTTGTGAACTGATCCAACCATTCTAGAGAGTGATTTGGAACTATGCCCAAAGTGCTATAAAACCGTACATGCTCTTTGAACCAGCAATACCACTGCAAGGTCTATATCCTAGAGACATCCATAAAAAGGGGAAAATATTTGTATTTGTACAAAAATATTTATAGCAACTCTTTTTGTGGTGGCTAAGAACTGGAAATTAAAGGGATGCCCATCAATTGGGGAATGGCTAAATAAGCCAAGGCATATCATTGTAATGGAATATTATTGTGCTATAAGAAATGACAAGCAGGATGATTTCAGAAAAACCTGGAAAGACTTCCATGAATGGATAACGTAGTGATGTGAACAAAACCAGGAGAACATGAAGAGAAACAGCAATATTGTTTGGTGAAGCTCTATGAATGACTTAATTCATTCTCAGCAATACATAATCCAAGACGTGCTCAAAGGACTGATGCTGAAGCATGCTATCTGCCTCCAGAGAAAGAACTGATGTTGTTTGAGTAGACTGAAGTGTGCTGTTTTTCACTTTTTTTCATTTCTTTTCTTTTATTCAAGTCTCCTCGTACAAAATGACTAAAATGGAAATGTTTTACATAGTTGAACATGTGCAACCTATATCTGATTGCCTACCATCTCAGGGAGGGGAAAGGGGAAGGAAGGAGGAAAGGATAGAATTTGGAACTCAAAACTTTAATTAAAAATGTTTAAAAACTTGGGGGGGGGGGAAGTGATTTTCCCAGGGTGACACAGCTAGTAAGCGTCTGAGGCCAGATTTGAATTCAGGAAGATGAGTTTTCCTGACTCCAGGCTTAGCGCTCTGTGCACCACAGCACCACCTAGCTGCCCACTTATAGATAATAACATCCTCCAAATGATTCTGTTTATTAGACAATCTTGTACTGATTTATTAAATCCTGGAATTATAATCTCCCAATTGAGATCCACAACCTCTCAAAAGAGTTTCATGATCAGTTTACATATGAAAAACCATGTAGATGAAGAATATCTAGGCAGTGAGGTGGCTCAGTGTGTATAGTGTTAAACCTGAAGTCAGAAAGGCCTGAGTTCAAATCCAGCCTCAGACATTTCCTAGGCATGTGAACCTGGACAAGTTATTTAACCTCAGTTTCCTCACCTGTACAATAGGGATAATAAGGTTGTTATGAGGATCAAGTTAGAAAATATCTGTAGAGCACACGGCACAGTGCCTGGCATATAGTAGGTGTTTAATAAATGTTTGTTCCCTTTCTGCTCTCCCTCCCCCCATTATCTAGACTATGAGATGCAAATACGGTGGGAATTAGATAAAGTTGGTCCACCACCAATACATTTATCTTCTTCCAGGAATCCTAAACTCATAGCTTTAGAGCTGGAAGGGATCTCAGAGTCCAGATCCACCCATCTGGTAATTTATGGGTGAAGAATGAGTTAAATGTCTTGCACCAGGTCACACAGCTAGTAAATAAGGAGTCAATGAGAGTCAGGATTTGAATCCAGTCTTTCCTGATTTCAAATCCAGTGCTCTATCTAGTATGCCATACTGTATCACAATTACAGAAAAATGAAATGTTCAAGTGACCCAAAGGGTAATGAAGAGATGTGGACATAAATAGACTGCATAATATTGCCAGTAGGGACTTGAATGCAAGAAGAAACATAAAAGATAACGTCCAGGATCTAGATGAGAGACAGTATGGCATCATGGATAAAGATCTGGCCTCAAAACCAAGAAGACCTGGTTCAAATCCTGCCTCTGACATATGTTGGCCATGGCACTTCAACACTCTGTACCCTAGCCAGCTAAGACAGCTATCTGCTGAGAAGGTCCCAACCCTCATTGGTAGAAAGAGTTTCCTCATTCCTTATTCTCTCAGTAAGATCACAACCAAGTACAATTCACTATGTGTGATCAAGAAGGTAGATGAGCTGCTCAAGGAGTTAACTTGAGCAAGTGATAAATGTACAATGTCCTTGGCTCAAGTGTGACGGTAGTCGCTGGATAAAGCCAAAAGACCCAAGGACAGACTTGCCGCCCTTTGGGTAGACCTCTTATGTAGGATGTATGGGAGGACATGAACAACAGTCTCATAGGATTAGATTATATAAAGGTGTTGTGACCTGCACTGTTGGAAGGAGTGTCCCTCTGAATGGTATCACAAGGCATATCACAATATGTATTCAAAATAGAAAAAAGGATGTTTTTTTAAAGAAGAGTTATTCCTTTCTCATGACATAAGGAGAACTAACTCCAAAGTTCACATCATAAATAATCAAAATAAACCTCATAAAATAATAATGATGAAATATAAGATAAACCCCAAAATTATAGTATTAAATGTGGAAGAAAAAAACTAAATTTTGCTATAAGAAGTATTGAGGATTAAATAGCACAACCCAATAATATATTGCCTATAAGAAGCACAGTCAAAATTAAAATACAATTGCCAATAGAACAAAATTTGAAAGTATTCAGGTGAAAACAGTGGCATTACATAATAATTTTACACATTTAATATAATCATCCAATTCACTTATGGTCCTAACCTCTCTAAGACCCAGTAGATAGCCCAGACGTGAGCTATGCTGCCTCCATCTCCATCAGTTGGTAGGAAACCTTCTGGTGATGAACTTTTCAAAACTTAACTTACCTTTTCTCACCATGCCTATAGTCAAAGCTTTTTTAGTTTGTCAAATAAAAATATGAGCTACAAAACTCAGCACTGACAGAGATGAGAAAGCGGTGCATTTGTGTTTGCCTAGGGAAAAGCAGAGTGTGCAAAGTTTGTGAAACATGAGCTGGCAGTATAAGATAAGGATTAAAACTGGTGGTATTCTTCAGGTAAAACCAAAACTTGAATAGTAATTCAATTCTTCTATTCTTTAAGAGATCCCTGTAAATTCCTATGAATATTGGAAAGATATTTCAAGGAAATAATTAAAAGGAAAAAAAGAGGAACAATCTGTACAGAGATATCTATTAGTCAATTCATCCACCAATCAATAAACATTAATTAAGTGACTATTATGTGCCAGCACTGTGCTAAGCTACATTATTTGTAATATTGAAAAACTGGGAACAATCAAAGAAGTGACCAGTGGCGGTAGAATGCCTATTACACTGGTACATTAAGGCAGAATGCTATATCTTCAGAAAAAATTAGTGATAATCATGAATACAGAAAAGCATATGCAGTAATGCAAAGTGAAAAAGAAAAATTGTAGTGACATATCTTTTTGGGGGAGGGGGAATAAGGTGAGGCAGTTGGGGTTAAGTGACTTGCCCAGGGTCACACAGCTAATGTCTGCCACTGGACTCAAACTCCGGTCCTCCTGACTCCAGGGCTGGTGCTTTATCCACTCCCAGCTGCCCCAGTAACATAACTTTTAAAAAATATATGTGAATATACAGAGTATCTCAAAAGTCTTAGTAAAAATGTAAGCTTTTAATAGCTTAAATATAATATTAATATAACCAGAAGGAATATTATACGTTAGCTAATGAATAATTTTAAGTGTTTTAACAATAGAAGAGTATACAATTGCAATCATTACTAATTTCAATAATTCATCTTTTATTAAGATGATGGGAAAATTCTTCTTTGGAATAGTTCAATCTGGAGCTTGGTGTTGTTTTGATGAGTTCAATCGAATTGATATGGAAGTACTCTCTGTGATTGCCTCACAGATGCAAACAATTAAGGCAGCTAAAGATAATCATTCTCACAGGTATGTATTTTACATGTGACATACCATATTCTCATTGATGCTTAAAAGCTATTTGGTTAATTTACTTAGCTAATATTATGTAGCCTTTGTTATTTATATAAACACATTACTGGATTGCATATGGGTATATCATTAAATATAAAATGTCCTATCATCATATCATTGTATTACTACTTAGTATAATACTTTGAAATAGAGTGACCAGATTTTCCAAAAGGAAAAGGAGAAATTTGGTGCAAATGTTCGTGTGGAGACAAATAATTAGTATCAAAGTTTGAAATTTCTAGTCACAAATTTTCTGCCCTTGACAAGAAATTTTGTTCAGATTTTAGGAATAAACTGGTATCCATCCCCTCAAAAGAAAGGTATCTACATGTTTGATATCAAGTGTCTGATCCATAACTAGAATTCCTGGCACTTCAGGCAAATAGGCATGTCTCTGGGGAAAGACCTTGACTGAGGGTATAATTGAGGCAGCCTCTCTCCTCCTTTACCTCTCTCTCTGAGTTGCTCTCTCTCCAGAATTACTAGCGATCTCTTAATTACCCCATCTCATGTCCCTGTCTCATTCCTCCTCCTCCTTGACCTCTCTGAAAACTACTTGATACCGTCTTCTCGCTAGGTTTTCATGATACTGCTCTCTCTCCTCCTTCCTCTTGGATAGTTTCTTCTCTGTCTTTACTGGATCTTCATCCAAGTGAAGACCATCCATTTTAGGATATATTTGGTTTTAAGCGTTTATGGGACATACAGTTTAAGGTGTCAAATAGGCAGCTGGAAATGTGAGCCCAGAGATCAAGAGAGAGGATGGGCTAGACAAATAGATCTAAGAATCACCTGTATAGAAATAGTCATTGAGTTCATGGGAGCTGAAGAAATCACCAAGGTACCTAGGACTCAGAGATGTTAAGTGACTCGGCAAAACTGATAAAGTTCATAATTACCAGGGTAGAATTTCAAACTGGATCTCCTTGAGCCAAGGCCACTTGAATATTTTCCCACTATGCCATGAAACAACTGAAAACTGAATGTTTTAGAATAGTGTATTTTATGTTGGGACCGATATTTAAAATATAGACCAAATTTGAAAGAGCTAGAAAAAAATTCTTTGCTGCACATCTAACCCCAGTAGATGCTTTGAGTTTCTCAACAGTAAAATTTAGGAAGAAATCTACTAATTCATGATAATTTAGAAATAATATTTTAGATTCCTAAATTTAAAAAAGCTCAAAATAGCTTCATCCTGTGCAAATTGTCATAGGCTTACTCATGAGAAAGTAGATTCTTAAAACCCCAGATCATGAAATTAAGGAGTTTTTCTTTTTGCCTTCAATTTCTGGAATCCATAATTCTTCTTATTATTAAAAAAATAGGTTAACATTCATTTGCTGTTGTCGCTCGGTCGTTTCAGTCATGTCTGACTCTTCATGACCCCATTCAGATTTTTCTTGGCAGAGACTGCTATTTCCTTCTCCTTTTTGCAGATGAGGAAACGAAAGCAAATAGGTTAAGTGACTTGCCCAGGGTCATACACCTAATAAGTGTCTGAGACCATATTTGAACTCAGGAAGATGAGCGTTCCTGACTCCAGCCCTGGCACTTTATCCACTGCACTACCCAGCTGTATTATTGGAGGGGGGGAGGGAGCAAACTATGTTTGTTGTAATCATAATAGTTTTTGGTGGGGAGCTTTATTATGGAGGAAGGGATTACAAGCAGTCTACTAGTAAGGAAGTTGTTGTTGTTGTTGGTTTTAACTCCAACCCCCCCACGAATAATAATAATGATAGATTTATTTTATGTTATGTTTGTCAATCACTTTACATATGTCATATGTTTGATGATCTTTGGTGGCAAGCAGGAAGAATAAATGAGATATGGCATGAGTTTACCAGTTCATATAAAGAAAAGAAATGAGCGGAAGGTCATCCATACGTCAGGCATGGCTGATTTCCCAGCAGGAACAGACAAGTCTCTGGGGCCTGTGTATGCATGATATTGAAAGTTCTATCACGTTGGGCCAAAATGAGGATAGTCAAAAATGAGGATAATGTGTTAAAAAGTTGATCATAATTCACCTTGTATTATCTTGTACATACAGGGCCTCCCCCTAGGTCTTACTACACTTTTCAGATATTAAAGTTCTAAAGACTTTTGGGATACCATGTATTTCGCCTATATTAATTTACATACATGCTTTTTCCCCTGATAGGATGCCAGAGAGTGACTCATTTTTCTTTGTATTCTCATTGAAACTTAATAAGCACTCCATAAATACATGTCATTTGACTGACTGATTAGTAAACAAAGAAGTTTACTGTTGCTTTATAAAGGCAAATTTATGTAATAGAAAGCATTCTGGATATGGAATCAGGTGTTCTGAATTTGAATTCTGTTATGAAATGTGTGGTCTTGGGGCAAGTCATTTAAACTTTCTGGGCTTCAAGTGTCCTCATCTATGAAATGAGATTGAGTTAGATAATCTGTGCAGTGAACATTTATTAAACACCCACAGTTTCAGCTACCATGCTAAGCTCTGGGGGTACAAAGAAAGACAAAAGGCAGTCCCTGCCCTTATAGTCTAATGGGGAAGATAGCATGTAACTAGCTATGTGCAAACAAAATATGTACAGGGTGTATTAGAAATAACCAATAGAAGGGAAGCACTAGAATTAAGAGGGATTAGGAAAGACTTTCTGTAGGAAATAAGATATTAGCTGAGACTTGAAGGAAGCCAGGAGATGGAGATGAGGAGGGAGAGAATTACAGGCATAGGAGACAAGCAGAGAAAACACTCAAAGTTATGGCGAATCAGGTACCTTGTACAAGGAACAAGAAGGCCATTGCCACTGGATGAAAGAGAGCATGATGTGGGGGTGGGGTGGGAAGGAAGGTGTGGAAGAAAACTGGGAAGGGGGGCAGAGAGAAGCTAGGTTATCCTGGAAGGGAGAGGGACCAACTGGAGCCTTTTGAGATTGGGGAGGGAAGGGGGGAATGACATGATTAAATCTGTGTTTTGGAAAAATTACTAGGAGGATGGCTGTATATCCTCTGCTTTGTGTCCCAGGGACCTATTAGCTCGGATATCTCTCCTCTGCCTAACTAGTCAAACATGATTTTACTACCCCTACCTAGTAGCAAAGAAAGAGAAAGTAAATAAGAGAAGGAAAAGTCATAATCTGACCCGGTTCATTTTGGAATTCATTCTGGGATTGAGGCTTCCTGCAACAATAGCCTGGCATCAATGGAAGTCTTCCATAAATTAAACATTTTAGATTAATTTACCTCACATTTCAGACCAAACTTTGGTGTTAAAAATAAATGTGTTATATATTTCGTCCTCATTATCATCACATTGGACACATATACTCCTCACCCTCATTATTCTGAATTAGTATGATATTAATGTATGTCTAAGGACAGTGATGGAAAGCTCTGCTCTTAGAAAATATACTGTGGGAGGACAAGGAATTCCTAGTTTAATTGTAAAAGCTGTAATTTACTTATTTTGTGGAAATGATTAACCAGTTGGTCAATCTGATTTCTCCAAATTTGTGCTTGAGCCATCAAACTAAACTAAGCATTTAATGAATGCTTGCTGGCTGAACGATTGATTAAATTAACCCCCCCTTATAGGCTTACTCTTGGGAGTTTTATAAAAGTGATTTTTTTTTCTTTTGGTTTGTTTGTAGGTTTTATTAAGTGGCTTATTTTTTTAAATTTTTTTAAATTAATTTTTTTAAAAAATTAATCATAACAACATTAGGAGATTTATGATACTCACCTGTTTGCCTGTAGAGGATATTTCTTTCTGCTGCTGATTTTTTAAAATGTAATAAATTTTAGGTTTTTACTAGAAGGAAAAGATATCCGAATCAACCTGTCCTGTGCAGTCTTTGTCACCTTAAATCCTGGGTAAGTAACAGTGAGTCTACAGGAGGCACGAGAAATCTCAGTAGGTCTGAGGCTAAATTCTACTCTTGTCTTAATTTCATTTGGCGCTCTGGGAGAGTTTTCCAAAATTATGCTTGTCGTGTGGCTAGCCCTGCCTTCTTACCCTCCCCCCACCCCAACTCTTTCCCATACCTATTCCCCCTGCCTTCTCATCAGTAAATACAACAGTGCACCTGTCTGAAATGGAACCCACACAGTAAACCACATTTTAAGTTCCAACAGAAGGGAATGGGGTCAGCTCCTCCTGAAGTCAGGACTCGAAGCACATGCAGTAATAGATATTCAGTAAATATTTGTTGAACTGGATTTAACCATCTAACTTTCGTTGGGTACTTACTGTCTACATGTCAATGCAGTAGGCATTTGGATATAAAATAACTATGGTGATGATGGTGATAATAATAATGCCTGGCATTTATATAGCACTTCAAGGTTTGCAAACTTCTTTGCAAGTATTTGCTCATTTGATCTTCACGACCACCCTGGGAGATAAGTGCTATTATCATCCTCTTTTTACAGTTGAGGAAACAAACAGGTAGAGGTTTAGCAACAGAGGTTAAGCTAGTAAATGTCTTATGGCCTGATTCTAACTCAGATCATCCCAACTCTTGGTTCAATATTCTATTCACTGAGCCACCTACCAGCCTCACCTCTATTTGTTGATACAAAAATAACTGGTCAATTCATTTCTTTTAATATCAGCAATTTTTAGTGTCATCTAAACAACAGCATTCACAAAAATGCCTGGTTGGTTGACTGTTTTTCATTTTTTTTTCTTTTAAGCAATTGGGGTTAAGTGACTTACCTAGGGTCACACAGCTAGCGTCTAGTGTTTGGTCTGAGGCCGGATTTGAACTCAGGTCCTCCTGACTTCAGGGCCGGTGCTTTATCCACTGCACCACCTAGCTGCCCCCTGTTTTTCATTTTTCAATGAGTTGTTATGCTATCATGTTCCCAGAAGCTAACTTCAAGAGACACAATCTCCCTCTCATGGAATTCATCTTCATTGACCTACACCCAGAGATGCCCAAAGAACAGTTAACGAGGGATTGAGTGACAAAATAATAACTCAGATATACAATATGTTCAGGCTTGCAAACTATTCTCCTCACAAACATCATATGAAACAGGTAGTGCCAGGATTGTTATCCCCCATTTTATGAATAATGAAACAGACCAAGAAGTTTAGTGACTTGCCTGTGACTAGTTGTACAAGTTAGTAAATATCTAAGGCAGGCCTGGAATCCAGGTCTTTCTCCCTCTCAAAAAAGACAAAACTAATATAGTTTTATTGCCAGACCCAAAAGACTAACAACAATTAGCATTTATAAGCAAAATTCTTCCCCAAATACATAAAGTTTAATTGTGTACATATCTCTATCTCATCATCTGCTAAATCACACTTGGTATAAGTGTTCTTTCTATATTTACATTTTCCCACTTAGCTTTATCAAGGGCTAGGTTTCATGCTTTATAGCTTAGGACTGTAACAAATACTTTCTTTTCATTCATTTAAACTAAGAATTGTCAAGATACATAAGAATAACAATAATGTACACTTTAGCATCAGTTGTAGAAATATTATTCTTATGTTTAAGGAAAGAATTGTTTGAAAAAAAATTAAAGATTGAGAAGTGTTTTCCCCTGTTTTTAAGATATAAAGGACGTGTGGAACTCCCAGATAACTTAAAATCTCTATTTCGGCCAGTGATGATGATGGTACCCCACTATCAATTGATTGCTGAAATAATGCTGTTTGCAGCAGGTTTCAAATCTGCAAAACCACTGTCAGCCAAACTCATTAACCTTTATGAACTAGCTATGAAGCAACTTTCGTACCAGGTAATGAATTGCTTTTCTCAGAGCACTAGATGATATTTTAAAGGTAACAATAAACAGTTCTTTTTATTAAATAATCTACTTATTGTCTCTTAATTCAGAAAAACAGGCCTGATACAGGTAACTTTAAAAATAAGGCTTGAAGTAGAATGTAGTCGTTTGTGTAGCTCTTCAAGCTTAAACTAAATACCTTTCCTCACAACAGCCTTCTGAGGGAGGGAGTCCAAGTATTATTAGTGTCGTTTTACAGATAAGGAAAAGTTAAACCTCGGAAAGCCTCCACATCTTGCAAACATGAAGCTAGTCAAACATGATTTTACTACCCCTACCTAGTAACAAAGAAAGGGAAAATAAATAAGAGAAGGAAAAGTCATAACTTGACCCAGTTCATCTTGAAATTCAATCTGGCAGTGAGGCTTCCTGAACTGATAGCATGACATTAATGGAATTCTTTCATAAATTGAGCAAAAGGTTGAACAGCTGGGAAGTATCAGTGTTGGTATTCACTCTCAGATTCTTCTAACGCCCAGAGTAGTGTCCTTTCCACTAATCCACGCTGCTTACTATTCTAAATTCTACTCTTCCACTTGTTCCTCCTGGTCTTGTAGCCTAAGAGTCCAATAAAGCAGAAAGAGCCATGGGGAGAAAGAATTCTACCAATAGACAAGTGTCCTGATGCTAACCTGGCTAGTGAAGAGAACATCCTCCATAGGGGACCAAAACTCCCCAGGAGTTTTGCCTTTTAGCTGGATTTGGGGCAATATTCCCAGAGCCATCTGCTTCCTCTATGCTCCCAAACCCATGCTGACAAAGGGGATGAATCCATTTCAATCCACCAAGCATTTATCAAGTATATAATGTTATGTGATGCTCTGAAAATGCAAAAACAAAATGAAAAGTAGTCTCCGACTTTAAAGAGTTTATAGTCTCCTGAGGCAGGTGATGGTGGAATGTCTCTTCTTTTGCATTGTAGATCACCCTTCTCAATCATGAGAAATAGGTTCTAGAGAGCCCCTCAAATAGATAAATCTGTGTGTATTTGTTCCCGATACTTCAGACAGGTGTCCTTTCTCTCCAATCCTCTCTCTGTCCATCTTCTTCCCAGTTGTTCTCATCAAAACAAAGAGCACTTGCTCATTATATCAGTTAAATGCCAGTGATCTTCAGCCCCTCTCCTGAGCATCTGATAATCATGTCTCTTTTTAGAAGGGGGCTGTATCCAAATGAAGAGTAATAATAATGATGACAATAATATAATGATAGCTAACACTTATATGGCACTTATGTGCCAGGAATTGTGCTAAGCACTTAATATTTATTATCTCATTTGATCCTCAAAAAATCCTGGGAGGTAGATGCTGTCACGTCCCCATTTAACAGATGAGGAAACTGAGGCAAACAGAGGTCAAGTGACTTGCCTGGGGTCACACAGCTAGTAAGTGAATGAAGTTGGATTTGAATTCAGATCTTCCTGACTCTAGGCCCAGCACTCTGTGCCACTAGCTGAGGGTGGGTTAGGTAGAGGAGAAATAGATGGCAGAGGGTGACAAATCTAGATCCGAGTCAGGGTTTCCTGTATTCTTGTCATAGTCATGTACACACTCACACACACACACACACACACACACACACACACACACACACCCATTTGACAAAAAAAATTGATATGTGTTCATTTGAAAATAGTCCTTTTTTTTAAGTAACTCATATGTATTTTTTTCCCTAGGATCATTATGACTTTGGCATGAGAGCTATAAAGACAGTGCTAATCATGGCTGGCCGAAAGAAACAGGAGTACAGAATGTAAGTCAAATGTGATTTAGACGTTAAACTATGGAAATATTAATAAGAAATGAAATGACCATCCAGAAGCCCAAGGTAGGCTGATTGAGACAGCACAATAAAGAATGGGACAAAATTCTAGGGGCCCAAAGGAGAGGAGAGGAGCTGATGTGTACTTCCACTCCATCATTCCCATTAGTGTGCTTTCATGGAGAGAAAAAAACTTGGTTTGGAGCAAGCATTTTTAACTTGGAATCCACAAAGGGCCTATGGACAGAGTTTGCTGGCCATAAAGTCAGATGGGAAAAAACAACATCTTATTTCAATATTCTTGGTTTCCTTTGCAATCCTATGTATTTTATACATTTAAAAGCATTCTGAGAAGGGGTCCACAGGCATCATCAGACTGCCATTGGGGTCTATAACCAAAAAATAAAAAGGAAGAAAGAAAAGAAAGAAAAAGGAAGGAAGGAAGGAAGGAAGGAAGGAAGGAAGGAAGGAAGGAAGGAAGGAAGGAAGGAAGGAAGGAAGGAAGGAAGGAAGGAAGGAAAGAAGGAAGGAAAGAAGGAAGGAAGAAAAAGGAACTGGCTGGAGTATAAGTAACCATTGTTCTTCTTTACAATGAGTAATCAGTCAAAAGGATAAGAGAATATTGAGAGGCTCTAAAAACATGTAACAGATAAATTCAATCAGTCAGTGAAGAGTTTACTATTGTGCCAGGCACTGTGTTAAACTCTTGGGATAAAAGCAAAGCAAAAGACAGTCTCTGCCCTCAAGGAGTTCATACTCTGGGGCTGGGGGGGCAGGGCAGAGAAGGTAACCTGAGGGAGAAGGAGAAGATGAAGACCTGCAGCCAGGTGGGAAATGATGAGATGTCTTCCCTAGGCACCCTCCTTAAATGGAGGATCAGAGAAGAGATCTTGGATGTCCACCCTCTCCAATTAGAGGGAAGGAGATGCCCCAAGAGCTCGGGATACAGAGGAAATGAGAGCCTCAGAGTTGACATGATCTTGCAGGAAGATGAGTTTCTGGAGGCAATGAAGTCCAGGAGAATAGCTGGGTGGGAAATGATGGAACAGCTACCCTGGCTTTGGAGGATCTGGGAGGAGCAACTTGATGTCCACCTTCCACTCTCTCCATTCTGAGGACTTACTGACCGGAAACAAAAAAAGCACATTTCTTTCCACTCATGCATGTTCGTATTTTACTGTCATTGGAGTCCAAAGTGCCGGGACCTCCCTGAAACCCTTAGGCCTTCTCAGCCACCACCATACCTGCTTCAGCTCGAGCTTGGCCCCCTTCCCTGGGAAACATAGCAGGACATAGAGAAGGAACATAAAATTATTCCTTCCACCCTGCAACTTTCCCCATCACAATTTCAATATATTATGGGTCGGCATAAGAAATTAAATGGAAATTTTTGGGGAGTTTAGCAGAAGCCACAGATGACATGCAAAGGCCAGCAAATAATGTGGAAAAAGTTTAGAAACTCAGAAATGCATAAAATATACATACATACATACATATATATATATGTATATATATATATATATATATGTAGTATTGTAAAATGTCAACATATTTTATCTTTTAATACTGTAATAATTGAGCCTTCTTCTCTGGTATGAAGGGAGGACCAAAAAGTTTTATGTGGATTTTTCAGATCATGAGGGCACCATGCTCCTAATCTACATGGTGTGGAAGGGATAACTGCATTTGAGGTACTGATGATAATCATGGACTTTGTCCACCCCATATTTAGTCTAGGACATAGCCTCTATTCCCTCTTCAAACCTTTCAGAGAATCTTTCTTTTGAGAAATTTTGATTGATTAATAATAATACTATCAATAACAAAATAACTAGCATTTATATAGTATTTTTAACATTTACAAAGCACTTTACAAATATTATCTCATTTTATTCTGGGAAGTGCATGCTACTTATCATCTACATATTCCAGATGAGAAAATTAAGGGAGGCAAAAATTAAGTGACTTGCCCAGGGTCACACCTATTAAGTGTCTGAAGCTGGAATTGAACTCACATCTTCTTGACTTCAGGCCCAGCACTCTATCCACTGAGCTACCTAGCTGCTTCTGATATACTTTTAGTCAAAAATACAGAGTACATATAGTGATAGGATAGTTCTCAAGATATTTCTATCATCAGAAAGTATATGATGTATTACATACTCTAAAACTGTTTGCAAATAGATTGTTGTGTTTTGTTTTGGGTTGGGGGGTTTTTAGTGGGGGGAGGGGAGTTGCCTCTAATGCCACCTTCACTCCTGAATCACAGCATGTCCTGAATATCAGCAAAGAAACAGCCAGTGCTGATTTTCAGAGTCAGCTCACCTAAGTCTTTGTACCAGAATTTGTAAGTCGAAGTGGAGAATACAAAGAAGGCATTGTCTCTCCACCTAGGCCTAGTTAATCTATTCTCGAGTCAGTGAGCTCCCGAAGGAGTGAATGTAGTCCAAGAAGAGTAACATAGAATCTCAGGTTTGGCAGGTGCCAGTAGGTAATTAGGTTGCATCTTTATACCCAGAGCAAGTGTCCCCTCTTTACAATATCTCTAATGGGTGATGACTTCAGCATTTCAGTGAATCTGAGATCTCATCAATGTGGGTACTCCCTTCATCTGCGCATAGGGCAACCCACCCGTATCTTCTCACCCTGTGCAATGTTCCATTACATCCCATACATCCTGTACAAGGGGTCTACACAACACATGGATTTTGACATACGTGGGTACTGATGGAATTCAGGATGTCCTTTGGGTATCCTGGGCTTTCACTGGATGACTGGTTTACCGCTGCCTACCATATACCTCTTTACTGCCCTCTATGCTGCTTTTCCTGTGTGAGTCTTCATCGGTAACATGCTCCTTTCCCTCCCACTACCCTTGACGTATTACTCTAATTTTTGTAGAGATTATTATTCCAAGAATCTAGCTACACACACACACACACACACACACACACACACACACACACACACACACACACACACACACACACACATGCCAGAAGAATATGCAAATATGCAAAGGATTGGGGATTTGGTTATATTAGGAAATTTCTGGTATGGAAACTGCCTCCACAAATGCAGATTGCAACCCAGAGTTTCAACAACAAGACGCTGCTACTTGGTGACAAATTATTGGGCCATCACAATCCTTGAAGCAGAGAAAAATTTAAAAAGGACCTCAATCCTGAACAGCCTCTACGATGACAGTGGCAGAGTCACAGAAAAAGAGGCCAAGAGTGCTTCCAGGGGTAGGGAACCCACCTTAGACCCAAACAATTTTTAGGCTGCCCATCAACAATTACTCACAATGTGAATTCCTTGTCAAGTCACCTCAATATGAAGGTCTTTGCCATCCCATTTGAATATGCACCAGTTTAGAATTGAAGAACCATGGAAAAGCATATAGTAGAACATAAGAAATGTAGTAGATATTGTGCAACATACAATGTATTGTGTAAAATACTAAGCAATAATGTTGATGATATATTGTCTTAGCAAAGAATATGCAATTGTTTGCTCCAAGTTAATGCCCTTCCTTCCTACCTCTCACCCCATCCCCACTCCACTCCCCACTATTAAAGGAACACCAGTGAAGAGCTTTCTGAAGATGAAGTTCTGGTCATTATATGGGCAGTGAGAGAAGCTAGTTTGCCCAAGTTTCTTCCTGAAGATGTCCCACTTTTTGAAAGCATTCTGGGAGATATATTTCCCAAAGTTACAGCTCCAGATGTGAAGCAGCCTAACTTGGAGGTACATACAAATTTAAAGATATAGCTTTTTTTTTATCACTGACTTAGAAGGCAGACAACCAACAGAAAAAAAATGAAAAGGTTCTAGCAATATTTCTATATCAAATGATTTTCTTCTTCGATGAGGCAGCTAAGTGGTACTGTGGATAGAACCCTGGACCAGAAGTCAGGAGGATCTGAGTTCAAATCTAGCCTCAGACAGGTACTAGCTATGTGACCCTGGACAAGTTACTTAACCTCTGTTTACCTCAGTTTCCTCAACTGTAAAATGGGATAATCATAACACCTACCTCTTAAGGATCAAATGAGATAGCATTTGTAAAAAGCCCTTAGCACAGTGCTGACACATACTAGGCATTATGTAAATGCTTATTCCCTCCCTTCCCTTCAATGACAATGGGACCTCCTTTTTTGGACTCTCATATCTCAGAATCATGTAGTATGTGAGGAAGTAGAACGGCACTAAAGAAAATGTAGAAGGCAGCTGGACCAGATCAAGTTTACATAACAGATCTATGTCTGGGGGAGACACCATTTTGAGAATGTTGAGAAATTGATTTTCAAGATATCTGAAAAAGGGAATAAACTGAAGAATAATGCTTAATGACAGCTAGCGTTTACATAGCACATTAACGTTTGTGAAGTACTGTACATATGTCACCTCGTTTGGTCCTCACAACAACCGCGTAAGATAGGTGCTATTATTTTCCTCATTTTGAAGATGAGGAAACTGAGGCAGGCTGAGGTTAAGTGACTTGCCCAAGGTCACACAGCTAATAAGTGAGACAGAATTCAAGCTCAGGTCTTTCTGAGAATATATACTACACAAGACAGAGTGAAGGAGCTCTTCCCCTGAGAGCAAAGTAACTCAGTTTAACCAAGTGAGAGAGTCCTAGACTTCACCTATGGGGAAATCCTTAAAGCATCTAGGGTAGCAAGCTGAGGATAGGGACATGTTAGAGATAGCCAGAATCTATTTTCCATCATCTGCTTTGCATGAAGGGAGGAGTCGAGTTGAGGAGGGGAGAGAGGAGAGCCTCTTCCCCCCTTTTCTAGTGAGTACAACCCCGAGGTCTGGGCTACAAAGCTGCCTTAGCCTCCTCCCACATTGGGGAATTCAGGTTTCACGAGCCTTAGTCCATACATTGAGCCGAAGGCCAGGATTGGCACCAGCTGGGTTTCAGTCCCTTTTTCTTCAGGTCTAGTGCAACAGCTGCTCATGCTGGTCACCTGCCCTACTTCCTCCCTTGGTTCTCACCCTTTTTTTTTTTTGTCTGGGCTGGATCAGTGTGGTACTGCTTTTTTGCAGAGTTGGTACATCCTACTTACACTGAGATTGCTTGTAGGCAACAGATAAAAGGAGGGTGAGCCCAGGCTTTCTAATTATTATTATGTTAGGCCATAATACTATGGTAGTTGAGCTATATATTCATAAGGAAAAAAAAAGCCAAGATAACCAAGGAAGACCTCTTTGAGACAGACAAGAACAGCTTTGAGCTGTCTGGTTACCAGGGTGGTTTTCCCTGTGTGTTTATAATTGGGTTGCTTTATATTGTGCATACTTCTGAATGAATAGTAAATCTTTGTGCATTGGACTGTGCTAATAGCTGATTTAATCTTAGGCACCGAGTATATCAAAGAGGTGGGCAATAACGGCTGCATTATAAGATTCTTGGAAGTCTTTGAACTTACCTTTGAAATTTATTGTTAAGGGAAGCGTTAATGATAAATCATGTTGCTGTTCAGTTGTTTTTCAGTCATGTCTGACTCTTTGCGACCCCATTTAAAGTTTTCTTGACAAAGAGATTGAAGTGGTCACCATTTCCCTCTCCAGCTCATTTTACAGATGAGAAAACGGAGGCAAACAAGGTTGAGTGACTTGCTCATGATCACACAGTTAATAAGTATATGAGGCCAGATTTGAACTCAGGAAGATGAGTTTTCCTGACTCCAGGCCTGGTGCTCCATCCACTGTGCCATCTAGCTTTCCTATAAAATACAGTATAGAGAATGTCACAGAAGATAAAATTGATAATTTGATTACATATAAAATTAAGAGAGTTGTTGTGCAAGCAAAACACATACAATTCAAATTATAAGAGAAACAGTTAACTGGGAAAAATTGTTGCCCCAAGTTTTTCAGGTAGAAGGTCTCATTTTTAAGATAGATAGATAGATAGATAGATAGATAGATAGATAGATAGATAGATAGATAGATAGATAGATAGATAGATAGATGTAAATGGAAATTATTCAGATTTATAAGAATAAGAGCCTTTCCCCAACTGATAATCAAAGGACATGAACAAGAAGTTTTCAAAGAAGAAACCCAACCTATAAACAGATACATGAAAAAAATGCTTCATCAACAGAGAAATGCACACATGTTTTCATGTTCCACCTTGTACCATCAAGATAGCAAAAGAGGAAAACAGCAAATGCTGGAATGGCTGTGGAAAAACATGTGTACTAGTTCACTGTGGGAGAGCTGTAAATTGGTCCAACCATTCTAAAAAGCAATTTATAACTAGGCCTTAAAATTCAATAAAATGTGCGTGCCTTTTGACTCAGTCCAAGAATAAGTAAAAGGACTCATATATACAAAAAATAGTTTGAGTGGTTCTTTTTATGGTGGCAAAGACCTGGAAATTAAGGAGGTGTCCATCAGTTGGTGAATGGATGAACAAATTACGTCATATGAATGAAATAGTGCCATAAGAAAGGAAAAAAGGAGGTTTCAAAGAAACCTGGGAAGACATATAAACTGAGGCAAAGTGAAATGAACAGATCTAGGAGAACAACTTATACAATAAGAACATAATAAAGACTAAGGACTTTGAAATATTTAAAGAACTCTTGATCTATTCAATGCCTGACCATGTTTCCCAAAAATCAATTTAGAAGCACACCACCCCCTTCTTGATAGAGAAGTGGTAGACTTAGGGTGCAGAATAAGACATATTTTTGACCACAGCCAAAATATTTTGCTTGACTATTCATTTGTTACAAGAATTTGATTTTTCCCCCCAATTGGTAATGAAGGTAGGGAAGAGGAAGTGAGTGACAAGGAGAGAAACTGAATGTTTGTTAATTAAATATAAAATAAAAGTTAAAAAAAACAAGCTTGTGCTTTGGGATTCCCTTTTGAACCCTTCCCTTCTCTCTCAAGGGTGCCTCTGTCAAGGGTATCAGATCCACACTGAGACCACCCATGTCAGAAGTCACAGAAGACTTATTATTCTTTGTATCCTCTAGCACAGGGTCTTCAACATAGTAAGCACTTCATGAATAAACATCCATGAAAAAATAAACATTCATAAAATGAATCAAATACAAAAGCTGTGAATCAGGGGTTCTGACTCTACCACTGGCTTTACCACCTTAGGAAAGCCATTTAATTTCTTTATGCCTTAGTGTTCTCATCCAGTGGTACAGAGGAAAGATGCTGGTGTTACAGTTGAGAGACTAGTATCTGAATCCCCCAGATCTAACACTTAGATCACCACGTTTGGAGTCAAAGGAATTCAGTTCAAATCCTGACTCTTCTTTATTGCTTATGTAACTTTGGGCAAGTCCCTTAACTTCCTAGACTTCAGTTTCCTCATGTGTAAAATGAGGGGATTAGACCAGATGATCTCTAGAGACTCTCTTTCCTTGTAAAAATATTTAGGGTGTTGGTTTTTTTTTTTAATTAACTATACAATGACCTCGTATTAATACATATGCCTTGCACTATCTGGATTGTTTTAGTCTTTTCCTGTTGAAACAATACATTACAAGATTGCAAATCTCCCTTAACAGTAGCTACAACTATAGTCATATGCAAAGCACAAATTTTTGTAATGTTCCATATTCTTCTAGTGAAGAAGAATATAAGCTTGTGGTCAGGAGCCATTTTTCATTCTACCTTTTTATTCCCAGTGCAAAGCTTTGCATATAGTAAGTGCTTAATAAATATTTATTGAATTTTTGAAAAGTATCCAGTGGTATTTTTTTTAACAGTGGATGGTTAAAGATAACTTAAAGTCTAGTAACTGGTAATTAAGAGAGATTTTTGAGGGTGTTCAATTAAGAACCTAAGATAAAATTGCAATTTTAAAAAAAAATCTATTGTGATTTTCTCTTTTCCCTCTAGAAAGCAATAGATATGGCAACCCAGCAACTGGGCTTACAGCCTTGGCCATCTCAGAAAAAGAAGGTTGTAGAGTTTTATAATCAAGTCCAGGTAAGTGTAGAATTATATTGTAGCAATCCTTTGTTTTAGATTCTAAAAGCTATATCAGTTTAAAAAAAAAAAGGCTGGCAGGTAAAATGCTAGTTCAAACTTAAGTGATTGATTGATAACTCCTTCAAGAAAGAGAGAGCAAAATCTAACACAGCTCCTTTGCCAGAAGTATTGTCTCGTCCAAAGGCTTGTTGCTTAAAAAAAAGAAATCACCTCACCCCACCCCTATTTCAAGTGGGTTCATTGTGCTGAAGGCTCAGTCACTGGAGGATCCTGAGGTCAATTTATTGAGGGTCAGTTTTCCTACCTGTTTTGATGATAGCATGGTACAATCTTGCTTAGCTGACTTTAATTGATATTCACATACTTCCACTATGCCTTACATATACAAAACCAGGCACAAAGTGATATGCAAGCAGAAATCCAACTCCCTAATTAGATCTACTTGCTTTATTTTTCCTTGTTATTGATTTCCATATATGTCCTTGTATTTTCTGGTTACTTAGCTTTCTGTCCCAATTGTGGGAAAGTAGAGCAAAGCTTAAATTATTTAGCAAATACATGATTCACACACACATTGCAAGAATAAGAGAGTAAAGAGAACTTAGTGCACAAGCAAATTTGCCAACTTTGTTTTTCCCTTGTCACTGATCTCCAGAGTTTTCTCTGTACTTCTGTGAGTATTAGGTCCTCTTTCTGGTCCAGAGTTCAGTAGAGAGATCAAAATTAAAGATTAAAATTTCATAAAATCACAGAATCTCAGATTTTGGAGAGTTGAAAGGAGCCTCAGTGGTCATCCAATGCAGCTCACATATGAGAAGAATCCAGCGTTAACATAACTGTCAATTATCATCCAATTTCTGCTCAAAGGCCTCCAAAGCAGGAGGTCTCTCAAGCCAGTCCATTGTACTTTGGAATAGCTCTATTAGGATGTGGGGTTTTTTTGTTTTGTTTTGTTTTTTTCCAGACATTAAGCCTAAATCAGTTTCTTTGCTGTTTCCACTGATCGTTTCTGGTTCTGATTTCTGAGGGTAAACAGAATGGGACTCCTCTGTCCTTCCCAAGACAATCCTTAAAATATCTAAAGATGTCCATTATGTCCCTGATTCCTCTTCTTCCTACTGCCCCCCTAAATATACCTCTAGTTCTTACTTTTTTATTCCATTCAGAACACTGCAGCCATACTACCTGATATACTGATATTACCATGTACCTTTCAGTCAGTCAATCTATAAGTATTTATTAATTTTTAAAATATTTAATCTAATAATTAAAATTAAAATTATTAAACTTAAAATTTTTTACTGACATAGGAGATAAAAACCAGTAGGAATTGCAAATTTTTGTCAGTCTGGTAAGAAACCACTTGCCGAGCTTAGATGGTCTTTCTTTTTTAGGGTCTATAACACTGCCTTTGTTGTTTATAGAGGAGGTCGAAATGTAGCACACACTGTTCTAGGCAGTGAGTTTTCAAAGAAAGAAATGAAACAAACCCTGTGCTCAAGGAGTTTATGTTGTCTTCAGTTTAAGAACCTCCAAAGGCACCTTCTGCTTTAAACAGGCACCTTTACCTTAGACCAGCTTCTAGTCCCTGCTATTTTCCACACACTATGTACGTTTCCAAATTTTTGCTTCATCTCTTCCCTCAACCCAGAATGCCTTCTATTCATCTTTTTCAATGCTAAGTACTATTTGCTCTGATGAAAACTTTTCCAAGTAACTCAGTCCATACACTATGTTCTTCTCTTCTTTGAAGTCCTATAGTACATATAGTTAAGTATCTAGGCAGTTTAGCATCTTATTTTTTCTCTTGTTTTATGGATTTTGATTTTATCTCCCTAGCTAACATTATCCTTTAAGGAAAGAGATATGGCTTATACTTTGTTTAGATACCACAGAATGCCTACTAAACATGTTGAAGATGCTTAATAAGCCACTGTTGATTTACATGAGACTTTCACAAGACATCTACAACCTTGTATTGTCCCACTGGTGGACTCAGCTTAGTCCTAGGGACAGGATTGTTCATAACTTAACTCTACCACCAGAGGCCATATTAGTCTTCTTATATATGAGTACCTTCCTTATGGTGCATGCAGGCATTATCTCACCCACCCTTGCCAATACCATCCTTTTGCTCGCTCCAGAAAAAGTCCACAGCCCAGAGATCCTGACCACAAAGTGACCTCTCTTGTCATGTAAAAATACTAAGCATTAATTAAAGTTATCATAGTACATTTTTGTGGAGTTCTCCTCCCTCTGAATTCCAGCTTCTCATCTTTTAGCAGTGGCTGAAGTCTTCATTTCACTTTTTTCCTCCTCTTTTCCCTAGTCTTTTATGATCTTTAGGATGCTGTCACATCTTCTATTAAGCAAGGGTTGGAAGGGAATGGAAATTTTTTTTTCAGAATTTCCTTTAAATCATCAGATACATTATCAGATTTTACATCCTTATCCTTGAATCAGTTTTTGCTCAGTTCTGCTTTATTCAGCATGTTGAACAGGGATAAAGGAATCAAAAGAAGTTGGAACGGGGATTGCAGGGTAAGGGGTGCTTGTGCTGGCTTTACAACTTCTTAACTACCATATAAAGCTTGAGTTATGGATATATTTGCCCGGTTCAGTTCTATGATTGAAAATGCCTTGAAAGAAAACCATTCAGCAATGTCAAAGATAAGAGAATATGTACATCATGTTGCACTAAGAACATGTCTCGAAAGAGATAAACACTACAGTATCCTGAGAGCTTTTTTATTTTGTTTTGTTTGTTTGGTTGCTTGGTTTTGAGGTTTTTGTTTGGTTTGTTTTTATTTATTTATTTATTTTTGATAATCCACATTCAAGCCATACCCCCTTTCCTGGCCTCTTCCTCACCCTCCTCCCCTTGGAACTTAGCCTCCTACCTCTGAGCTCTAATTTATAGCTTTCTCCTTATCTTAAATAATCTTGATTCTACCATGCCTGCTTTCCTTTCATTCCCAAGTTATGCCAATAACTCTAGCTCTTATATATATATATATATATATACATATGTATATATATATATGTATATATATATATGTATATGTGTGTGTGTGTATATATATATATGTGTGTATATATATATACATATATATATGTATATATATATATACATATATATATATATATACATATATATATATATACATATATATATATATATATATATATATATATATATATATATATATATATAATATGATTTCCTATTAGGATATAAACAAGTGTTATGGCAGAATAAAGATACCAAGTCATTACATCCAGACAACTATTTATTTAGCTTTGTTGTTCCAGAAACAAATAGGGTTCCAAGGTTGTTCAAACTGTTTATTAATTGTGTTGGAACCAGTTTGGACAGAGTAAAAAACAGGAGGGAGTGATTGAGACACCTGGTTTCTTATTGGTAGAGGGGGGATCAAGAGAAACTGAGGTGAGAGGGAGAGGGGTAGTTATGTGACATTCCTTAAATCAGATGATAGCTGAGAAGGGGAGTAATCTTGTAACTTCTCCAGAATCAGGTGACTTATATGAAGTTGAGAATTAACTTAACAAAATTATAGATAAAGGGCAAAATGGAGTTATTTCTGCTATTTTTTAATGTAACACTTCTCAAAGGAAGTGACCATGCTGCTTGCTTGTATTTGTTTTGCCAGTACTTAGCACAGTGCCTGGTACAAGGGCTTTATCCTTGTTAAGGGCTTAATAAGTGATTTTTCATTTCATTTCATATGAAACTTGTCTTATTTATATTTTTATCTTCTCTGAAGATCATTATATATAGTGCATTGTACATAGTACACTTGAATAAATGTTTGTGGTATGACTAATTCTGGAAACAGTCTTAGAATCAGGAACTTAAATAGGAATCTATTCCTTTCTATAGTTAATCACTTTTTGACCATTTTTCCCAATGATTTAGAATTTTATTGAGACTGTGATTACATGTATATTTTCCCAAGGTGTTATTTAAATGCTTCACTTGAAGAAACTCTTCTGCTCAGAAAGTACTTGGTTTTAATCATTAGCATTTATATTGAGAAAATATTTATTATGTTGAAGGGATGTAAGTAAAATGGGACTTTTACATTTTAGGAAGGAGCTAATCTTTGCAATTTGATTTTTAGGCTTGTATTGGTGTGATGTTAGTAGGCCCCCACAGGAGGAGGGAAGACTACAATAAGAAAAATTTTAGAAAAAGCTTTAATTGTTTTACCAACTTTAAGCACATCTACACCTGCAAAACAGGAAGGGACTCCACAGGTAAGAGTACCAATACATGAAATATTTAATATGATTCCCTTAAGAGTTTAGCATGTGCAACTTCTTTATTTCATATACAATCAGATTCCCTCCCCCCCCACTTATCCTGAGTGATGTGCATATATTTTATATCATATAACCAATGTTTCAACTCAAAAGCTCCTCAGCTTCATCTCTGTTTGGTTATATCAGACATCTCATTTCTCTCTTCCTCTTCGCCTATCAAAATTCAGTTATACTGTAGGCAACATCTCTTCTCCTCTTTCAAAGCAGAGCTGCTACTCATAGCTAACTAAACATTTCTTTCTGTTTGCCTGTTCTGTATCTGTAAAACGAAGGTGTTGTGATAGATGGTTGTGGAGATCCCTTGCAGTTCTAAAATTCTCCAATTCATTGATTCTGTCTAGTCTCTTAGAGAAGGAAACCAAGTCAAAAAGCATTTGTTATCTACTTACTGTGTTCCAGACACTGTGCTAAGCACTAATATGGGAAAAAATTAAGTCCTTGCCCTCAAGGAGCATACATTTTGAAGAGGGAAAATAATGCATAAAAGAAAACTGAAAAGGGGCATAGGGTGGAAGGCATGGTGGCAAAGGCCAGAGCAAGAAGGGTAGCTGGCCTGGGCTCTTCTTCAAAATGGAGGTTCTGGGAAGAACTTACCAGTAGAAGGAGGGATTTATCAGCTAGTCATGGTGGGGAAGTGGTGAGACATAAGGGCCAGCCTAGATGCCCTCCCTCTTCCTGTCAGTATTCATTCCTGGCTTCATGGTGTCCCCAGCCTTCCATGTGAGCCATGACCAAAAACAAGGCTCTACTCACAAGTGTTAACCATGGCTTATTCTGGGCTGATCTATTGAAAGTCTTTGTGGGTGCTAACTCCCTGAAACAGATGAGAAGTAAGGAGAAAAGGGTTTATCAAGCAGGTAAGGAAGATGGAGAAAGAACCACAGCCCTCAGTAACCCTTTCATCCTGCCCTATAACTCCATGCTTACCACTTTAGAACAATGAGGTAGATGGGTGCCATAGCATTCTGTACTTCATGTCCCCATTTTCCATACGAAGAAGCTTCTAATTTGTTGTATTGGACATCTATAAGGTAGATTAAGTAGTTTTTTGTTACACCTCTTTCCCATGTTCTTCCCTGCCTCTCAGACATCCAAAAGAGATATTTTAGGCAAGGAAAATATTTCTAGCACCCTATTAAAAAGATGAAAAGACTGAGATGCATGAATGCCCCTACCTTATAGGAATACAGGAATATGACCTTGTTCAAGTCTCAGACTGACTCTTTAGCCACTGCCCAGTACTTCCCAAAAGGAAAATCCAAGTAATCCAATGCATGTGTGTGTACGTGTGTCCATTTATGTCAAGCTATAATTTTTTAGTATGTGTTTTAATAAAGTTGTTAATTCTGTTATAATATTTTGTCATCAAGCATTATTTTTAGTGAATTAGCATGATCACATTTTGGTTGCAGGTTCCCATGCCTCAGTTTTCCATAATAGACCCAATTTCATGTTATATAGCATTTTTTTTCTGGGAAGTATTCCCCATGTAGCTTGGCTTTCCTCTGAACTTAAATAATGTTCTTTTTGATTTTTCACATCATCTTTTTAATCTGTTTATAATATTGTTTATCTTATATTCAACCTCCCACAGGACAGAAATTATGTTAGTTAACTCATTTTAGAAGTTGTTGGGGGGGGTTTTTCAAGACTTTATGAATAATTGGCTTCTAGACAGATGATGTCAGAAGGAAACTCAGTACGTGAGAAGGAAGTTTCCTTTATCTAGGTTGACAGTAAACAAGTATTGGATTCAGTTTTATTTAAGCATTGGAGAGGAGTGACAATTTGGTAATAAAGTTGGAGGAAGCTTTTGGTGTTTGAATAAGAGGTTTCAATGGGCAAGATAAAATTGGATCAAGGATGCATGTTTGAGTTTGGCAAGGTAGTCCAATGTAGTGGAGAAAGTGTTATTAGGAGTCAAGAGAGATCTGGGTTCAAATCCTGCCTCTGACACTATCTGATATACCCTAAGCAAGTCACTTACCTCTCTGAACCTCAGTTTTCTCACCTGTAAAATGAAAATAAAACTTTTGTACTATCTAGCATGCAGGGTCATTGTAAGGGTTAAAGTGCTATATAAATCTTTTTCTTTTTTAATAAGCAAAAGTAATGATGCAGGGTTCTTGGTCTCACAATATTATATAGGGTGTCTTCAAGTTGTTAAGTTGGAGAAGATGACTGCAAAATACCATTATGTCAGGTGGGTTTACTTGTTCTATTTGAAAACTATTGCAATCTCTTCAACTTCAAGTGATGAAAAGACAGTAGAGAAACCTGGAGATTATGGAAAATAGAGGTGAGGAAGACGTGTGGTACAGCAGGGTTAATGTCAGTGTTATATAATTGATATGACAGCAGGAAAGTCTTTGTGGAAAAGAAGACAAGATATTTTTAGGAGGATTATTTTAAGACACTGATTGTCTTTGGTTCATAATTCAGGGGCTCCTTGAATAATATTTATACATAGACAAGTTGCATTAGAAAAGAATATATTATGTGTATTTTTTCTGTTCGTGATTTTATTCTATTTTTGTGGAAGATTATTTAGGGAATTTCCAAAATGTTTTTATATTGTGTACTATAATTAGTTTTAGTAAGCATGTGGTTTTTAATTTATCTTCCAGCTGTACTACTGGTATACTATAGGGTCTACTCTTCATGAAAAATTGTGTTTTGAACTTGGGCCCAAGGTCTATACTGTCCATTTTGCCAACAAATGTTAATTGCAATAGAAATGATCAGATTATAACTTCTTCTATGTCTGTGTATTCGTTACTTTTCTAAAACAAATATTGGTCTGTTACAGGTTACAGGAAAAAGAGGGAAAATAGAAATTTTCACTTTAAATCCAAAATGCATTACTCTTGGTGAACTCTATGGCCAAATGGATCTGAACAGTATGGAATGGTCTGATGGATTATTGTCATCATCAGTGAGAAAGTTCGTACATTATGGCACTAAAAAGAAAACAAAGGATACAGAGACTGAAGCAAATTTACACATTTCAGATTTTTCTGATGTAAGTGCAGTATAATTTTTACACTAATGCCTGGACTTAATTTGATTGATATAAATAACTTATTTGAAGCCTATATGATGAGGACCTATTTAATTAAATTCAATAAAAATGTATGGAGTTCCATCTGCATTCAAGGTGCTAGTGATACAAAGATAGTTATGACACATAACGTAGTCTTAATCTACTATAAGGAAATGATATATATGCCAAAAAAAACCAAACAGTAATAAAAGGGACAGTGTGATAAATGTGGAGCAGCTAGGTGACACAGTAGAGAGAGTACTAGGCCTGGAGCCAGGAAGATTCATCTCCCTGAGTTCAAATCTGGCCTCAGACATTTAACTACCTATATGATGCTAAGCAAGTCACTTAACCCTGCTTGCCTCAGTTTCCTCATCTGGAAAAATGAGCTGGAGAAGCAAATAGCAAGCCACTTCAGCATCTCTGTCAAAAAAGCCCCAAATGGGGTCATGAAGAGTCAGACAGGACTGAAAAATGACTGGACAAAAGAAAAAAAACACCCATGATAAATGTAAAGAAGCTAGGCACAAAGTAATGGGAAATTTGAAAAAAGGGGAGGAATCATTTTTCCCTGGGGGAGGTAAAGTTAAAGAAGGCTTCACAGAAAACATCTCAAGAATTGAACTTTGAAAGAATGGATTTCTGAGGATGGAGATTGCTGGGGCAGGCAGGCTGCAGGTAAATAGAAGACATTCTAAGTATGGGGGACAGTGTGAGCAGACACAGAGATAAAAACAATTTTGAATAAGAATGAGAGAGGAAGAGAAATTCACTTTTGCTGGAGTTTAGAATATGTAAAATAGAATACTGTTACATAAAGCTAGAGAGATAGGTTGGAGATAAGATCCTGAATGTTGGATTCAGGCATTTATGCTTCATTTAAGAGACAATGGGGAGCCATGGAAAGTTTTTGAGTAGAGGAGTAAAACGAAATCACAATCAGAGCAGTGAGATAGGAAGATTACTCAGGCCAGGGTATGGAGGACAGATTGAAAGAGAGGGTATAAACTAGAGACAGGAAGATCATTTAGGCAGCTTGTCGTTGACCAGCCAATACAATTAAGGCCTAAACAAGAGTGGTTTCATTGTGAGTATAAAGGGGGGGGAAATGGAGTTTAAAAATATCGTACAATTAGAATTGATGACACTTGTCAATTGATTGAATGTGGGAATGACAGAAGAGGCAGGATCAGGTATGACTGATAGGAGTTTGGCTGACGATGACCGTGGGACTAAGTACAGCATCATTTCCTATTACTTATTAGCACTGTCCATTTCCACTGACTGTTACTTAGGCTTGGAATGATCTCCCTCCTCACCTCCAACTCCAAGATTTCTTGGCTTCCTTCAAAATTCAGCAAACCTTCTGGAGGAAACCTTTCCTGGCTTCTCTCCTTTTTTCCCTCTCCCTGTGTGAATGCCTTCTCTCTGAGATGATCATATCTACATACACACACACACACACACACACACATATTATATACACACACATATACATAGATACACATGAACATATACATATATATCTTATCTGTACATAGTTATTTGCATATTTTCTCCCCCATTAGACTGGAAACTCCTTGAAGGCAGGTACTGTACTTTTTTGTGTTGTTTTTTTTTTGTATCCCCAGTACTTAGCACAGTTTCTGGCACATAGTAAGCCCTTGGTAAATGTTTATTGGCTAATCTCTGCTCCCCCCAAAGAAAAAGTTTCATTTTAAAATGCCACTAACACAAAAGAAGAGGAAAACATAATAAAAGAAATTTAATAAAGATGTGCCCATAAAGTCCAGAAGCTCACAAAATAAAGTATAATAAGGACAAGTTAAAACACACATAGGAAAAAATGCGGTACAAAAAGCAAAATGGAGGAGCCAAGATGTCAGAGTAAGCTGTAAATTGCTGTAAATTTCCCATATTCACCTCCAAACAACCATAAAATTATGCCCCCAAACAAATCCTAGAACAGCAAAACCAGCAAAAAGATGGGATGAAATAATAGTTTAGCCCAAGAAATTTGGAAGATCAGCAAGAAAGATCTATGTCACTCAAGGTAAAAGGGGAGTGCATTCCAGGACAGGATGCATCCCAGCAAACCAGAAGGAAATCCTGAACCCCAGTGGTGTAGAGCAGGAAAATGCCAACACCAGGACCCCATATGTGCCTTAGCATAGCCAGGGGAACTGGCAGATTCCAGCTCTAAGGACCACTGCGTGCTTCAGCACAGCCCAGGGAAAAGAGGAATCCTACAGTGGCTAGACCTCCATGTGCTTCAGGATAGCCCCAGGGAAACACAGAAACCCCCACCGGGCCTGAGCACACACCAGACACCACCACTAGGACCCCGGCTCAGCACCCTGCAAGCTGCCAGATCCCTACTGCCTCCAGCAGTGCCAGCCAACCCCCACCCCATCCCCTCAGCATAGCACCACACACAAGGGTCCCCCATGGGCCTCAGGGCAACATCAGTACAGCACCAAGTAAACAGCTAGCGCCTGCAGCCCCTGGCAGAAGAAGCCTGAGACAGTGCCCCTTCCACCTCCAGGGCAGAGCGCAAATTGAAAAGAAGGGGGGAAAGCCAAAAAAAAAGAGCAATAAACAACAACAACAACAACAAAATCTTGACCATAGAAAGTTATTATGGTGACAGGGAAGACCAAGACACAAACTAGAAGAGAACAACAATGTTAAAAAATCTGTGGGCAAAACCCCAAAGGAAAAAGGGAAGTGGGTCTCAAGCCCAGAAAGAACTCCTGGAAAAACTAAAAAATGGGTTTAAAAATCATGTAAGAGAGGTAGAAGAAAAATGGGAAAAGAAACGAGAGCGTTATAAGGGAATTATGAGAAAAGAGCCAACAGCTTGGAAAACTGCTTAAAAAGTAGAATTGGCCAAATGGAAAAGGAGATACAAAAATCCACTGAAGAAAACAGCTCCTTAAAGAGTACAACTGTTCAAATGGAAAAGAAAGTACAAAAGCTAATTGAGGAAAATAACACCTTAAAAGTTAGAACTGGGCAAGTTGAAGCTAATGATTCTATGAGACATCAAGAATCAATCAAGTTCAAAAGAATGAAGAAATGTAAAATACCTCATGGGAAAAACAATTGACCTGGAAAATAAATCCAGGAAAGACAATATCAAAATCATTGGACTACCTGAAAGCCATAATCCAAAGTAAGACCTAGACAGCATCTTTCAAGAAATTATCAAGGAAAACTGCCTTGATGTACTGGAACCACAGGGCAAAATAGGAATTGAAAGAATCTGCCATTCATCTCAGGAAACAGATCCCAAAATAAAAATTCCAAGGAAGATTACAGCCAAATTTTAGAACTATCAGGTCAAGGAAAAAAATACAACAAGTGACCAGAAAGAAACAATTCAAATGTTGGGGAGTCACAATCAGGATCACACAGGACTTGGTAGCTGAACTTGATATTCTGGAAGACAAAAGAGGCAGGATTACAACCAAGAATCACTTACCCAGCAAAATTAAGCATAATACATCAAGGTGAGGAAAAGGTCAGCAAAACTATGCTAGTGGGGGACCTCAACCATCACCTCTCAGAACTTGATAAATCCAACCAAAAAATAAACAAGAAAGAAACTAAGGAGGTAAATAGAATATTACAAAAGTCATATGTAACAGACCTTTGGCATGATTTAGACATAAAGGGTGACACCATAAGCAAATTAGAAGAGCAAGGAATAGTCCACCTGTCAGATCTATGGGGAGGGGAAGAATTCCTGACCAAACAATAGATAGAGAGCATTATAATACATGAAATAGATAATTTTGATTATATTAAATTAAAAAGCTTTTGTATGAACAAAACCAATGCAACCAAGATTAAAAGGAAAGCAGAAAACTGGAAAACAATCTTTACAGCAAGTGTCTCTGATAAAAGCCTCATTTCTCAAATATATAGAGAACTGAGTCAAATTTATGAGAATATAAGTCATTCCCCAATTGATAAATGGTCAAAGGATATGAACACGCAGTTTTCAGATGAAGAAATCAAAACTATCTATAGGCATATGAAGAAGTGGTCTAAATCACTTTTGATTAGAGAAATGCAAATTAAAACAACTCTGAGGTACCACCTCACACCTATTAGATTGGCTAATATGACAGAAAAGGAAAATGATAAATACTGGAGAAGATGTGGGAAAATTGGGACACTAATGCACTGTTGGTGAGGTTGTGAACTGAACCAACTATTCTGGAAAGCAATTTGGCAACCAAATTGTGCATACCTTTTGCTCCAGCAATGTCACTACTAGGTCTGTATCCAAAAGAAATCAGAAAAAAAGGGAAAAGGACCTACATGTGCAAAAATGTTTATAGCAGCCCTTTTCATGGTGTCAAAATATTGGAAACTGAGGGGATGCCCATCAATTGGGAATGGCTGAACAAGCTGCTTGTTCGTATGAATGTAATGGAATACAATTGTGCAATAAGAAATGAACAGGCAGGTTTCAGAAAACCCTGGAAAGACTTGTATGAACTGATGCAAAATGAAATGAGCAGAACCAGGAAAACATTGTACACAGCATCAACAATGTTGTGTAATGATCAACTATGAATGATTCAGCTCTTCTCAGCAACACACTGATCCAAGACAAGTACAAATGACTCCCTAAGGAAAATGCTATCCACATCTAGATAAAGAACTGATGGACTCTGAATGCAAATTGAAGCATATTTTTTTCACTTACTTTATTCTTTCTCATGGGTTTTTTTTCCCTTTTGATCTGTTTCTTTCACACTTGTGCAAATATGGAAATAAGTTTTACATGATAGCACATGAATAAACTGTATCAAACTGCCTACCATTTTCAGAAAGGGGGGGAAGGGAAGGAGGAGAAAACTTTTGAACTCAAAATCTTGTCAAAATGAATGCTAAAAATTTTCTTGACATGTAACGGGAAAAAAATAAAATACTATTAAAAAAAACAAAGAACAAGATGGCTATGTGCGAGAACACACACAAAAAGGAAATCTTTAGATCAGAATGGATAATAAACTGACTTGAGGCAAGAAATGTACTTCTTTCCTTTACAGCCTTGAGTTAGGCACTTAATTCCCCTGGGCCTTAGTTTCCCCCTAATGTGTATAACATGTGGGGACTGGACCAGGTGGCCTCTAAAATCCCTTCAACCTCCAAATGCACATAGATAAAAGGACAAATGTGATGTGGTAGGATTTATAAATATGAGATATGAGTATATTAGATAATGAAGTAATGCTTCCATTATATTCAACGTTGCCAGGCCTATAGTAATATCAGCAATATCAGATTTGAAATATTGTCTATTTCTGCCATATTGTTCTCTTAAACCACATCTTTACTTTAAACCCAGCACTAGAACTCAAGTCACATTGTTTTCTGCCTAGCTTCCTGAATTTGGTATTTTGTAGATATGTAGCATTGGCTTCTGGGTTGTCAACATTGCATGGAAATAATACTTAATATCAAGCCTTATCATTAATGACTCTCTGCCAGACATTGTCTTTTGTATATAGGTGTTGTAGAAGTAGAGATTTCAGCTGGCCTAGGGGACCAGAGTTCTTTGGGGAAAATTGGCAATTAAGTTTGGGAACCTATATGGCACTCTGAACTCTAAACTAAAAGTTTATCTAATCTTTTATGCAACTTGAACATGTCACAGATGTTTTGTTGAGTTTCTTCAAGAAATATTTTAATCAGTATCATCTTTGAATCCAACTTGATATCAAAGGACAAGACAAGATGACTACCAGTGAGGTCCTGTGATACAGCTAATATGTGATATGTGGACCAGACCTGTGATTTTATTGATACAGAAAATTCCCAGTGAAGAAACTCCTTCTACCCTTTACTAATGTAGAGTATCTGCTCTGTAACATATTCTTAGACAGTTGCATGGTGAATTGAGGGGTTAAGGGATTTGCCAACACAGCCAAAACGTGTCAGAAGCAAGATTTAAACCTAAGATTTACTGACTCCAAGTCCTGTTCTCAATCTACTACCTGCCATATATGGCTCTATTAACTAATTTTTTACTTCTCAAATATAAAAAGGAGGCAGTTGGCTTATGTTCAATCTTATCCTACATTCCAGTCAATCATGATTTGTCAAATAACATTGTAAACATTAATTTTTAATATATTTTAGATTTTCATGCTTGATCCTAATAAAAGAGAAGAGTTTACTCATGTTGAAGATGAGGATGAGGATGAAACAGAGAAAGATGTTCAATCTCCAGAAGAAAATCAAAGTAAGCGATCTCACTAAATTGAGAAGATAATGTAAAAGATACACATCAAACAAATAGAAACTTTGCTCATCTCTATTATATAACATTTTTCCATTGTTATTCTTTTAATCATTTTTATGTTATAATGTACAAGAAGTAGGTATATGTATAGCAAGAAATAAGTTATAGTACAATGTAGTATAACGTAGTAGTAAGTAGAAGCAGTGTTGCATAGTGAATGGTGGGCTGGGTAAGGAGGACTTCAGTTCAAATTGCGCTCCTGACATTTACCAGCTTCTCTTCTTCCGTGTTGTCCTTCACTTCAATATTAGTATTCCTAATCTGCTGCGCTGAATTTTGCTTCTTTGGAGGGACTTGTTACCATGAACTCAAGTTTTTCTATTCTGCTTATTATTCCTGCTGTGAATAAATTCTGTGTTTTCTTCTAACTTCATGCAAAAATCTGATTTCTCCCTTGAATCATGCAAGAACCCTATCACTCATTTTTTGACACTACCCACTTTGATGAAGGATTTACCTTTCATACTAAATCATGACACTGTCAGCCTCTTCCTCTGTTGGGGAACTTATTTTTTGCTAATCTTGGTCCCTTCCTTGAGTAGTTGCTGAGACTCAAGACTGGCCCTAGTTGAATCCATTCCTTCAGGTCTCGAACTGCCACTTATACCCTACCCTAGTTCACCTCCATTTTTTTTTAAAAAATTTTATTAATTTATTTTGATTTATCAACAATCACTTCCATATGCTTTTGAGTTTAAAACTTTTCTCCCTCTTCCTCCCCACCACCCTCCCCAAGACAGTGCGCAATCTGATATAGGCTATACATTTATATTCCTATTAAACATATTTTCACATTAGTGAAGTTGTAAGTAAAAATTAAAACCAATAGGAGGAACCATCAGAAAGAGGAAACAAAACTCAACAGAAGAGAAAAAAAAGATAATGATTCAACTTTCACAGTTATGATTACTATCTGTGTCTTTTTCTCCATCCTTTTTCCCCCTGTATGCTTTTCTTTCTCCTCTCTCCCTGCTTTTGACCACCACCTCCTTCAGTCTCTCCTCCCATCTATTATCCCCTTCCCCTTTACCCATACCACTTCTTCCCTCCCTTTCCATCCCCTCTCCTTTTTCTTTCCCTTTTTCCCTCCTACTGACAATAGGGCAACTTAGATTTCCATACCTAACTGATTATGTTATTCCCTTCTTGAGCCAAATCTGATGACAGCAAGGTTCAAACAATGCTCACCCCCCTCCCTTCTTCCCTCTGCTGTAATAGGATTTTCTGTCTTTTCCTGTAATGTAATTTACCCTTGTCTGCCTCCTCCTTTCTCAGTACATTTTCTAAGATCAGACTAATCCACTTACTTGGAGCCATTTAACCCACTTGATTAGATTTTTTTTAACATTACATCAAAGTTAACTAATATCCACCTCCTTTCTGTATAGTCCTTTAACATGGTGTAATAACAATACAGTTCTCAAGAGTTGCAAGTGTCATCTTCCCTTGTAGGGATGTAAACAGTCCACCCTTATTAACAACATTTTGTATCTTTCTGTCCCATTTACCTTTTTATGTCTTTCTTGAATCTTGTACTTGAAGATCAAATTTTTTGTTGAGCTCTGGTCTTTTTATGGGGAAGTCCCCTATTTCATTGAATATCCATCTCCTCTCTTGAAAAATCATGCTCATTTTTGCAGGGTAGTTGATCTTTGGCTGCAATCCAAGCTCCTTTGCCTTAAGGAATATCATGTTCCATGCCCTGTGGTCTTTTAATGTTGAAGCTGCAAGGTCCTGTGTAATCCTGACTGTGGTTCCATGATATTTAAATTGTTTCTTTCTGGCTGCTTGTAGCACCTTCTCTTTCATCTGGTAATTTTGGAATTTGGCTATTGTATTCCTTGGCATCGTCAATTTGGGATCTCTTTCAGGTGTTGAGCGGTGTATTCTTTCTGTGGTTATTTTACCTTCTGGTTCTAGGACTTCAGGGCAGTTTTCCTTTATGATTTCCTGAAAGATACTGTACAGGCTCTATTTTTCATCATGATTTTCAGGTAGTCCAATGATTTTTAAATTGTCTGTCCTGGATCGATTTTCCAGGTTGGTTGTTTTACTGATGAGGTATTTATGTTTTCATCCATTTTTTTCATTTTTTTGTTTCTGTTTGACTGATTCTTGCTCTCTCATAGAGTCATTAGTTTCCATTTGTCCAATTCTAGTTTTTAACAGATTGTTTTCTTCTGTTAGTTTTTGTACTTCCTTCTTCAATTGGCCAATTGTATTTTTAAGGGATTTGTTTTCTTCAGTGTACTTTTTTTCAGTTTGCCAATTGTGTTTTTTAGGGACTTGTTTTCTTCCAATTGGCCAATTGTATTTTTTAAGGACTCTTCTACCTCTCTCATTAGACTTTTAAAATCCTTCTTGAGCTCTTCTAAGAAGGCTTTTTGGCTTCAGACCAGTTCATATTCCCTTTTGATGTTGCAGATGTGGGTTTGTTGACAATGTTGTCCTCTTCAGAATTTCTGTCTTGATCTCCACTCTTCTCATAATATGAATCTATGGTACATTTCTTTTTACTCATGGTTTCTTTATTCCCTGGCCTTTAAAGAGATTGAGCTCTCCTGCTGGGGAACAGAGGGCACTGACCCAAGCTTCTTGTGTTGGGAGCCTAGGTCTTGGTCACTGGCTTTGTGTGCTGGGGCCTCTTATGTTGGCAATTGGAGGCTGTAGGGTTTTGGCAGCTTACCTCATGTTGGGCTGGAATCAGCAAGGCTGGAACTTTCAGGCAATTCTAGGTTGCCTGCTTTTCCTTTCCTTTAGCTTTCTTCAGCTCCTTTTAGATGGGTGCTGCAGGGTGTTTATCTGCCTGGGGCCCCTTGCAATGCTGCCTCCCTCATTTCTGCTAATGAACTAGGAGATTCCTCTGTGGTAGAGTGCTGAGGCACCTGGTGGTTTTCTGAGCTGGTTTCCACCAGTTCCCCACCCTCACTGAGGCACTCGGAGGTCCAGGTGTTGGGGTGTTTGCCTGCTCTACCACCTGGGCTTCAGGATCTCCTCCTGGTTGACAGTTGGAGGCTGTAGGGTTCTGAAAGCTTACCTGATGTTGGGTTGGAATCAGCAAGGCTGGGACTTTAGGAAGACTCTAGGTTGCTTTCTTCAGCTCCTTTCAGATGAATGCTGCAGGGTTCTTATCCACCTGGGGGCTTTGTAGTGCTGCTTCCCTTATTTTTGCTGAGGCACAGGGAGACCCGTTTGCTGGGCTGCTGCACTGCTGTTCCCTGTCTTTCTTCTAGTTCAGCTGTTCCAGGGCTTTTTTTATTCTAGGGTGATATTTTCTGGGTTTTCAGAGGTTGATAGGGAAGGGTGAGAGCAGCTACCTTTTTACTCCACCATCTTGGCTCCCAGAAGCGGAACTCCACCTCTGTTCTTTAGTTCTATTACTAAGCTGAATCACTTTCTGCTGTTTTTTTGTGGGATTGGTGGAGAGTAGGTGGATGTTCCTGGCAGAGTCTCTGCAGCCTTGGAATTCCCTCTAGGAGCCACTCAAGGCAGTATGAAACCAGATTTCTTCCCTTATTGCAACCAGATGTTGGAGAAAGAGTAGGAGCTAGATTTTGGCAGAGACCATGCAGCAGAAAGGAATCCCTGAGTGCATCATAGAGTACAAGACTGTTGATTGTATTTTATACTCTGTAAGCATGTAGAGGCTAGTTGAGGGGGCCATGCTATGTAGGAGTGTTATGGATTAGCACTACTGTTCACTCATAAGGCTTTTGCGTTGTTGAGTTTCTTGCTTTCTAATCCTGTGGATTCAGCAGCCATTGCTCTACCTCTGATGCCTAATTCCTTTTTGGAGCTTGAGAGTGTTTTTTGAGAGTTAGTGAGTCCTGCAGAAAATGTCTAGCCCTCCATCTTGCTGGTCAAATGAACCATAAAATTTCTTACTAGCTATGTCATCCTAAGCAAAACATTTAAACTTTATGTATTTAAGAAAACTCTGTAGGACTTATTTGAAATGTAAGTGGGTTGTAATCTGGGAGCTCACCATGATGACAAAATCATACTCCCTTCACATATTTGTGTAGTATTATTTAGACTGTATGTAGTAAAGATGTCTCATTGTGGTATGGACATGACCCTGGCTTCTTAAATGGAATACAAACATATCAAAAGCTTGTCAGACCTTACCAAGTTGGAAAGGTTTCAAGTATGAGCCCTATAATATGACCATGTATTTTTTCTCTTAAGATAGAGTGATGAAACTTTTGCACACAGCAATTCAAGAACACTATCTAAAAGTGCAGTAATCATTATTAATGGAGGGAGTATCCACATGGACAAAAATCAGAGAATCCTGAAGTATTGAAATAATTTTACTTTATTTTTGTAGTACTTGGATATTTGAGTGGTTTTATGACTGTCAGTACGTCTAGTTGATCCACCAGTGCAGACCACAACCCCACAACCTATATATACCCTCATGTTCAGTATGACTCTTCTGTCTTTTCATCAATCAAAGATCATAAGATCACAGACTTAGAGCTAAACATGGTCTGGGAGATCTAATCCTGCTCCAACCTCAATTTCATAGGTGAGGAAAATGAATCCTAGGGAGAGTGTGACTTGCCCAAGGTCACATACATAGTAACAGAGCTCAGATTCAGGCTAAGGCACCATAATTCCAACTCCAGTGCTCTTTCCACTGTATTATGTTGCCTTATAGTCTTCCACTGAAGATGCATCTAAGTGCCAGAAGTCTTATTCTAGGTTTTTGATAATTTATGGAAACCAGTACAGCCCTCAGTCTATCCCCTGGAAATCTGCAGCTTCCTACAGTAGATCACATCCTTGAAGAATATAGCACTCAATACCTGACAAATGTACTGACAAAAGTGTAAGTAAGATAGGCCAGAAACATACAAGATCATGACAATCATATCAAAACTGTGCAGAACCTGGCCCTAACCAAAAATCCCAATCTGGCAATTAAGACTAGGGAAATGAGCAAACTAAAATAATAATAATAATATAGAGCTATTTTGATTCCAAAGATGCCTAAGACTTAAACCCAGAAGAAGAAATTAACTCTAAAATACCTACAAGCAAAGCCTCAAAAGAAAACACAAATCAAACACAAGATACAGAATTACTAGGAGAAAAGATGCAAGATGCTTTTTAAAGAATTTAAGATACTATTGCAAATGAAGTGAGAACAATAAAAGAAATTTGAAAAGAAATGAGAATGTGAGGAAAGACTTGGAAAAAGAATTAACATCTTAGTGCAAGAGGTACAAAACCTTACCCATGTAACAAAATTGGTGAAAATTTGAGTGGCACAAATAGAAGTCGATGACTTTATAAGAATGAAAAAAATATTAAAGGAAATTTTTTAAAGGAAATAGAAGAAAATGTAGGGGATCTTGAATGAAAAACAAGACAGAAAATAGATCGAAGGGAGAAAATACTTGAGGCAATGGTAGGATCAAATAAAGGGGTTTTGTTTGCTTGTTTGGTTTTTGGTTTTTTTGTTTTGGGGGGGTTTTTTGGTTTGGTTTGGTTTAAGGATGGGAGAAATCTGGGAAGCAGCAGACTTTAGATTTAAAAAAAATGAAAATTTTGAAGAGAGAGGGAATGATTAAAAGGATAAGTTCCTAGAAGAGATGGGATCCAATACACAAGGAAAGGGGATGGTGTTTGCAAAGAAAAGGACCACTTCTTCCTCCAAAATTGGAGCAAAAGAGAATGAGAGGAAATGTCAAGATGATACAGAGTGAAGAGTTGGGGAGAAGAGAGAGCTAAAGATGGATGATTTTTTTTTAATGAAGTACTTAGTGAGGCAGAGATATAGAAGGTAAGATAATATAGAGAACGGCCTGAAAAGATAAAAGAGGGTTTGGCCAAGGAGTGGCATAAACAATCAGTCAGGGAAGAGTAAAAAGAAGCATGCAGCAGTGAAAGCCCAGTTGAAATTATGTAAATTTGTAGTGAACCCAGTCAATTCAGTGATTTCCTCCAATTGCATCTGATAACATATGTGTATGAGAGAAGGATTAAGCAGTTTTCAAGGATTGGTGTTTAGAAAGGAATAAGAAACAGAAACCATTTTGTCATTATAAAATGCCGTAGACTACCTGGAGAAATCAACACGGGATTTCTACAGGTCTGATTCTTGCTAACAGCAAGGAACAGGTCATTAGGGTAGAAATGATGAAAACATTTCAGGGAAGCAACTACTCCCCTTCCTATAGTTTGTGATAAAGAACAGGAAAGCAAGACATCTGCTAACATGCATCCTAATTTGGAGAAAAACAGACTTCAAGGCATTCAGAGGAAGAACAGGTAAAATTTCATGACCTGTGAGTTCCTAGGAGCATGGGAATATCCCAAGAATAAAATTCTACAGAAAATTTTAAGAGGAAAAAAAAGTATAATTGTCTGTCACCATTTCCAAGCCATGCTATCTGCACTGTAGCTTCCATCTTTATATGTCCTTCAGTGGAACCTTGGACTTTGTCACTGGAACCACCTTGTGTTCAGACAGCTGAGGTTTTGCCTTATCTTCCCTGGAACCAGGCCTACACACCACTCAGAGGCAGCAGAATTTTGTTCAGTTGAATCAACTCACAGCATGTTAGATGTATCTCTTTGATAATGCCTTCCCTTACTGAGCAAATCTTTTCATGTTGCCTGTTGAATGAAACTAAGTGTATTTTATTCATGCCAGTATTGAATCTAAATTACCAGAGTCCTGGCCTTAGGCTTGGCTGAGAACAAGAAACCAGACAAGGGGAAAAGCAGGAAAGAACAGTGTCACAAAAACACAAGGAAGAGAGAATGTCTAGAAGGAGGGGGTTTTCAACAGTGTCAAAGGCTGCAGAGGTCAAAAAAGATGGAGCCTGAGAAAAACCCATCAGATTTGACAGTAGGAGATTGATGATAATTCTTGAAAAAGTAACTTCAAATGAGCAATAATGGATGCCTAATGACAACTGGGTTGAGAATTAAGTGAAAGGAGAGAAAGTGAAAACACCAAGTAAAGGTAACTTTTTTAAAATTTCTAATATTTCAGCTAGAAGAGAGAAAGGCGAGTAGCTTTAAGAGATACTAGGGTCAAACAAAAGTATTTTAAGGAAGAGGAGCTCATGGGAGTGTTTGTCAGTCCCTGAAAAAGAACTAATAGATAGAGATTAAAACTTAAAGAGATGAAGAATGATAGTAGGAGCAGGCTGCTAGAGGGGAGAGGGTCAAGGGCACAAATAGACAAACTGGCTTAGTGAGAAGAGCCATCCCTTCATTAGAGACTTGAGCAAAGGGAAAGAATTGAGGATGATGTCAAGGGTGATTGAGATGCAGAAGAGGAAAAATGAGGGAGTTCATGGTGAATGGCTTCTTTTCTCATCAAAGTATTAGGGATAATAAGAGAGGAAATTTAAAACAGCAAACTTGGGAAGTGTCATAGAAACCCAATTAGGGAAAAGCAAAAGTAAAAGAATTTCCTTGCTGCAGTTAGGACCCAATTGAGATAATTTTAGATTACTTTTCAAAACTCTTCTCCAAAACTAAAAAATATTTTCTAAGCTACCGTCTTCTACCTCAATTAGAAAATAAACTTCCTAAATAATATAAACATAATTTACAACATATAGTAGAAGAAGGTTGACACTTATAAGTTATATTTAGAGAAAAATAAAACACGTGCTACAAACCATAACAAACAATTTTTTAAAAAAATTTTGCAGGCATGACAATTACAGATTGGCAGTGCATAGTGTTTGATGGTCCAGTTGACACCATATGGATAGAAAACCTAAACACTGTGCTAGATGACAACAAAACTTTGCGCCTTGCTAACAGTGAGAGAATCATTTTAACTGATAGCATAAGGATGATTTTTGAAGTGGATAATCTCTCTCAAGCCAGCCCTGCTACTATCACTCGATGTGCAATGGTCTATGTGGTAGGATTCTAGGAATAATTCTCGTATTAAGAGAGTATGTTGTAAAAAGTAAACTTCCTTTCAGATATATTTTTGAAACTTTAATGTCTAGGAGGGAGCCACTGGTCCTACTGAAATTGTTTCCCCAAGGCTTACAGAGTTGTCGTTCTTCTTCTTGTTCCTAATCAATGCTAGAAACATATCTGTTTATAATTTGATTATAAACCATTATAAAATGAATATCGTTGTTGCCACTGAATGCTAATATCACTCATGGTTACAACACACCATGTTTTGTCAACCTACCTACTATGCTCCAGGCACTATGTGCTAAGAATGGGGCATACAAGAAAGACAAATAACATGATCCTGCCCGTAAGAGGAACACGTTCTAACAGGAAAGGCAATGTATAAATAACTAGGTATGTTCGAGCTATAGTCAGAGTACGTGGAAAGTAATCAGAGAAGGGAAGATCGCAGCAGCTGGCGGGGAGGTGAGAAGGGGCTGAGAAAAGCCTCCTGCAAAAGGTGGGACTAGAGCTGAGTCCTGAAGGGATTTTAGGAAAATAGAAGCTGAGGTGATTTAATTAGAAAGGTCATACTCCAGTTATCAATGGCAGGAGACTGGTGAGAGTCTACACTGAATCATATGTATTTCATCCCGCCTCTCTTGTCACTAGTGGCACACATATATGTATACAAGACAGTTGACTGAATATTGGGAGATGCCATAAAAACTCAGCTGGGGAATATATTTGGGGAGATTTGGAGATGAAGTTTATGGCTTCTCTATGTGAAGCTAATTGATACGGGTAGTTATTGAACCCTTGACTTTTGTCAACCAAGTTAGGTGGAGTAGCTCAATTAGGTGAGAAATAGGAATGACCCTCCCATAGGCAAAATCAATGGTTATCTGTGTTATTATTTAGAGGTAACTAGTGAAGATCTCCATTCCCCTTTCCCCCAAATTGTCCTTCACTCAAAAACCAGCATTCCACAATTAGAGCCAAGAATCATTTTATCTTCCAATTTTTGATCCACGTTAAAATATAAACTCTCCTTGGAGGAATAACACTTAAGTTGTTGTTAGACATGTGAATATCGGTACAACGTACTATATCTTCAGTGACAATGACCAGTGCCAAGGTCAGTGCCAATCTGAGAGCACATTTGGATAGAGGGGAGGAAGGACAAAGTGTGAAGGCACTGGGCTTTAGTGAATGGGAAGTTGAAGGACGGACCCTCTGCAGGGGAAAAAGGCAAACGAAAGTTAGCACCCACATGTTGTGGGGAAAACCAACTCTGCCTCCTTTACAGTTTTGCTAGAGTTGCTCTCGGGAAGGAGTGAACAGTAGAAGAACCCAGAAGCTGCCTTAACCAGGGAGTTGATTGGTGTCAGTAAACCGACAGATAGTGGAAGTAACATGGTCCCTGGGACCCGACGATACCTTTGACCATACTATCTGTGATAATCTGCTTATTCTGGCCTCATGTCAGCCATAGCCACATCCCAATGTAGCTCCAGGAATACCGTCTCCCAGCCCATTTCTACCAATAGAAATAAATTAAGGGAGGGAGGAAAAAAAGCAGAGGGAGAAAAGGCACATCCAAACCACCATTAGAAAATGTAAAGTAATCATAGAAGTCATATTTTCCTAACTTACTTAGATAATTAGAGGCACTCATAAAATGAAAAATCTGTATTTTCATAGTAAATTTTCATTTACTAATTATATGTTATGAATAACATATACCTAGTCTCTCATCTTATACTATTTTTAATTTCTAGGATCCTGCTGATCTAGGATGGGAGCCATACGTTAAGACGTGGCTTGTAAAAGTTTCAAAATTTCTTCCACAACATGGCATAGAAAATCTTGAACGAATGTTTAAAAAAAGTGTGGAAGAAGGCCTACACTTTTTAAGGAAGCATAATAGTACACAGCCTTTTTCTGTACAGGAAATATCAATTTTAATAAATCTCTGCAGGATTCTTGATGCTTATTTTAGTTTCATGGAAAAGAACGGAATTTTTGGGAAATGTAAGTAGAATAATTTTTCCAGATAATTTTACTGAAATCAATTAATTTTCTTGAATGCCTATTGGGTAAAATTTGAAAGAAAATGTAATGAAATGAAATAAAAATCTCTCCCTACCAAGAGTTTGCATTCTGGTTGGGAAGATAAAACACTATGTGTGAGTGATGAAGTTTATTAACAAGTTATGTGCCAGTCGTGCAAATCAGAAAAAATCACCAATTAAATACATGAGTACTGAGAGGATTCATAAAAGATTTAGTTTGAAAATTATCAGGTGGGGTTGATTAGGGAAGAAGGTTTGAGCTATGTTTTGGAGTTGGATATAGACAAAAATAAAGGAGAAAATAGAGAAAGATATCACAGGAAGACTATATGGTATATGCAATGCATAAAAGCAGAAGCTAAGACATCTTATATAGGAGAACAAAAGCTGATTTGCCCAATTTAAATGAAGAGACTCTCTTGGGGAATATTCAGAGATAAAATTGAAGAGATTTGTTTAGGGTCTCACAGCTGCAAGTGTCTGAGGGCAGATTTGAACTCAGGTATTCCTGACTCCAGGCCCAGAACTCTAACCATGATGCCACCTTGCTGGAGATGATAGGGGAGAAGGAGGGGAGGAAGAGATAATGTTATAAATGCCCTAATACCAATATAATTTCTAAACTTCTGCAAATTTTTAAGATTCCTCTTTATATTAACAATTAAGCAAAATCAGATACAATTTGTGCGTAGTTGATGGTATTCCTAGTCTACTTTCTCTTAAGCCTTGCCTTAGTTCCATACCCTTTCTCCCTCAGCTCTCCCAGAAAATAGTGCAATGTGAAAATTTATCTGGAACCTCTTCCTAACCTCTCCATAGCATCTTCTCCCAGTTGTAGAAACATGGTGTATTGATGGGGAGTACAAGCCTTGCTCTTGACCAAGACAGAAAAAGAATTCCCTTCGACTGGGGCCAAGGCCCAGGAGATTCTAGTCCTACTCTAGTCAGTGGCTCAGAGATCTAAGAGGTTCTATAGGAGGGGAATTCCCTGTCACTGAGGCTTGGAGTTCAGGCTTAGCCCTTGTTCTCCTCTGTGAAGGCAGGGAGTCCTGCCTGTGAAGGTGAAGCAGTCAAGGAACCTAGTGAGTCCCTGGTGAGGACATGAGCAAAGTCCAGAGGTCATTAGCACAAGCAGCAAAACCCACAGGAAGGCACTGGGAAGGAAGAGGGAGAATGACCTGGGAGGCTGTGGAGGAGGAAATGGGGATCCCACTTGGCAAGTTAGATAATGCCTACAGAGTGGAAGAGCTGATCTCTGGGTATCAGCCTCATGCAGTCAAGACACTGACAATAATTTGGGAATTTAAGTGGGGTTTTTTTAGTAGGGATCTTCAAAGACATTCTCCACCCATCTACAATATTCTAACCTTGAGCATCTCCGGGGAGAGGGGGTGCATCTCCCCCAGTGCAGGATAAGAGAAGGCCTCCCAACTATTCTGCCCTTGGGTACTGCAGGCAGTTACGGTCTTATGCTAGGAAACAAGGTAGGGGATGGTCTCTTAACCGGAAACATAGAGAAAGCTAAAGCATGTGGGGAGGGAGCAGGGTTGGAGGAGCAGTAAGCTAGTCACTAACTTTCCATGGCAAATTAAAACTACATCATACTGTGACATCATAAGACAGAGTTACACAATGGAGCCAGGTTGCAAAATGAAGTTTAGGAAACATCAGAGGAGCACAGAGCAAAGTATATTTCCACTACACATGGCTTTGTTCCCTGCTTTATTCTCCAGAGGTGGTTCCCCCCCATCCACTGACCCCAAACTCAAAGGAAAATAATGGTGGTGGTAGGGAGTGGAGTTGTTTAGTTCTCCTTCCTCAGTGGCATTTCTGCATGTTCTCACCAAGGTCTTCCTTCAGCTTTTCAAAATGTGATGTTTGTGTTATGTCATCAGTCTTTACGAGTAATTATACTCACTTTTAAATTATTAACTCCCGTCCCTCTGCATACCTACTTCAATACAAAGTTTTCCTATCCACCTCATCTCCATTATCCTTGGAAATTTTTACATATATGTATGTTTGTGTGTGTATGTTTGCGTGAATGTACATACATATATATGGGTATATTTTGTGTGTGTGTGTATGTGTGTATGTGTGCATAACACCTGAATTCATATCTGCCCTTAGACACTTACTAGCTGTGTGACCCTGGGTAAGTCATTTAGCGTCTGTTTCACTCAGTTTCCTTATCTATAAAATGGGGATAATAATAGCACCTACCTCCCACCCACTCCCAGGGTGTTGTGAGGATGAAATGAGATAATAATCGTGAAGCATTTATCACAGTTCCTGGCATATACTAAGTATTATATAAATCTTAGCTATTATTATAAATATTATCATTATTAGCAGCAGCATTGTCACTATCATTATTTGTATATATACATATATATCAGTATATGTATCAGTATAATGTGTATTGTCTTTCACCTCCATCTATCTATCTATCTGTCTGTCTGTCTGTCTGTCTGTCTATCTATCTATCTATCTATCTATCTATCTATCTATCTATCTATCTATCTATCTATCTATCTTTCTGCCTTTCTATCTCAATTACAGCCAAACTGTGGCACTGGCTGATGGCTGTCCTCCTAACACATCTAAGCCCCCACCCAAATGCTATTGTGAGCTCAACACATTGGCACTTTCTCATAGAATCTATATTCCTATCTCATGGAATGCCAAGGCTATGTAGAACACAACGTAGGAAAAAACTTCTAAACAGTGTAGCAACACCCAGTCACACCTGCTAAATATGATCTGGAACGAAAAGGCTATGAACCAAAGGAAAACATTTTATATCTTAAAGACTATCTACATAATACTTGAGGACTCCATAGGAGAACCCATTGTGTAATCTGTAAAGATGTACAACTTAGATGCATACAAAAATGTGGACAGCTGATAGGACTAGGACTAGCGGTCATCTGGTTCACTCCCTAATAATTCTGAAAAGGCCAATCTAGTGCAGTGTGTTTACAAAACTTCCCCACATTTTGAAACTGAAATGATAACATTTTTGCTTAGCTAACCTAAATAATGGGAAATTATTGACTGCTAGAAAAAAATAAGTTTTCCTTTCCCTTTTTCCAGCTATTGAACCGACTGTAACATCAGAAACAAGCCCAACAAATAAATACGCTTTTAAATTCAGACAGTCAGAGGCTGATAAAGAAAAAAGGTCAGTCACAAATCAAGATTTTGTAATGAACCAGTGTATCCACAGCTTCTACTTCAAATTGGTTTATCACAGGTTTATCATAGTCTTTACATAATTACCAGAGAAATCTTTCAATTATTAAGCCTAGCTGTTGCTGTAATAAGTACTATTTGAATTCATTGGACCAGAATCTGTACATGAGAAAGGAATAAATCATCATGGACTCTTTTCAGATTACTATAATCTTGGTGGTGGTAGTGGTGGTGGTGGTGGTGGTGGTGGTGGTGGTGGAATCTTTTGAATCATGTCCAACTCTTCATGATCCCATTTGTGGTTTTCTTGGCAAAGACACTAGAGTGGTTTGCCATTTCCTTCTCCAGCTCATTTTACAGATGAGGAAACTGAGGCAAATTGGGTTAAGTGACTTGTCCAGGGTCACACAGGAAGTGTCTGAGGCCGGATTTGAACTCAGGAAAATGAGGCCCCCACACTCTATCCACTGTGCCACCTAGCTGCCATATAATCCTATTAACTGTAATCTTAGTGAATTGTAATTGATGCCCAATCTTCTCTGCTGTTGTAGGAAAATGGAGCTGTTAAGGACGCATGAGAAGAATTTTGTTCACTGTCACCTATTATGAAATCCTGAGATTTTATGCCAATGTTGCTTATAAACAAAGATGTGCTGATAAATATTTAACAACCAGCTCTGGAGGGAAAGGAGGGAGATGTGTGCACGATACAGTTTAAGTTTGATCTGCATTATTAACATCTTCTCCATCACTTTCTGAAGTTTGGGCAATACACAAAACAATACATCAAGCTCTGATGTGTAGCATTTGCTAATTTCTTAGGTGTAAAGGCTCACAATGAAAATTTAACAATAGGCTCTCTGGAAATTATACAAGCTGGCTCTAGCTTGTATCATCCATATTCATTTAAGGCTATAGCCAAGATAAGTCAGGTCCCTCCTTCTCAGACTCTGTGGCCAGAAGATCAGAGTCAAATAAACCATAGCCAGCACCATCTAGCCCAATCTATACTTGAAGAAGCGTTATCTCTGTAATATCCAGTATGTTGTCTTCCAGTTTTTGCTTAAAGACCTGCAGAGAGGAGGAACCTACTACTTCTTAAGCCAGCCTATTCCCCTTTGGGATAACTCTAATTGTTGAGAAGTTTTTTTGCTTTTTATTTTTAACATCAAGCCTAAATTTCACCACTTTGCAAAATTCTGTCAGCTGATCTGACTTCTAGTGGCAATCTCTCCATCATATGCCAGCCCTTCAAGTACATGAAGATACTATTATTTCCTTTTTAGGGCATTCTTCTCCTCATTGGCTTTTTGGACCTCTTTTGCCATTTGGGTTAGGCTGTTTTTTAAGGTGTTATTTTCTTCGGTATTTTTGGGGGTCTCCTTTAGCAAGCTGTTGACTTGTTTTTCATGGTTTTTTTGCATCACTCTCATTTCTCTTCCCAGTTTTTCCTCTCCTTCTCTTACTTGCTTCTCAAAATCCCTTTTGAGCTCTTCCAAGGCCTGGGACTGATCCATATTTTTCTTGGAGGCTTTGGACGTAGGAGCTTTGACTTTGTTATCTTCTTCTGGTTGTATGTTTTGTTCTTCTTTGTCACCAAAGTAAGATAATATAGTCTGACTCTTTTTGCGAGGTTTGCTCATGATCCCAGCCAATTACTTGAGTTTTAAACTCTTTGTTAAGGTAAGAGTCTGGTTCCAATGTGGAGAATGTACTGTCCCAAGCTTCAGGGGTTTATGCAGCTATTTTCAGAGATACTTCTAGGGACCTGTAAATTTTCAGTTCTTCTGAGATGGTATGATAAGGTGCCAGGTGTTTACTCCTTTCCTGGTCTATGAGTGACCACAAGCAGTCTTTTCTGTCTTGGAACTGTGAGGAAGGTTTCCTCTGTGCAGCCACTACAAGCTCCACCACGCCAGAGTTCCTCCTTGCCCCAGGACTGCCAGCCAGAACTGTGACCCAGATCTAAGCATGGGCAAAGCAAGAGATTCTTGCCTCAGCACTGGCAAAGAGGTCCCTGCAATCCCCCTCTGATCAGTCACCTGATTCCCCTTCGGTCTGTGGGCTGGAAGCTCAGGAGGCAGCCACCGCCCCCGGGCAGCGCTGTGTGCTCTGGAACTGGCTCTGAGACCTAGCTCTTCTCTCACCGCAGAAACAGACTTTTCCCACTGACCCTCTAAGTTGTCTTTGGCATTCCTGGGTTGAGAAGTCTGGAAGCCACTACAGCTGCCCGTGATTCATCTGCACGCCCACTCCACACTGTGCTCCTCTCCCAGCCCTTCATGATATACCTTTCTGATCAACCTTCCAGGCTGTCTTGGGCTGGAAATTTGCTTCACTCTGTCTTTTTGTGGGTTCTGCTTCTTTAGAATTTGTTTAGAGTCATTTTTTCACTGGTATTTGAAGGGTTTGGGGGAGAGCTCAAGCAAGTCACTGCTTTCACACCCTATTTCCTACTGAAGTATATCCTCTAAAGCTTAAATGAGTCTAGTTCCTTCAGATACTCCTGATGGCTTGATCTGTAAGCCCTTCACCATCCAGGTTACTCTCCGCTAGTTTCTTTATTATCAATGTTCTCCCTAAAATGTGACCCGCAGGACTGAATGAAATGCTTCCTATGTTGTCTGACCATAACAAGGTACAGCAAAATGTTTAGTTCCTTGAAGGTATGGATCATTTCATTTTCTTTTTCTCTTGTTTCCAAGACCTCAACAAAGAAAACTCTACTAAGAGCTAGCCCAAGTTCCCTTCTTACCTAATACTTGAAGAAAAACTCATTATTCCCTCTGCCAACACAGAACTCATGAGGATGGAGCACTCCCAGTCAAAATGTACTGTCTAATGGCTCTCCCAGTTCCAGTGCTACAGAATCCCTAGGTCCCTAAGCAAAAATTATACCCTTCCCCTGCTACAAGTACTTCCCATTTTCTCATCCCCAACCACCTTAGCCCTACCTCTCTTAAGTCTCAGTCTAGCTGTAACTACCCTTTCCACTGTGTTCTCTGAAACCCCCTTCCCACTTCCATGTCATTGACACAATGATCCAGGAAGAGGATTTGGCATGCTCTCTGGCCACTTCTAGACTTTTCCTCTACCACTATCATTTATCACCCTTTCTATGTCTATTCAAATTCATCATAGTATCCAAGTGCTTGAAACAGTTAAACAACTGGTCCACACATCATTCTCTTTCCTTTCTCAAGGAAGTCAATTTCTGGATCACAGTCTTTCTCTTTGCCCCAATCCCTTGGCCAGATTTATTTGGATGAAATTAAATTGGCATAAATGCAAATTCCTATGTTGCATTTTTTTCTTTTTCTTTTTTTCAAGGCAGTTGGGGTTAAGTGACTTGCCCAGGGTCACACAGCTGGTAAGTGTCAAGTGTTTGGTCTGAGACCAGATTTGAACTCAGGTACTCCTGACTTCAGGGCCTGGTGCTCTATCCACTGTGCCACTTAGCTGCCCCATATGTTGGATTTTTTAAAAACTGGCTCTGAGACCTAGCTCTTCTCTCACCGCAGAAACAGACTTTTCCCACTGACCTTCTAAGTTGTCTTTGGCATTCCTGGGTTGAGAAGTCTGGAAGCCACTACAGCTGCCTGTGATTCATCTGAGGCCTACTCCAGGTTCTCTGCGGCCTGCACGCCCACTCCACACTGTGCTCCTCTCCCAGCCCTTCATGATATACCTTTCTGATCAACCTTCCAGGCTGTCTTGGGCTGGAAATTTGCTTCACTCTGTCTTTTTGTGGGTTCTGCTTCTTTAGAATTTGTAGGTAGTCAGTATTCTGAACTGAAAGAAGACCTGCAAGTTTTAGCAGAATTCATGCTCAGAAAGTCAACAATGTGGCATGGTAATCAAAAAAACTAATGATGTCACATTCGGCTGTGTTCATAGAAGCATAATTTACAGATCAAGGGAAGTACTGATCATGCTCTGCTTCTCTCTGATTAATCAACCCAACAAAGATCTATTACATACATAGCAAGTGTAAGATTAAAGCTATAAAAATAAAAAATATACATATATTTTAATATCATCTCCTGTCAAGAAGTTTACATTCCACTGGAGGGATATAACATGTAAGCAGTTAGGTACATACATGATAATTGGAGGAGGGAGAATAGAGTAATAACTAGAGAGATCAGGAAAGGTATCCCAAAGGAGATGGCACAGGGACTGAAATGAATATAAGGGATCATAAGAGAGAGGGGGAGTGCCATGAGGACAGCCTGTACAAAGGCATACAGATGGAAGGTGGGATGCCAAGTTTGAGGAATGGTATGTAACTTGATCAATCACATACGGAGTGAAGGGGAGAAGTGTGCAATAAACTTGGAACCAAACTGAAGGATACTAAATGCCAAGGTGAGGAGTTTGAATTTTATCCTGGTGGCAATAGATAGTCACTGGAGATTCTCGAGGAGGGAAGTGAAATGGCCAGACTTGTGCTTTAAGAGGATAATTGACAGCTGTGTAGTAAATGGGTTAGATCAGGGAGAAATTGGAAGTCAGAAGTCTGATTGGGAGGCTATTATAATCTTTCATAAGATAGGTAATGAGAGTCTGAGTTAAAATTGTGACCTTTTGAGTGGAGAAAAGAGAAGGATATGATATGTTATAAAGGCATAGTCAACAAGACTTGGCACCTGAATGGGTGTGGAGCAGGGGCAGAGCTGAAGAAAAGTCTGAGGTTATGAGTCTGAGGGACAGAAGGAATGATGGTGGTCCCTCAGTAAAAATAGAAAAGCTTGCAGGGGAAGTTGGTATAAGGTTGAAGACACTGACTTCATTTTAGCCATGTTGAGTTACAGATTCCTTGGGATCCTCCAGAGGAAACAGTTGATTTTGAAGAACTAGAATTCAAAAATTCAAATGCTAACTCACCTTTCAACCCACTCAAACCCTACAGTCTTTTTTTGTGTGGCAGACTAACAAGATCTCTGCCACGATCTAAATTTCTTCAATTCAATTGCTATGTGGAAGAAGGAATACACTTGTTCTGCCTGATCCCAAGAGACACAAAGTGAAGCAAGGGAAAGAGGCTGCAGAGAGATGACTGTCAGCATAGTGTAAAAAAAAAAACCCTCCTGGGAATGGGTTGACATGGAAAGTAACAAGCTCCCCATCACTAGTGGTCCTCAACTGGACACTACATGGCCTGTTCTACAGTATATTGTAGAACTTCTGTTCAGGTATAGGTTACACTAAGTGACCTCAAAAACTCCTTCCCAGCTGAAATTCTATGAGCTAGGAAAAAGAAATTTCAAAACTGTGGCTTTTTAAAAAATTAGTATATTTTTACACAAAACCATTAAAAAACAATATAGGCTTGGTTTAGTAAACAGAATTTATGAGCTTGAGTCAGGAAGGCCTGTGTTCAGATCCCAACTCTAACACTTGTTCTGGGATCCTGGGCAAGTTGCTTAACCTGTCAATGCCTAATGCATCTCCCGAGGACTTTATCTACTAAGTCACAGATATTGATCTTTTGATAGAGGGATTCCCTTTACCAATAGTGATAAAATCACAGATGTCTCTTATTTGCATATTCAAAAATCAAGTTTCATCCTAGAAGAAAGGAAAATCCAAAGCTTGCATATATTATTGAAAGAGATAAAGTAAATATTGTAAAGACTTCAAATATTCCTTTTATGTAGTATCTTACCTTTTGAATAAGAAATAATTGTCACATGATCACCATTAAATGATTAAACCATGTCAACCCTTAAGTTTTCAAAACTATACTTTGGTTTTTTTACCTAATGCCACAGAAATATTTAATAATGACAATTTTAAGCACAAGTATATGTAAGTAAATCTTTATCATCCTTTCATTCCTTCTCTGTGCTTCCAAATCCTTTTGTTCCCTACTGCAGAAGCTCTTCCCAAAAGGAAAGAAAGCCAAAGCGGTTTCTTCAGAGAAATCCTGAAAAATTATGCTTAATGCTTGATAAGATTTTTGTGTTTGCATTTACTTGGTCCTTTGGAGGAACTTTGAAACATGAAGATGAACATGAAGATGATATCCTGTTTGGCTCAGAGCATGGATTAGCAGCTCTACAGAAAACAACCTATGACTTTGACAACCTCATTCATGAATTGTTTGAAGGAGATCCACCATACGGTAAGTTCTGATACATGCATAGAATTAAAACAGAAAGGATATGTAATTTGAACTTTGATTTTGATTTATTCTAAATATTAAGTAAAATCTGATTATGTTTGGGCATAAATATCTTTTTTTTCAAATGTCTTATGGATACTTTTTGAGTTTTTACAAGACTCACCCTGCCCTCCAAACAATTGTACCCTCCCTTCTGATAGAAAAGAAGAGTTTAAAAAAAAAAAATGAGAGGATTGGACTAGATGACCGATGAGGTCCATTCTCGGTCAAAATCTACAATCCTAGGAACAGAACAACAGAGTGGCCACTACAGGCAATGCATGCAACTTTCTCTGCCTGTAGTACCTTATCTCTTCATTGAAAAGGGAAAGTATATTTCATCATCTTTTCTCCAAAAGAGGTCATTACAATTACTCACTTTACTTCTTTTAATGATTTTTTTCAATACATTCCTCCTAAAATAGGAAAAATAAAAATGTGAAGAAACCAATAATTACACCACTTCCCTAAATAAATGCCTTATCTAATCTTCAGCTAATTGAAAATTAGCACAAGGAGTGCTATGACACAGATAAATATCTGCCTCATACCAAAGTAGGACAACCACATGTGGATTTTGAATGAATGAATATGAAAACTCTTATTTACAAATGATGTGAGAGAAACTATATCAGATAATACAAAATGGTAGATGATTTTTAAAGTACATTTTACTTTGGCCCATTAAACATTTTAAAGATGAAACCAAACTCACTTGGATTTAATCTCCTGATCATTATCTGAATCTATTATTTTTTTAAATTCTGACAAAAACCTGCTATATTATATCCGGTTCATGTCAGTTTTCCCTTTGGCAGCTCATCTGACTGCTATAAGCAGGTAATATAGAAGGAGGAGTAATATTTTGAAAGATATCTTTAGGAATACTTTGCCACAAATCCAACTGGACCACACCAAGGTATCACCATGAGCTCCTCATCACCAATACTATCTTCCATCTATTAGAAAGGGAGGTGGGGCAGGAATCACAGTAATAGTAAAGTTTCAGGTAGATCCATGAGTTTCTGACCTCAGTATTCACCTCTCTCTAAAGTTACAAATTATTTCTTCCCTGAGTTTTTCTGACATTATTCCCTCCTTGTTCTCTTCTTACCTGTCTGACCACTCCTTTTCAGTCTGCTTTGCTAGTTCATCATCTATCTTGTTTCCCCTAACTGTAAGTGTTCCTCAACATTCTGTCCTAGGACCCTTTCTCTCTTTTTTCTCTACACTCTCTATGCCTCTTTTACGAGTTTTTAATCATCTCTTGGCAAATAACTCCCAGAACAACATATATCTAGCCTTAGTCTCTCTTCTAAGCTTTAGTCTTACATCACCAACCGTCTATTGGTCATTTCAAACTGGATGACCAGCGGGCATCTGAAACTCAACATATCCAAAACAGAACTCATTTAATTTCCCCTAAAACCTAACCATCTTCCAAGCTACCCTGTTTCTGTTGAATCTGTCCTTCCAGTCACCCAAATTCAAGACCTCATTGTGACACTGGACTCCCCCCTCTCCCTCATTCCCTAAAACCAATCTTATCATTTCTACCCCACCAACATCTGTCGTATCCCTCCCCTTCTCACTACCCACAGAGCTACCGCTCCATTTCATGTTTTCATAGTCTCTTGCCTGGGCTAGTTCAATAACCTCCTTTCTGGCCTTTCTCCTTCAAGTTTCTCTTCATTCCAATCCATCCTCCAAAGAGTTTCCAGAGTGTTTTTCCTAAATCAGAGCTTACCATGTCACTCTCCTACCCAACAAACTCCTTACCTCTTCCAGTATCAAGTATAAAATCTTGTTTGGCCTTAAAAATCCTTCACAACCTGGCCACAGCTTACCTTTCCAGGCTTATTATAAATCCCTCCCCTTTACACACTCTCATAGCTAATATCTATACAGTGCTTTAAGGTTTGCAAAGTGCTCTCTATGTATATTATTTCATTTTGTCCTCACAACAGCCTTGGGAGATGGGTACTATTATTATCCCCATTTTACAAATGAGGAACCTGGGGCAGACAGTAATTAATGGCAAATGACTTGCCCAGGATCACATGCTAGTTTAAGGTGGAATTTAACTCAGATCCTCCTGATTCCAAGTCTATCACACTAGCTACTCTATCTGCCAGCTTGCTCTCCAGCTAAGCTGGGCTGACCTGACATTGCTTGCTATGTTATGCTCTGCCTCTCATCTCCATGCCTTTGCACTGACTCTGTCTGGAATGCATTCCCTCCTCCCTTCTCCTTCTTAGAATCACTAATCTACTCAACACTCACCTCAAGCTCATTTTCCACAGGAAACATTTCCTCATCTACCTAGCTGTGAGGGCCCTCCTGAGAAGATCATCTTGTATCTATTTTATATTCAGTGTGTGTGTGTGTGTGTGTGTGTGTGTGTGTGTGTGTGTGCGCGCATGCGCATGTGCATGTGTGTGTGTACATGCACACGTATATATAGAGAGACAGAGAATGTACATATACTAAACTACACACACACACACATATATACATATATATATATATATATATTTGTATATCCATACACATATTGTCTCTCCCAAAAGAATATTCTGTGCAAATAGTAAGGTGCTTCCAAGTTGTATACAGTATACATGGAAGGTAATTTCAGAGGGAAGGCACTGGGAGTGGAGCTGGGGGAGGAGGACCAAGAAAGACATATTGCAGGTGGGATATGAGTCAGAGTCTCAAAGAAAACCAGGGAAGCCAGGAGCCTGAAGTGGGGAGGGATTGGGGATAGCCCATGCAAAGATACAGAGTCAAGATATAGAGTGACATGGTGGTGGAGGATTGCCAGCACACTTGGATCATAGAGTACATGGGGGAGTGTAATGGCTGGATTGAAGAGTGTGTGGACGGTAGTAGAGTATAAGAAGACTGAAAGGTAAAAGGAAGCCAGGTTGTGAAAGGCTTTAACTACCAGAAACTGGTCAGTAATTGATCCTGGAGGTAATTGGAAGCTACTTTAATTGTGTCAGACATTCAGTAGAATAGATGACATGGTCAGACCTATGCTTTAGAAAAATCACTTTGGTAGCTTAATGGAGGAAATATTGGACTGAGGAGAGCCTTGAGACAGGGAAACCATCCAGAAAGTTACTTGCAGTTGTCCAAGCATGAGATAATGAGGGCCTTTACCTGAATGGCAGCTATGTACATGGAGAGAAAAGGACCTAGACAGGAAGTATTGTGAAGGTAGAACAAGAAGACGACAACAGACTGTTTGTACGAGGTGAACATGAGTTAGAATTCATGGATGACACCAAGTTTGCAAGCCTGGTGACTAGGAGAAGAGTGTAGCCCTTAATAGAAATAAGAAAGTTGGGAAGAGGGGAGAGTTTGGGGGGAAACGAGTTCTGTTTTAGATATGATGAGTTTTAGATGCCCGTAGGATATCCAATTCAGGACGTCCAAAGGATAATTGGTGGCACTAAACTCAGGAGCTTGAGAGAGATGTTAGGGCTAGATAGATAGATCTAGGAATCTTCTACCTAGACATCATAGTTGAACCCATGGGGACAAAAGGGTCATGCCACATGGAAACTTTATCACAGATGGTCCAATCCAGGAGATAGTTGCAGTTAGGGGCAATGATCCTTTTTTATGTGAAATTTGTCTTCCAACTGAGCAAAAAATAACTGAGATAGAGCAAGAATGGGTGGAGCCTTTTCATCACAGAGTCACAAAATTGAAGAGTTGCAAGTTATCTATGAAAGTATTCCCTGTGATATGAACTTCTGCTTTGAAACCCCTAAAGAAGACAAAGCCACCACTTCTTGAGCAAACCCATTCCATTTGCTGGCAGGTTTGATTGTTAGGAAGTTTTTTCCTGACATTAAGGATTACCAGCCTCGTTGCCACTTACCCTTGTCCCTTCCATCATAGCTTAGAGTCAATTATCATGTTCTCCTTATCCTCCTAGTCTTCTCTTCTTCAGGCTTACATTCTATCAGGGAAGATGACATATAAATAAATAGGCATGTAAAAGATACATATAGAAAAGAGGAAAGGCAAATAGATAAGAAGACTGAGACTATGGAAGGTGACTTCTAAGTGGAGTCTTGAAGGAAACCAGGAATTCTAAGAGGCAGAAGAGAAAGGGAGCTTTCCAACAGCAATAGATGGCCAATGGAAGATGACTCTTGTCCAAGGAGCAACAGTGAAGGCCAGTCAATCAATACAAACCAAGGCTGGATTGTAGAATGTATGGAGGATAATAGATTATAAGAAAACTGGGAAAGTAAAAAGATAACATTTCATAAAGAGTTTTAAATGCCAAAGACTTTATCTTTGATATTGGAGGTAATAGGCAGCTAGCAGGGATTACTGAGTAAAAGTCTTAACATGGTCAAACCTGTGCTTTAGGAATATCATCCTATTAGCTAAGTGGAGAAAATACTGATGTGGGGAGAGACTAGAAGCCTATTGCAATAGTCTAGGAAAGAAGTGATAGCCAGAACTAGAGTAGTAGCTATGTGAGTGGAGAGAAGGTAACTTGTATGAGATTTAGTGAAGGTAGAAATGACAAAAATTGGCAAACAATTGCATACAGAGGGTAAATGGCAGTAAGAAGCGGAAGATGACATCGGGATTGTGAACCTGGATAACTGAGAGGATGGTGGTATCTTCAACAGTATTAAGGAACTTTAAAAGTGAGAAGGGCTTAGGGGAGGGGAAGAAAATTAGTTCTGATTCAGACATGTCAAGTCTGAAGTTCCTGCAGGACATCTGGTGTAAAAGGCAATTAGTGAGATGAGATTAGAGTTCAGGAAAGAGACAGGGGCTGGAAATATAGATCTGGGAATCATCTGAACAGAGATAATAATTTAACCCATAAGAGCTGATGAGATCACCAAGCAAGAGTGTAGAGAGAGAAAAGGACAGCCTTGTGAGACAACCACAGTTAGGAGTGACATGAATGAAGAACTAGCAAAGGATTCTGAGAAATGGTAAGACAAGGAGAGAGAAAGAGAGAGAGAGAGAGAGGTGTCCTGAAAACCCAGAGAAGATGGAGTAGCCAGTAGGAAAAAGTGAGGAAAGAGTCAAATGATGCAGAGAGTCAAGGACTTGGAAAAACCCATCAGATTTGGCAATTAAGAAATCATTGATAACTTTGAAGAGTACAGTTTTTATTGAATGAAGTCAGAAGCCAGACTGTAAATCATTTAGAATAGAATGAGAGGAGAGGAAGGTGAGGCACCAAGTATAAATAATTTTTTTCAAGAAATTTGATAGAGGAAAAGAAAAGAGTTATAGGACAATAGCTAAAAGGGATGGTAAGATCAAATGAGGGGTTTTTTTTAAATGATGGACACTTGGGCATGTTTTTAGTCAGAAGGGAAGTAGTCAGTAGATAAACATTCAAGATTAAAGAGTGGAATTGATAGTGGGAGCAGTCTGTTGAAGATAACTGGGGATGGAATCAAGGGGTGGACCTTGGCAAGGAGAAGGGCCACCTCTTCATCAAAAACTAGAACGAAGGAAGAAATAATTGGAAATTATGTCAGACTTACACAAGATGGGAAAAAGGGGAGAAAAAGGGAGCCCTTGGAATATGACCTCAATATTCTTAAGGACATTTGAGGCAAAGTCTTTTTCTGAGAGAATGGGAAGCATCGTTGAAGACATGAGGCAAGATGAAGTTTGGAACAGTCACTATGATGAGTAGGATAGAAAATCAATTAGATAGGAGTTAAAGGATTGTCTTGCTGCATTGAGGGCCCTGTTGAGATCAGATAACAAATCTGTAGCAGACTCATTCTGAATGGTTTCATGACTTCCTCCAGCTCTGAATAGGAATGAAGGAGATGAGTGGTGGGAGTAAAGAAATCCATGGTTGGAGTTTGGCTAAGTGTAATTGGTAAAAGCACCAATAGTACAATTCATTCTCTTTTTCAGGGAAAACAAATGAGCAACTCTGCTTTCTGTTGTGAATATCATCCCTTCATTCCCAAACAAAGGTCCTATTACTTTATCCTCCTTTTTCTCCAACATTGCTATTAAAAAAAACATTTTGTAGCCCTTAGTTTTCCTCATAAGTCTCAGTTCATTCTGAGTTTTAGCATTTCTCACACTATGTTTACAGTACCTGGACACACTCATATTCATCTGTTGCTAAGCCTTGCTTTGATCTGTACATTTATAATCTAAGTTAACTGATGAGTTCTCTGTGTATCCACATAGCTTTCTCCCAACCATAATCCTCATTGTAATTGTTTCCCTTTGTGTCTTCAAAGTTTCGTTTTTAAACATCTTCCATATCTCCTGAGTTGACTTCTCCTGTTGCATTTTACTCCATGGGAACCTATGTATCTTTCCTCTGAACCATTGGAGATCTGCTTTGCCAAAATCTAGGGTGCACTTAAGACTATGCTCAGATTTCCTTTCCTTCTCTATCACAAACTCTACAATGGAGTGATCACTTCCTCCCGCACCTAATTTCTATCATTTCCTATTCCATTCCTCCCTGTTAGTGAGAATCAGACCCACAACAGAATTTCCCTTTGTTTGTTCCTCTTCCTTTTTAAAGTATAAAACTATCACTAATGTAAATCAGCAACTTATTAGTTTTTCTGTTTTGTTTTTCCAGAGAAACAGTTCCAGAAAGGGTTTGAATAATCAAAGTGCTCTATCACTACCATAGCATGCTTCTCTGTTAGACTTGTAATCTATTTTCCAATTTCTTCATATATTTCCTCTTCCTGCCCACATGATCTCCAATGACAAAATTATTTTTTTCTCCCTCTTTTTACCTTCACCCAAATAGTCTCTGTCATTCTTCTTCTCTCTGGATCCTGGATTTCTGTGTATTAGTAGACCTTAATATAGAATGGTATTCACGAGAATTAAGGACAAGTCATGGGTTTTATCCCACTAAGTCTAAATGATAACTGTAAGGTCAAATGTGCTTCCTTGCATTAGGAACTCTATTTCTTTTTGTTTATTGCCTAAAATTTGGGCATTTTTATATGGACTTTTGAGGTTATGGGTTTCACTGCCATCTCTTTTTCTGATTTCTTTTTTAAATTTCTAAGTATCTCTAGAAGAATAGCTACTGCTGCTTCTTGAGTTGTCTTCATAAATATAGAGCCATTTCATTGAATGTTAATTATCAGACTTAATGAGTAGTTAGTTCTATATTTGAATTACCAAGGAATTTCACATGATTTTAATATGTATATTAGATACCTTGTTGGAGGAAAGCCTTTGGACCTTTGTTTTTCCTCTAAAAAAAATCAAATACTATTTTACAATCAACAAATAAATGCAGTAGGATCTTATTTTCTGTATCTTTTAGTCAGTTTTCTGACTATAAATATGTGGTCTGCTATTAAAAAAAAAACTCATTTTCAATATGACTGGCAGAATGGTGGAAAAGTTGCTTTCCCCAAAATTCAGGAACCACAAAACCTCATAAAAGGAAGTATTTGCCAGATACAGAGTAATTACCGTTGAATGTACAGACAAAAAAGGAACTTTCTGATTAATGTAAAAACATTAAACTTAAACATACTTTAAAACAATAGATTATTGATAAGTTAGTATTGCAGGCTGAATTACATCAAAAATCGTGTAAAAACGAACAAACTTTTTTCTAAAATACATACCAACTTAGTAACTAGTAATTATAGATACAAACTAAATTCAAAAATTCTTGTTTTATTATTACTTATTTTGTATCTAAAGAGATACTTTTAGAGAACACTTACTAGTTTCATATTATTGTACTGATTAAATAAGTATGAATAAGAATGTATAAATAGTCATTGTAATTTATATAGTACTTTGAGGTATACAAAGTTCTTTGCATATATTATCTCATTTGACTAACATCATTTATGTTACAAAGTAACAAGATGGGCATCAAAAAATCATTTTCAAGTATATATCCTATATTTTCTGAAATACATGCCACAAATGAACCTTGGGAGTAAGTAGAGCACAGTGGGGAAAAAGTGTGTGCTCTGGACTGAAAGGATGCTGAGTTCAAATCCTGCTTGGGGTAGCCAGGTGACTCAGTGGATAGAGCTCTGGGCCTATAGTCAGGAAGACCTGAGTTCAAATCCCACTTCAGACCGTTACTAGCTGTACAACCCTGGGCTAATCACTTAACCACCCTTTGCCTCAGTTTCCTCATCTGTAAAATGAGGATAATAATAGCACCTATCTCCCAGAGGTATTGTAATGATCAAATGAGATATTTGTAAAGTGCTTAGCACAGTGTCTACACATAGTAGGCCTACTATATGTAGGTACCATATGTTAGCTATTATTATCATTATTATTATTTCTGATGCTTACTACCATGTAGGCAAGTAACTTAATCTTTCTGGGCCTCAGTTTCCTCAACTGTAAAATGAGCGGGTTGGACTAGATGGCTCTGAGGGCCCTGCCGACACTCCATCTATCATCCCATGATACTCTTTCTCATGTGTTTTTGTCTCTTTCAAATATTTTTAGGCATCCGCTTGCCAGGAGGAGAGCGTTCTATCTTTGGTTATTTTGTGGACTTACAGAATTGTGATTTCATACCTTGGTCAGACTTAATTCCTACTTCAGATAGTTTAATTGAAGGTAAGATTAATTATGATAATCTGTATAACTATCTAACATTTATATAGTGCTTTAAGGTTTGTGAAGCACTTTACAAATATTGTACTTTTGTCCTCATAACAATCCTGGGTGCTATTACTATCTGCATTTTACAGATAAGGTAACTGAGGTAGACAGAGGTTAAGTGACTCGCCCAAGGTCATATACTCTAGTTAAATGTTTCAGGCTTAACTTGAACTCATTTCTTCCTGATTCTAGATCCAGTGCTCTATCCATTGCCTCACCTGGCTTTTGTTTTAATTACTGTCTATGAGTGCTAAATTAATAATTCTAAAATTTTTGAAATGCATCGATAGAGAAATTGCTTGATATCTCTATATACAAAACTTATTGTTGAGGGTTTTTTGTTTCGTTTTGTTTTTAACTTGGATATGTATAAAAAGTTGTATTCTAATACACTCCGAGTTATCCCTGGAAGCTTTCAGAGTAAAGCAAGTTATAAAATATCAAGGGTTTTCTAGTGAATTGATAATTAATTTATGGTATTATGAAATGGGGTTCTTTGGGTACTCAACAAAAATTGCCTCACTTCCCTATGTAGTCATGGAATTAACTGCCTCTTGCAAGGCTGTTTCACCTAAATACTGTTTTCCCCAAACCACTTAATGTCAGGTGCAGTATGTCAGTATTTCATAGACTCAAACTTGACTCTGGAAGCTGGTCAATAGGGAACAGCACAAGTCTAGACTAAAGTTACTGCTCCTTGGGTGGTATTTCTAGCTGACATTTTCCCCTTTGCTTTCCACACACTATTGCCCCAGAAGGTGAGACAGAGAAATGGATGGATGAGGCACCATGAGAGAGAAAGTCATCAAAATGGTACAAGTTCTGAGATGCTAGGAGGTGTTTCCAACAACTCATTCTAGTTTTGTCTCTCGCATGTATTGACTATTTTCTAATCTTTCAGAAGTTACTTGGACATTTAAAAATTAAAATTACATTTTTTTTCAAAGAGACAAATTTAAAAGATATCCAAAAATCACTTTTTATTTTTTTCTTTTCAAATTTAGGAAATTTATACCGCTCTGGTTCTCAAACATCCCTGGATAATATAATCAAGTATAATGAAAATATAGAGTTTAATCATCACTTTGCTACTAGAGATACAATATCTTTCTCCTTTTTGATGAGTCTTTTTATAAAGAACAAATATCCTATACTAATTGCAGGTAATAATAAAAATGAATTAGAGTAAAACAAAACTATAGTCAATGCTAACGAGTAGTTCTGTTTAATGATTTAAAATGTTATTGTGATTTAATGATATATTTTATAAATACAGCTTCAGAAAGATTCATATCTGTGTTCAGTGGAGGAGAAAGTTAAAATTCTATATTAATTGAGATGGGCATAATAATTCATTTTCCTCTAGAGTTTAATTATACCTATGGTGGTTTAATTTCCTCAAAACTACTATTTTAAAAGCTGATAATATCTTAGTTTGCATATGATTTTTCAAGACCCACTAATATTTCATTTATCTTTATCAGAGAATGACTATAAATGACTGATATATGCATATGACAAATACACACTTGAATAATCAGAATGGTCCACTTGAATAATCAAAAATTCTGAAATCCCCTTGTTAGATCATCACCTATTCTCCTTATTCCATATCCTCCTAAATCTACTCTTTGTTTTACCAGGACCCCCAACCCATCCATCCTGTGGACTCTTCTAGGCCATCACCCTACTCTAACCTCACTTTCCTCTCTTCTCAGCCTCAAAGCTATTGTTCATCTCTATGCTATTGGTGCTCATTCAGCCCTGGATTACTTCTACCATCTGCCTGCTTCACTCCCACTCATATGCCCCTGAATAAAGCTGGAGGAAATGCAACCAAGCTGATGGGGTACTCTACAAATTTGTATTATCTCATCCAACTGAACTTTCATCATAGCAAAACAATCCTTTTACTTCTCTCTAATTACTTATGTGTTCCAAGTATCATAGGGCCAACTCTCTTTAATGATCCTTTCTATTATTAATAATAAGAAGGTGAGGAAATGTGAGGAAATCCAAGATTAAGTCCCTATAACAAGGTTTCCATGCATCCTTTCAGATTTCTAAGAGTAGCCCATGGAGACTGGAAGGTCATTTCTTAGTGCTATAGCTTTCTAGTCCCCTTTGGTGTGGTTCCCCCACCCCCATGGTGGAGGTAACAATTAGTTAGTAACAATTAGTCAGCTAGAGTTAATTAGCTTTTAGAAAGAAATATTTACTTAGATGGTATGGTAAGAAGAGTTGGTATAAAACATCACCCCCAAACATCTGTGATACTGTCCCACAAGGACGTGTGGAATACAACAGAAAAGTGAGTTCAAGCATAGAGCACCTGTGACCAAGATGATAGCTCACAGTCCCTGGTTTCTGAAAGTCCTTTCCTCCCCTTCACAAGGTACTCATAAAGTTCCTATTTAGCAGAGTATAGCTTTTCTGCTGGACTCTTTGCAGGAGCTTGAAGCCACCTTTCCTCAATGTATCTAGCTTGTTCTTGGCTCCCAGGGCAGACATTGCTGCCTATTCCTGAGCTTCTGGGGTTTCTACTAGGACATTACAGATGTACTAGAATCTTCTGGATCCTTTTAAGCTCACAGGGTTTTCCTCTGGTCCAGAGAGTGGGAGGAGATTAAAACAAAGACCCAGACCCCTCTTCTCTCAAGTGATTGCTTCTCAGGAGCTATGATAGAACCTTCCACTTCTAAGCCACCAGACACAAAAATCTCTAGGTTCCAAACTGGATTGCTGTTTTAGAGAGCATGAACAAATTTTCTTGTCTAATACCAGTAAACTCACTGTACTATTTCATCAAAGGGATTTCAAGAACTTGTAGACTGATCAAAGGATTTTTCACACTTAGTCCCAGAAGCCTATGATTTATTGGTATCTGAGTTATCTGGGCCTTATCAATACCTGCTTCACACCTCTGACTTACCTAACAAGAGTTATCAGCATCTTTTTACTGCCTCAAGTTGGGGAGTCGGAGAGGAGTAATCAATTTATTTAACTCCACTTATCTCTTATAATTGGTATTATTATACTGGTGTTTTAAGGTTCTTTGAGTCAGTGATGCTTTGCTCATACCATTGTCCTTCACTTGTATTTATGTTATATTAGCATGGTAACAAATATCCCTGCTCTTCTTCTCTTATAGTGCTGATGTTTATAGTGGATGAGATCATTTCTGAAAACACTCTAAAAAGTTAAAAGTACGAAACACAAAAGGTGTTGTCATATTTTTTACCCTTAAATTATTCTGTTTAGGGCAAAAAATGGTTTTGAATCCACTAAAATCAAGAAACCTGGGAAATTTTGGCAAATTAACCTGAAATGAAAACAAATTGTAATTCCTCATCTAGTCTCTCATAAGTCATTCAAATAGTTTTTCAATTTCATGTTAAGGCCCTGTTCTTAGCCTTCTTAATCATCCTACCACAGAAAACAGAAAAGAATAGATATGAGTAGTGCTATAACAAAGACAAGAAAAGTCCTTCACATGGAGTGCAAAAAATGTCTAAAAGATGCCTTAGCTCTCCCCAGGCTTCCATGCTAACCCTAAGAGAAGGGTAACCAATTTTAGATTCTTGCCTTGGACACAAAATCATATGATTTTGGGTGTTGAGTATTTATTATTAAATTAACTAAATTACTAATTAACTAAAAATAATGTGAAAGTTTCTAGACATCTATTTGGTCATTTTCTTAGATTAAAAAAATCTAACTTATCATATTCTTTTTTTTTTCTTTTAGGAGAGACTGGTGTTGGGAAGACTGCTGTCATTAACCAAATGCTTGAGAGACTTCAGGGCCCAGGGGGATTACAGATAAAACTTGGATCTATTTTAGGAGATGTTTTTTTGTATAAAAGAATGAAAAAATCAAGGTTGTATATGTTAAACTCTAACCTTGGTTATCTTGCAGAAAAAAAATTCAAATATATATGTGTGAAAATTCAGGTTAACCAAAAAAGTTAGGGGTTTTTTTCCCAAAATATTCATAGTTGGACTCCTTTTTAAATTATAAGCTTCTCTAATATATTAAAAATGATTCCATTTATGATAATTTTTATACTCATCTTTTGAGAGATATATATGTTACATAAAATGAAGTACATCTCTAAGTTTCATTTATATTTACTCAGATGACTATAGGAATCTTAATTTAGACCTGGAAGAGAAACTGACATTCGGTGAGTTTAAATGACATGACCAAGGTCACATAGCTAGTATGTGGAAGAGCCAGTACATACAATTAGGTTTAAAACAATATCTAGTCTTATTATGCACATGCTACTTGCACATGCTCACATAAGCACTCATAGTATGTAACATATAATACCCTATGATAATGGTGAGAAACACCGACTTTCTAGTTCTGCACCTCTAAGGTCTATTCATAGGACTGTTGCATTGACTGTTTGCTTCAAATATCCTACCTGTGAGATAAATACTGCATATCCTTCTTATCTGGTTAGCAAAGATGTTGTGAAATTAGTCTCCATTTAGATGCACTGGGAATGAATGGGCTTTTATAAGGAAATGCAAAAATGTCCAAAGTATCCTCCTGTGTCCCAGATGGGAGAGGAAAAATTGGACACTGAGCAGAAAAGAGATATGACTGAAGTTGTCTTAGAATAAAAGAAGGAAGGAGCCTCTGCTTTGAAATGCTGGCTGACTGCTCCAATATACCTTCCTTCTCTATGGGGTAGCTGATATGGTCATTTCAGGATAATTGGAACTCATCTGTCATAGAAGCTGAAATCTGAAATGAAAGGCTGCCATGCCCCATCTCCAGCAGAGAATACAATCAGGACTCATATTCTACCTTCTGAGCTAGGACTCTTCCTGCCTTACTTAGAAAGAAAAAATAGAGAGCAAATTTGTCATCATTTTTAATTTTTCTAGTAGAAGAGTCCAAATCCTTCTTCATAAAATAAAATGATAATGAGTTGGGCTACTATTTATACCACTATTGTGAAAGACAATCACAGCATCCAAGTAGGACCATATATTACCTAAGCATCTATGTATAATGGTGTTGGCCATATTTGAATCTTTTTTGAATCTTATTGAAACTTTTTTTATTGATTATCTTTTCAAAATGGAAAAGGATTTGTGGAAATGCAAGAAACCATATGCATTAATTATTAGATGAAGAAATCAAAGTCATATTGAAAAAACTTTCAATTTGGAAATTTTCCTGACTTAGATTAGATTCCTTTCATTCTCAAAAATGATACCAAAAATTAAGAGAAAAAGTTTTTTTTAAAATTTTATACAAAAAAGAATCATACATATGTACATATATTACTTCCAAATTATTACAAATCACTAATTAGTGAAGCTTTCATTGATAGCAACACTTATTTTAACAATATCATCATAAAGCAAAATATTTACCATTTTATTATGAGTTAGAAACAAAATAATAGTCTCCAAAATCATAGTCCCCTGTTTTCATTATTTGGTTATATCTTTTAACACATTTTGTTATAAGTAATAATTTTTAAAATAGAAAAGCTATATGACATTTGTTATCCTTGGAGTCAAGAAGACCTGGGTTCAAGTTCTTTGTCAAACAAACACTGCCTCTCTGACTATGGGCAAAGCACTTACCTCCTCCAGGGGTGTGGCAGAACCTGTTCTAAATGGTTAATGAGAGTCACTCTTAAATTTTCAGTATAAGCATCTGCATTTCAAAAGTCAGCAATCACTACACATCAGGGCTTGATTTAATGATTTGCTGATTTTTTTTAGACTTAACAAAGAGTTGATAAAGTAGATTAAACTTTAAAATGGACTTGTATACATTTTTGGTGGGGAGCACCTGGTTGTTAAACATTTCCCAGCATACCTCTGTATTGTTCTATAAACACTGCTTGAGTTCCCCAGGAGGGCAGTGGAAGGATCAAGGAAGGAAGTTGGCCTGGTGACTGTAGGCTAATAATAGTGATAACTACCGGCTTTTATCTGGTGCCTTAAGGTTAGAAAGGTGCTTTGGACCCATTGTCTTATTTGAGCCTAACAACACCCCTGTTTCAAAGCCACTAAACAATTGACAAGAGCTAATGATTTCAGATTTCTTCATTTTTGATCTGTGTCTGCGGTGGAACTTTCCAATGCTAGGCATGTCCCACATTTATGAAATGACAGATTTAAAACTCCTCTGCACCCCCCTCCAAAAAAAGCCATTCAAATAAGCTAATCCTGACTTTTTTTGTTGTAGGTTTTTAACAGCCTGCAAGAGAATCTCAACTTGTTAATTGCAACAACTTTAAGACAACATCTAGAGATCTAGTATGTGTGGAAACTGAGGTAAACACAATGACATAAACAGTAGCAGTCACTTCCCATCCTACTAAGGTGCAAATCATTTACCAGTAAGGGAATACAATGACAAATATAGTTAGGATAGTTAGGATTATAAATTATGATTAATCAACATTGTTAACATGTATGTGGGGGTATATATACATACACACATACATATATATGTGGAGAGCTTATTTCATCCTGAGTCCTCTGGAACTGTGGCTGCTCATTGTGTTGATCACAATTCCTAAGTCTTTTTAATATTGTTAATATTCCTAAGTATTTACAATGTTGTTATTATGCAAATTGTTCTTTTGATTCTGCTCACTTTTTATCACTTCTTCATTGTTCAGTCATGTCCAACTCTGTGACCCCATTTGGGGTTTTCTTGGCAAAGATTACAGGAGTGGTTTGCCTTTTCCTTCTCCAGTTCATTTTACAGATAAGGAAACTGAGGCAAGCAAGATTAAGTGACTTGCCCAGGTTCACACAGGTAGTAAGAGTTTTAGGTCAGATCCGAACTCGGGAAGATGAGTCTTCCTGACTTCAGACCCAGCAATCTATCCAATGGGCCACCTACCTGCCCTGTATCAGTTCATACAAGTCTTCTAAAGTTTCTCTAAAATTGTCCCTGTCATCATTTCTTACAGCACAATACTATTCCATCACATTCATATATCATAACTTGTTCGGCCATCACCCAATTGATGGACATCCCCTAAGTTTCCAATTCTTTGCCACCACAAAAAGAGCTGCTATTTTTACAAAAAACCCTTTTTCTCTTATCTCTTTAGCAGCAACATTATCAATGGAACGGAGGGTTTGTTCAGTTTAATAGCTTTTGAGCATAGTTCCAATTTGCTTTGGAGAATAGCTGGACCAGTTCAGAGTTCTGCCAATATTTTAACAACACTTTGAACTCATTCCCCTTGCTTGTTTGCAACATAAGAAATGATGAAAGGGATGATTGCAAAGAATCCTAGGTTGAATGAACTGGTGCAGAGGGAAGTGGGCAGAATCAGGAGAATGACTAATTCAAGGACAGCAACAACGTAAGGAAAAAACAGCTTTGAAAGACTTAGGAACTCTGATCAGTGCAGTGACTAAATATGTCTCCAGAGGACCTATGCTGAACAATGTCATCAGTATCCTGCCAGTTGGTGGTCTTGAATTGCATAAATACGTACATTTTTGTACATGGCTACTGTGTGGCTTTGTTTCACTTCGCTTCTCTCTCATCTCTCACCTCTACCACCTGGCTTCCCTATCTTCCTTCAAATCCCAGCTAAAATTCTACCATCTACAAGAAACCTTACCAAATACTTCTTAACCGTGGTGCCTTCCCTCTGAAATCACCCCCAATTTATCCTGTATGTATCTTGTTATTACATAGTTGTTTATATGTTGACTCCACCATTAGACTAGGAGCTCCTTGAGAGCAGAACTGTTTGTTTGCCTTAAGAGCAAACATTTCTATAGTGTTTACTGTGTGCCAGGCACTGTGCTAATAAAGCACTTTACAAATATTATTTTATCCTTGTAACAACCCTGGGAGGTAGATGCTATTAATATCTTCATTTTATAGAAAAAGAAATTGAGTCAAACTAAGGTTAATTGACTTGCCCAAGGACACATAGCTGGTAAGTGTCTGAGGGTAGATTCAAATTCAGATCTTCCTGACTTCAAGCCTGGCAGTCTATCCACTTTGTCACCAAGCTATCTTATTATATATAGATTAGATAGCTAGATAGATACAGAGTTATAGATAGATATGTACGTATGTTATAGGATGTATATTGAATTTATTCAACATATTTCAATGTATATAGAATATACATTGTATCTCTATTACATATATACATAGAGGCAGATTTGGATACATTAGTATAATGCTTAAAAGATACCCTCATACTTCTCCATTCTGTGAAGTTTGGATTCAGTCAAAGGGCCGCACTTGAGGACCTAAAGGGCCACATGTGGCCTCGAGGCCACAGATTCCCCACCCCTGGGGACTACATGGATGAGAGTGAGCCTCATCTAGCATATTTGGTACCTCTGGTCTAGACCATAGTTTCCAATGGCCTCCTGTATATTTCTATCTGAATGTCCCACTAGCATCTCCAATTCAATGTCCAGAAACAAGCATCATCTTTCAAAAAGTAACAGCAATAACAAAAACCCTGCTCTTCCAATTGATTTCTTTATTTCTGCCAATCTTAATTTTTTTTTTAATTTTTAATTTTTTTTAGGCAACTGGGGTTAAGTGACTTGCCCAGGATCCCACAGCTAGTAAGTGTCAAGTGTTTGGTCTGAGGCCAGATTTGAACTCAGGTCCTCCTGACTTCAGGGCCTGTGCTCTATCCACTGTGCCACCTAGCTGCCCCTATTTCTGCCAACCTTAAAATTATTCATTTAATCACTCTGTCTGAGAGGCAGCATGGCAAAATAGAAAATTGACCTTTGAGCTAGAAAGATCTGGGTTCAAATCCCACCTCTGACACATATGTTTATATTATCCTGGACTAGTCAGTCTTCATGATAAATTTCAGAGAAGGTGTGGACTTGAATTGATAGAAAAATTTCCTATACTAAGAAAATCACTTGGCAGCTAGGTGGTATAGTGGATAGAGTGCTGGGCCTGGAGTCAGAAAAACTCATCTTCCTGAGTTCAAATCTGGCCTCAGAGACTTACTAGCTATGTGACCCTGGGCAAGTCACTTAACTCTGTTTACCTCAGTTTCTTCATCTGTTAAATGAGCTAGAGAAGGAAATGGCAAACCACTCCAGTGTCTTTGCCAAGAAAACCCCAAATGGAGTCACAAAGAGTAGTAATTAATTAATATTATTATTAGTAATTAGTATACCTCCAATCCTGATTCCTCTTCCATGGTCTAGACCAGTGGTGTCAAGCTCATGTAGACTTGGCAGCCACTAAACCATACATAAAGATTCCTAAAGGCTACATATTGACTTAGGAAAACACATATTAACATTACTTGTGTTTTATTGTATTTTTATTTATTTTGTTAAACATTTCCCAATTGCATTTTAATCTGCCTCAAGCCATGCTAGGGAGGGCTAGGGCCTGAAAAATGACTGAACAACAAGAAAAGCATAAATCTGATCCTTTTCCCTAATCTAGACACTCATAGTTGAGCTCTATCAGAAATTTTTGACTCTCTTCTCTCTTTCACCTTCCCTATATCCAGCAGATGTCAGATCCTACCACTTCTACTTTCACATAATTTTTCTCCAATATGTTCCATCCTTTCCATTGCTGCCATGCTTGTCTAAGTCCTTATTCTCTCACCTTGAACTATTGCAACTGTCTCCTAGTGGATTTCCCTGCCTCTGGTCATTCCATCCTTCACTTGACTGCCAGATTATGTCACTCCTCTCCTCAAAACCTTTGGTGGCTCCCTATTGCCGACAGAACCAAGTACAAACTTCTGCTCTAACACACAGGAACAACCAAATCTGACACATTCCTCGGCACCATTTTTCCAATCTTATATCTCTCTGCTTCTCCCACTTTGTCCTCCAGACAAACTTGTCAATTCCCCATTATATGCCTTTGTTCATTCCAGATGCTGGCTTTGTCTTTCCACCCACTCCCATCTCTTACCTACTGAAATCTTATAATCTTCAAGATCAAGTTCAAATTTTATCTTCCGCCATAATTTTTTCCTTCCTTAAACCCCATGTAAGAATTTGTTTGGGCCTCTCTTAAGCACTTATCATGTACGTATTTTCTATCAGAATTTTTTGTCTACATCTTATTTCCCCGGCTATTATAATAAGCTCAGTGACTGCCGTGACTGTGCATTATTTATCTAACACAGTGTTTGGTTTAGTAGGCACTTAATCTGCTTTTGTCTGAAGAGCAAAGATATTTCCTCAGAATTTCAATGTTTATTTGTGTCTAGCTTCCTTTGGACAAAACTGTCATTGGTCTGAAAAGGAAGAAAGTGAAGAAACTCAAACTACACTGGCAAAAACCATTATTGTGTCCACAATAAAATTTAGCGCCAATACAACCGCTGGCAAAACTCAGGAGTTGATTCTTAAGAAATTAATACGAAAAAGTAAAGATGTTCACGGAGCTCCCAAACACAGCTGGGTGAGAATTCCCTCTCCCCCATCCTCCATTTGATTATCATATCAATGCTATTTAAGGACTAGAGCTACTGGGATCTTTTTTATTAATAATAAGTTAACATTTATAGAACACTTACTATGTGTCAAGCACTGTGCTAAGCACTTGACAGTTATTTCATTTAATCCTCATAACAACCCTGGGATGTCAGTGCCATTATTATCCCCATTTTATAGATGAAGAAACTCACGCAAACAGAGGAAGAGTGATTAGCCCAGGTCCCATAGCTTGTAAGTGTTTGAGGCCAAACTTGAACTCAGGTTCAGACCTAAAGTCAGCTCCTCCTGACTCCAAGCCTGGTATTCTATCCACTGTGCCACTTAGTTGCTCTTAAGAATAAAAATGTTAGTAAATTTTTTAAAAAATTGATAAAAAAAAGCATTTCATGTGATTCTGAACTCAGAACATCAGAAAATTCATTTGATAAAAAGTGAAAGGTGAAAAAACATGTAGAAAGAGTAATGAAAGGTTGCACAGTGCACAGAACATTAAGCCTGGAGTCAGGAAGATGAGTCAGGAAGATCTGAGTTCAAATCTGACCTTACTTACTAGCTGTGTGATCTTGGTTAAGTCACTTAACTTCTATTTGGCACAGAGTCCTTATCTGTTCAATAAGGATAATAATAATAGCACCTCCCTCCCAGGGTTGTTATGAGAATCAAAGAAGATTTTTTTGTTGTTCATTTGTTCTTCAGTTTTGTCTTACTCTCTCATAACCCCAGTTGGGGTTTTCTTGGGAAAGGTTTACCATTTCCTTCTCCAGCTCATTTGACAGATGAGGAAACTGAGGCAAACAGAATTCAGTGGCTTTCCCAGGGTCACACCGCTAATAAATATCGAAGGCTGGATTTGAATTCAGGAAAATGAATCTTCCAGCACTCTATCCACTACGCTATCTAGCTGCCCCTCAAATGAGATAATACTTATAAAGGCACTTTGCAAATCTTAGACTTCTATATAAATGCTAGCTGCTAATATTATTATTATTATTAAGAATCTCCATATCTAATGAGTGGACTAAGAATTTGGAGTGAGAGTATATGATAGAAGGGAAGGCTGTAAAATTAAAGGTAGGTGTCAGGATTGTGTCTGCTAATGCTTTTTTTTTTTCCAACACCTTAGTCCTCTTGTAAATCAGTCTAGTAGTAAGAAGTAAAGAGACTGGTGATGCCTGGATCTTGATCGAAATCTCAAAAAATAGGCTTGCTATAAATTGACAAACTCCTGCTTTCTTAGCAGATGGTGCTAAAAATGTCAACTGATGTGTCAGGGCAGCTCAAAGTGTGTCGGCCCCAATCACTTGCAAAAATACTTAATGTGCTTGGAGCCAGAGGTATTTTATACACATGGTGACTGAATCTCCCCATGGGGATGTGAGACCCCTCCGTGTGTTACCTGAAGCCAGTGGCTACCAAATTCATTATACAGCAAAGACCAACTACCATTTCTGGAGCCAGAGTTGAAAGGAAAGCCAGTTTTTACAGAATTGGAGAAGAGTTTATGACATCAAGTCCCAGTATTCAATACCACCATCATTTGCAACTGAATTGAAGGTTCTAGATGTCTCTTGTGTAGCTGGGGCACAAGTTACTAGCCGTAGTCCTTCACACACAGTAAGTACTCAATAACTTCTTGTTGAATAAATAATAATGCTTTGTTACAGTTAGACGTCTAAAGAGAGCCATGACTAGGACAGAGCAATAGAGATTTCTTTCAAGACAACAAAATTTTGAGTGCGAAAATTTGACATGATTTTTTCAATTGAAAAGCAACTGAGTTTAGCACTGACACAGCAAAAATAATTAGTTAAAATAAGGAGCTAAGGTAAGAATAACACTGCTCTGTGAGCTAACAGTGTAACAATTCTCCTTCCTTCTCAACTGACTTCGTCTTGATTTTACAGAGTTGCCTGGGGCCGTGAAAGGCTGTTATTTGTTCAGGGTCACAGAGCTCTGCGTATATATCACACATACACAATTATGTGTTAGTGTATATAGAGTGTGGACTGGTTGTACCAGAACTTATAACCCGTAATCTATGCATACCTATGATCACAGGCAGGACTTGAATTCAGGTCTTCCTATCTGTAACTCCAGCTCTCTCTTCCCTACACCGTGGCAACTTTCTACTTTAAGTTGAAAAACAAGTGTGGATCTGAATTGGTAGAGAAATGTGCTCACCTGGGAGTTCCCTATCCCATTGAAATCACAGGTCCAGTTCTTTTTTTAAGCTTTTTGTATTATTTTTCACATGAAGAACGACAGAAATGTTTTAAGGCACAATTTGATTTTCCTCCCACTGGGTGTCAAAATTCCTAGTTAATGGCTTTCTAGTTAGGTGGTCCATATCCATAATACAGACTTTCTCAAGCTGTCTGTCCTTAGACCCATTAATCATACTATCTAAATAAAAGATGAATGGAGATAGGGTCAGGTAGGTGGCGCAATGGATAGAGCTCTAGCCTTGGAGTCAGGAAGGCTTGAGTTCAAATTGACTCAGACACTTGATACTAGCTGTGTGACCCTGGGCAAGTCACTTAACCCCAATTGCATCACCAAAAAGCAAAAAAAAAAAAATTGAGATTCTATTTCAAAGATTGCTTTCTATCATTCAGTATTTATAAAATTCCAACTTTTATCTGCTGTATTTTAATAATAATAGTAACAGCCAACATATAGTGCTTTAAGCTTTGCAAAACTCTTCACGTATATTTGATCTTCATGATAACCCTGTGAAGTAGGTGCTATTATTATTTTCATTTTACAAATGAAGAAACTGAGGCTCAGGATAAGTGGCTTGCCGAGGGTCACACTTCTAAGAAAGAGTATGAAATCAGGTCTTCCTGACGCCAAGTCCAACATTGACAACCACACCTTGCAGCTCAATAAGGCCCCCACACTACTGAGTATGGCCCAGATACACATTAAAATTTAATTGGGAAATGTTTAACAAAATAAATTAAAATGCAATAAAACACAGGTAATATTAATTTGTATTTTTCTAAGTCAATATTCAACCCACTGAAATCTGTTTCTATTTGAGTTTGATACCACTGCCCTGAGACAAATGAAAAACCTGAGAGAAAGAGTTTCTGGGTTAATTAATAATCAATTTATTAATTAGGCTAGCTGATAATTAATAAACTGATGGTCCGTGGTTTCTCTGGAACCAAAGGTACCTAACAGAGAAGCTAAATGCCTTAAATATTTTTAGAAAAGGAATGCCCCTGAGAAGTGAAAATCAACCCTGACTGGTGAATAGTCAATGAAGTGGGGTAGGCATATTAATGAGGAGGTAGACTTTAAAAGTCTTTAGTTGCTTCTATTAAGAATATGGCTTAATAACAAGACTCAGCCACCTCAGCAATCTGGACAAAGTAATCCATCTCCACCCAGACCCCCCGGGGTTGGTTTTCTCCTTCATGAGCTGGGGCACCCTAACCTAAAATGGAGGGGTAAAAGACCGTAGGCTTACTGCTTTAGGGCTGGAATGCTCCTAGATTAGATTCTATTTATACTCTAAACAAAAGTTTGGTCTTCTGGTCGGGTAAAGTCCTCCTGAAGATCAGGGATGGAGAACATGTGACCTCAAGGCCACACATGACCTTCTAGGTCCTTGGGTGTGGCCTTTTGACTGAGTCCAAGTTTTACAGAACAAAGCCTTTTATTAAGGGGATTTGTTCTGTGAAGTTTGGATTCAGTTAAAGGGCTGCACTTGAAAACCTAGAGGGCCACATGTGGCCTCAAGGTCACAGGTTGCCCACCCTAGGCAATCTCATCCAAAAAAACCTTAATCTAATTTTAAAATTGGTTATTAGTATTATAGAAAAACAATAGTTTCTCTCAGAACTACTGGACCCAGCTGCCATCTTCTCTCTATAGGAAAGTACAAAAGATTTAAGCTAATTAGTTTTATTTTCAATGAACTAACATAAAATTTTATTTGTAATTATGGTATGTTTAGCTGTCATAATTACTTAATAATTTAAAGGAATAATTTAAAGTAAGCATATAATGACTACTAAATCTGTTTACTTCTTCCCCCAAAGGTGACAGTATTTATTGATGACCTGAATTCACCAGTGCCAGAGGAGTATGGGGCACAACCACCCCTGGAATTGATCAGACAATTATTAGATTTAGAAGGGTTTTATAATACCGAACAACTTGCATGGAAGGTATAAATCATTTTTTACTTTTATCTACCATAAAATATTATTGTTTAACCACGAGTTAAATATTTGTAACTGTTTTTAGTAAAGTAAGGATTTTAGATAACTCAGCTGTATAAATACCCAGATGTTACATGTGTATAGTGTGGTATAAGAATGGTAATAGAACTGTTGTCTTTAGCAAAATCAGAAGATTGGAGATTGGCCATGCTAATTAATTTTGCAAATTAAGCAAATCTGTTATTCCAGGATCTGAAATCAAATAACCAGACTGAATCAACATAGGTTGGAACAAATTGGAATTTAAGTTAAAACTGAATGAATACTCACCCCTCCCCTATAACACTGGTTATTTTACTCTCGAAATCAACTACTGGTAATTTTTGTCCAATGCATCATTTATCATATTGTGGAATGCCTGACAAAAAGGTGGGACGATAGATTTTTTAAATCAATATATTTGCTACTTTTCAAATCCATTGATCTAGAATTTTCAGTAGTCCATATTGCAAAATGAAAACACTTTCCAAATAGACATTTCTCTGTGCAATTACTTTTATTATCTTTAAACAGATCATAATTATTTGGAAAAAATAAAATTCAAATACCCCTTGTATTCTCAGTTTCATATGAATCTGAATTTAATTTTGGCAAAAGCTATTTCATTTCAAAGCCCTCTGTGTTAAATTTCAGAATTCTTACTTATCAAACGTAGTCCCTTCCCCAAGTCCTTGTCACAGGCTCCCATGCAAGCAGCAGTTTGATGAATTATACCACCTTGTTTTCTTTAAGGAACTAAAATACAAAGTATCAGTCAACAAACATTTATTTAATTTTTTCTGACTTTTTTTAAAAATTGTTAGGCAATTGGGATTAAGTGACTTGCCCAGGGTCACACAGCTAGTAAGTGTCATGTGTTTGGTCTAAAGCTACATTTGAACTCAGGTCCCCATGACTTCAGGGCTGGTGCTCTATCTACTGCACCACCTAGCTGCCCCACAACAAACATTATTAAATTCTTTCTACATGCCAGGCTCTATGCTGAGCCCTGGAAATACTTAACAGTTCCTGATATCAAAGAGCTCATATTAAAATGGAGCGAGATGACATGTATACTAATAAATATCCACAAAATCTGCCCCAAATGAGCACAAGTTAAGATGGAATGAAGAGCACTTGTAGCCGGGGGCGATCAGGAAAGGTTTTGGGTAGAAGATGGCTCTTATGCTGAGCATAATTACTAACGTATAGTGATACTGGCATTTAGCATTACATGACAATTCAAAAGGCCCAAAATAAAGAAAAATGGAAACGATCAGTCAAGAACTTAATAATGTCCTCCAATCTAAGTCAATGCTTACCTTGATATGTGATACTTCAGTGTAAGGCCACACACAGGGGGGATAGCAATAATTTTCACAGTGGTCTCTTTACTTATGCTAATTATGAGCCCAGTTTACTTATTACTGGGGCAGCACGGCACAATGGCTAGAGCATTGTTTTTACATCAAGAAGACCTGGCCTCAAGCCCTACTGCTGACACATACTGACTGTGTGACCCCGGGCAAGTCTATGTTGGGAAATAAGATTGAGGATCAAAAAATGAAAGAGACCAAAAACTTGTGGATGACTGAGGAGTTTCACGTCTATATATCATTTATTTTATTCTTCACCAAAAAAATGCAAAGCATTAGAAATGTCAAGCACCAAATGACAACACTTTAAAAGGGAACTTACTATATCCTAAGAGCCTGGAAGGAAGCCAATGGTTATAGATCCATCAGTCACTTAAGAATCACACTCTCCCAGAGTGAGAAGGGATGTCTACAGCATACCTGATGAGTTGACATCCAATCTTTGAAGACAGCCAGTGATGGTCAGCGTACTATCTCACAAGGTGACCCATTCTACTTTTAGACAGCTCTAATTGTCAGGAACTTTTACTTGTATCAAGCTTCAATCTATCTCTTTACAACTTGTTCTTACTCTTCCACCTACCAGTTTTTTGAATACTGGATGACAGTTATTAAGCCCTTCTGAAGTCTTTTCTTTTCCCTATGAATCATCCTCAGTTCCTCCAGGAGATCTTCATATATGAACTTGAGGCCCTTCGCCATATTGATGTCTCCCCTTTGGATGCTCTCCACCTATCCAGTTTATCAAAATGTAGCACACAGAATTTGAATCACAGAATTTGAGAGTTGGAAGGGCCTTCAGAAGCCATCTACAAAAAGAATCTCCATTACACTATACTTAACAAGTGTTTAGAACAGTATCCAGGTAAAGTCTAACCAGATGGCATAGCCAGATTATCGTATATTTAGTCTTAAACCCAAGGCTGTCATATAACATAATCCAAGGCTTCATTAGCCTTTTTAATTGTGTATCACTGTTGGCTCAACCATATAGTACACTAAAACCCCTCACACTCTCTCAAATGAATTCTTGTCTGCCCATACCATCTGTACTTCTGATTTTCTTTTTTAAGTATAAGGCTTTAGCTTATCCCTATTAAATTTTACCGTATTGGATCTTACTAGATTAGATTTGGCCCAGTGTTTTAGCCTGTTGGTATCTTTAGGGACTTGACTCTGTCATCCAATGTGTTAGATATTCCTCCACGCTTTGTGTCATCTGCATGTTTGTTAAGGCTTTCATCTGTGCCTTTTTTCCAAGTCATTAAGAGAAAAGTGTTAAACAGTACAAAACCAAGCAAAGATCCCTGAGTCACTCCACTGGAGATCTCCTTCCAAACTGACATTGAACCATTAAGGACTATTGTTTGGTACATCTGTTTAACCAGTGATGAATCCTTCTATCATCTAATCCACATCTCTCCATATTTTCAACAATAATAGCATAAAAAACTGTCAAATTCTTTGCTAAGTCTAAATAAACTGGATTTGCCATATTTCTCTGATCTACCAGTTTAATATGTGTCAAAAAAAAAAAGACAAATTAGGTTAGTTCAGTGAAGCCATGTTGGGATCACTATTCATTCTCCTTTCTAAATGTTCATTAATCATACCTTTGATTTTTTTTCATCCAGACCAGTGATTTCATAAGTTTTGGGAAATTCCCCGTGAACATTCGCCCTCTATAAAATTCAACAACTCATTTGTAACTTAAAGTTTTAGATAGATGCCTGAGTACTGAGATGTTAAGTGATTATCCATGGCTACCCAGCTATTATTTGTGTTAGAGGCTAGATTTGAACCAGGTCTTCCTAACTCTAAGACCAACCCTTTATTCATATATTCTAGCCTTTAATAATATGTCTAGAATTTGGTTACATACAAAAGCAGCCAGCCTAGTGTAATGGAAAGAACACTGGACTGAAAGGCAGAGGACCTGCATGTTAAAATCCCAGTCCAGCAACTTCCTGTGTGACCTTGGGCAAGTCATTTAACATTTTGAGCTTCAATTTTCTGATCTGTAAATGAGAGAATTAGACCAGATTATTTCTAAGGTCTATTCTAAGTCTTTGGTCCTATTAAGGATCCTGTAAGAGGCAGCTAGGATAGATCACAAGGCCTGGAGTCAGAAAGACCTGAATTTAAATCCAGCCTCACACCTTTTACTAGCTGTGTGCCTCTGGACAAGTCCCAACCTTTGTTTGCCTCAATTAACTTAACTAGAAAATGGGGAGTAATAACATCACCTACCTCATAGGGTTGTTGGGAGTATCCAATGAGATAAAGCTCTTAGCATAGTGCCTGGCACACAGTAGGCATGTATAAATGCTTATTCCTTTCCCCCTTCCCCTATTATTCTTCTACAATCTTCCTTTCCCATTCTCACAATCTTCAAAAAGCAATGACTGCGGTTTGCTCAGCAATCACACTCATCTATTGTTGTTGCTGTCCTTGTTGTTTGTTGTTGCTGTGGTTTTTCAAAACCAGAAGAAATAATTCATCTGTGCCAGATGACTTGAACTCATTGTGGTCGGGAAGATATTCATATTACCACTTCCTTATGTATCTTAAGTATAAATTCCCTATTGGTCATTTTTGATCTATGCTTTCTCATTTAAAACTCCTGTTCCTTGGCGGAGATGCATGACAGCTGAGCAGCTCAGCCTTCCTTTTGTTTTTTTGAACCTCCTCTTTTGCCCAAAATGGCTTTTAAAAAAAAAAATTTATTATCAGCTTTCCTTACCAGCCCCAGCTAATTCTGAGTGTGAGCACTCCTGACATCATTCTCTCTCACTTTTATATTCATCCTGTTACTTGCCTTTGCTCCCACATTCTCAGAATGCATTTTTTAAATCTAAATTGGCCAAAGGACTCCCTGTGCATCCATATTATCATTTAAAAATCTTTAGAAAATTTGACCTTTTCTTTCTTATCAGAATTATTTCTTTGTGTCTTCAAAATTGTATTATTCTTAAGAGTTTCCTGTGTCAGAAGCTGATTTCCCCTGTAGAATAGACACAAACTGAATTAAACAGGGCAAGAGTGAGTTAAATTGAAAACTGTATCAAACTTTTTGAAAGAAAGGCCTATTTTTTTCAATATCCAATGAGGCTATGTGGCTGCAAGTAATGGAATGCTTCAGTCTTGGAAGAATTAAAGTTTTAGGCTACCAAAAGGCACATGGTGGGCCCAAGTGGACTGCATTTTATTATAGAGCACTAGAAAGAGTGACTCTTGCCACTCATATTTATTAAAGATTTATTTGCATCAGAATGGTAATTTATCACTGATAATTAAAATTAATATAATCAGTAATACTAGTAGAATGATTAGCTTATGCGCACAAAGAAATATAATGGCCAAGTGAATGAGGAAGTTCATTCCCATTAGTTACCTATTTCTTTTCTCCACAGAAAAGTCTAGTGTAATATTGTAGCAGTTCAGTTAAGAAAGTAAAAGAAATTTGTCAAGTCCTCCATGAAGCCTTCCTTGACAACGCCTTTTTCCTTATCCTCATTCCTGAATGAAAACCGTCTCTTCACTCCTCAGATTTCTCATAGCACCTGGGCACCTCTGTTGCCTTTATTTCACTTTAACTTATAATAAAGTTATTTGTCCTTTCCTGCTATTTTACTGTAAGCACTCAGAAAGTAGGCGAGGTCTATTGTATATCTATATTTGTGTCCTCAGAATCTAGCACTTAATATGCTTTAATAGATTTTCACTGACTGAAATTAGCTGCCTAGTCTTAAGATTAGGACGTTGTTATAAAGCTCTCATACCCTGATAAGTCCATTAAAAAGATGTATCAGACTGGCAGAGAGAGAATCAATCTCATAACAAACATTTCCCCAAATAATGTGTTAAAGGAAAATTGCTGAGATTCCCAATATGCCCATAATCATATCCACAGTGCACCAGTGTCAAAGTAGCGATCTCTTCCCAGGATCAGGTGAGCCTTTGGTTCTTAGATCTACTCCATCTTGTAAGCTCAGAGTTAGTTCACTGACTGTAGTATTATTGGTTAAATCTTTCTGTTTCTCACAGAATATTCAAGATATCTCTGTGGTTGCAGCTTGTGGCATTCCACTTGGTGGGAAAAGTGATATCAGTCCACGTCTCCTCAAACATTTTTTTATACTGGTAATGCCTCATCCTCCACAATATGCATTATTCACTATTCTTCAGGTAATAAATGAAGTTAGTAGAAAGTAGGAGGTTTCCATAGACTAAGAAGATAGGGGAGGGGGAAGGGATATAAAGTTTAATACTACTAACATTTAAAGAAAAATACCATCAGAGATTACTGAGAAGCACTATAGTTGGAATGTAAAGTTTTGAATTTATGTTGAATTTGTAGTCAGAAAACTTAAGTTCAGATCCCAGCTAATTAGCTATATGACCTTGAATAAGTCATTTAACCTTTTCTGAACCTCAGTTTTCTAAAAAAAAAAAAAAGGGATAATAATTCTTGCACTGACTATTGCAGATTATCTTGAGGAAAGGGCTTTGTAAACTTTAAAAGTCCCATGAATATGTGTCATTATTGTTATTATTTAATTTCCTCCTGTATGTTGCCTGTGTTATTATTCTGACCTCCCCTTAACATTTGGAAACACTTCATTTATTTTTTTAAAAATATGTTATTTTTCCCCAATTACTTGTAAAAAAATAATTTTTAACTTTTTTTTACATTTTGAGTTCTAAATTCTATCCCTCCTTTCCTCTCCTCCCTCTTCCCTTACTTCCCCTTCCTAAGAGGGACAGAGGAGGGATAGCAATCTGATATAGTTATACATGAGCAATCATGTAAACATTTCCATATTAGTCATTTTGTACAAGAAGACTTGAACAAAAAGAAAAGAAAAGAAAGAAAATGAAAAATAGTATGCTTCAATCAGTATCCAAACAACATCAGTTCTTTCTCTGGAGACATATAACATTTTTTATCATGAGTCCTTTGGGATTGTCTTGTATCCTTATATTGCTAAGAATAGCTAAGTCACTCACAACTCTTCATGATACAGTATTGCTATTACCGTGTATAGTGTTCTCCTTGTTCTGCTCACTTCATTTTGCATCAGTTCAAGTTAAGTCTTTCCAGCTTGCATTTCTTATAGCACAATAATATTCCATTACAATCATATACCACAACTTATTCAGCCATTCCCCCAATTGATTAGCATCCCCTCAATTTCCAATTCTTAGCTACCCCCCAAAAAAAAGAGCTGCTACAAATATTTTTGTAAAAGTAGGCTCTTTTCTCTTTTTTAAAAAAATTTCTTTGGGATATAAACTTTGGGATATAAACTTGGTATTACTGGGTATGCACAGTTTGGTTGCCCTTTGGGAATAGTTCCAAATTGCTCTCCAGAATGGTTGGATCAGCTCACAACTCTACCAATAATGCATTGCTGTCCCAGTTTTCCCACATCCCCTCCAAAATTTATCATTTTCCTTTTTTGTCATATTAGCCAATCTGATAGGTGTGAGGTGGTGCCTCAGAATTGTTTTAATTTGCATTTCTTTAATCAATCACAATTTTGAGCATTTCTTCATATCACTATAGATAGCTTTAGAAACACTTCATTTATAAGAAAGAGAACCTAAGTATTAATTAAGATTGAAGAACTAGTTGAATCACCTTATGTTGCCCATTGGTGCATATGCTAGGGAACCACTGGGTCAGAGGGACATCTCACACACACTGTTGAAACTATGTAGAACTGGCTATAGAATACACCTGACCTCTATCCCCAGACCCTGAAGAGTTCTTCCCAATCCAATTTAAACTTCCAGGGGAAGCCTGGTACTGTGCTACCTACCTGACAATCCATCAGACAAGGAAGCTGTTAGGAATTCAAGTTAGTCATTAAGTTACAAGGAAAATCCTAAGATTTCATATTAATTTTATAACTTCACATCATTGCAAGGAAGTCAGAGGGCAGAGCAGTAGGCCATACCAATCCCCTGGCTGATACTCAACTGTCATTAATCAATGTCCTCTGACATTTTCTTCCCTTCTACTAACAAAGTCTTGGAAACATTACTCAAGTGGTAGCTTGGGAAAAGATGGAATAGGAAGCCTGAACATTAAATCATCACCAACACCGACCTACCCCCTGAGGCTTGGACAAACCATAGAAATAATCCTGATTATCTGTTACATGATGACTATTAGCATTTTTAATAGACTTTGAACTTCCTGTTAATGTTATAATGCCTAAATCTGCAGGAGTGCTAAGGAATACTTAAATGTTTTTAAAATGTTGGTCACAAAATTTTCTTTTTTAGGCTCATCTGGGAATACACTTACACAACAATTCCTTCCTCTCTGATGTTCAGAAGTGCAGGCAGCAATTGGTGGCAGTTTCCCTCTCTATCTACTATCACGTATGTCACCATCTGTTACCAACCCCAGCTAAGTGTCACTACATGTTTAGTCTTTGGGATCTATTTAACGTTTGTATCAAATTTTATTCTAAATCAGTATTAAAACATTTGACTTATAGGAAATATAATTTTGCTCATTAAATGTGTCTTATATATTTGTCCTTTTAGATTATTGTCAGCCAGTGTTATACCAAAATCAAAATACAATCCTGTTCTGGCTTGCTTGCTTTCTATTTCATTATGTTAGGATTTCTACACATAGGATGGACGGGAAAAAGGGAATGAAGTGAATGAAGTGAAACTTAAATCGGCAATGTTGTCACTTGTTATCAGCTCTGATAGTGGGTGAAAGCTGAAACTAATTGTTAAAATGAGATTTGAGAAGTACTTTTGGATTTCAATTATTTATGCTTATCCCTCTTCTCATTACTATGGATTGCTGTTTGTTCTATATGTTTGGTTTTTGGTTTGTGTTTTTTTTGATAATGATTTGAGAATTAGTTGGATGTACTAAATCACTCTGAAGTCTATGGAGAAAAAAAAATCTCCAAGGGAAAAAAGGAATTAACCAGTACTTTATTTTTTCCCACAATTACATATCAAGAAAATTTTTATCATTCATTTTTATAAGATTCTGAGTTCCAAATTTTTATCCCTCTTTCCCTCCCCTCCCCTCTTCTGAAAATGGTAGGTAGTTTGATATAGTTTATACATATGCTATCATGTAAAACATATATCCATATTCATCACAGTTGTGGAAGAAGAAACTGTTCAAAAGGGGGAAAAACTATGAGAAAGAATAAAGTAAGTGAAAAAAATATCCTTTAATCTGCAATCAGAGTCCATCAGTTCTTTAACTGAATATGGATAGTGTTTTCAATTGGGAGTCCTTTGTACCCGTCCTGGATCACTGTGTTGCTGAAAAGAGCTGAGTCATTCAGAGTTAATCATCACAACAATGTTGCTGATACTGTGTACAATGTTTTCCTGGTTCTGCTCATTTCACTTTGCATCAATCTGTATGAGTCTTTCCAGGTTTTTCTGAAATCTGCCTGTTCATCATTTCTTATTGCACAATAGTATTGCATTAAATTCATATAACACAGCTTGTTCAGCCATTCCCCAATTGATGGGCATCCCCTCAATTTCCAATATTTTACCACCACAAAAAGGGCTGCTATAAATATTTTTGCACATGTAAGTCCTTTTCCCTTTTTTATGATCTCTTTGGGTTACCGACCTAATAGTGGTATTGCTGAATCAAAGGCTATGCACAGTTTGCTGCTCTCCAGAATGGTTGTATCAGTTCACACCTCCACCTACAGTGCCTGTGTCCTAATTTTCCCACATCCTCTCCAACATTTATCATTTTCGTTTTTCGACACATTAGCCAATCTGCTTGGTGTGAAGTGGTATTTCAGAGTTGTTTTAATTTGCATTTCTCTAGTCAAAAGTGATTGAGAGCACTTCTTCATATGTCTATAGATATCTTTGATTTCTTCATTTGAAAACTACCTTTTCATATCCTTTGACCATTTATCAATAGGATACTGGCTCATATCTCATAAATTTGACTCTGTTCTCTACATATTTGAGAAATGAGGCTTTTGTCAGAGTCACTTGCTGTAAAGATTCCTTCCCAGCTTTCTGCTTTCCTTCTAATCTTGGTTGCATTGGTAGTGTATTTTTTTTGAGGCTGTATGCATGTTTATTTTTCTCAAAATGGGTGGACATGCATGCATGGGAACTGCAGTCAGTAACTGAGCTCATTTCAGGGTTAGGCTCCACAGTTTATATATCCTTTCAACAAGGGCTGGTGTCACTCTATCATTATTTCACCCCAGGACAGAGAAAATATCCCTGCACCAGACCACTCCCAGCCTTGAGCCATCTAGACAAAAGAATTTCTCTGTACCCAAGCCTGAGTAGAACAGAATGGGTTTCCCCACTTTGGATTAAATTCTTTGCAAACTTGGGTGGGGTTTGACCAGGATAAGGAGAATCTATGAGATCTGTAATGTCCTTCTGAAGAAAAACTGAACTTTAGGACTTTGGAAGTGGGGGGAGGGGAGAAGCTCTGAACCTCCCCAAGATATTGGTTATTAATAATCATTTTTCACATTTCCACAACACCTACTATGACACTAGGGATACAAATAAATAAAAGACAGTCCTTGCCCTCAAGGAGTTTACAATCTAATGGGGAGAAGACAATGTACAAAAGGAAGCTGGAAAAGGTGATGGGTAATGGAGAGAGACACCAGAAATCTTGTTCTGTGGAGTTGAAACCAAGCGGAGTTACCAATTTCTGCACTTTATAAAAGAAAGTTTTGGGAGAAGTCTAGTCCTCCTTCATCCTCCAATCAGAGGGAAGAGGAGGCCGATGGAGAAAGTGCTGAATATCCAAGGCTTGAGTTAAACTCAGTTCTTTAACACCTTCGTGTTCTTCCTTATCATTTCATTGGTATTGTCTATGCAAAAACTTTTTAATTTAATTTGATCAAAATTATCTATTCTACATTTCATAATGCTCTCTATCTCTTGTTTGGTCTTAAATTCTTCCCCTCCTCATAGATCTGACAGGTAGACTATTCCTTGCTCTTCAAATTTGATTGCTTCATTGTCTATGGTACCTTTTAGCAAGATGCAGTTTCCTTCCTGATATCTTTTAATTGGGTACTTTTTTGCTTTTACTTTATCTAAGATCATGATTGCTACCCCTGCCCTTTTTGACTTCAGCTGAAGCATAATAGATTCTGCTATAGCCCCTTACCTTTATTCTGTATGTCTCTCTGCTGCAAGTGTGTTTCTTGTAAGCAACATATTGTAGGATTCTGGTTTTTGATCCCCTCTGCTATCCACTTCCACTTTATGGGAAAGTTCGTCTCATTTACATTCACAGTTACTTCCATCCATCCTATTCTTTCTCCTGTTTGTCCTCTCTCTCTCCCTTTCCAACCTCACCAATGTTTTGCTTCTGTCTACCACCTCCCCTGATCTGCCCTCCCTTCTGTCAGTCCCTACCATCCCCCTTTACCTGATCTCCTCTCCTCCTACTTCCCTGTCAGGTAAGATAGATTCCTATATTCAACTGATTGTGTTTATTATTCCCTCTTTGAGCCAATACTGATGAGAGTGAGTTTCAAATGATTCCCATCGCCCACCCTCCTAGCTTCCCCTCTACTGTAATAGGTCTTTCTCACCTCTTCATGTGAGATAATTTACCCCATTTTATCTTTCCTTTTCTTCTGCACCCATTGTACTCCTCTTTCTCATCTCTTAATTTTTTATGTCATTCCCTCAAAGTCATCTTATACCCATATTCTCTATATATGTATATTCTTTCTATCTGTATTGTTAGTGATATAATTTTTAAGAGTTACAAGTATCATCTTTCTATGTAGGGATGTAAACAGTTTATCTCTATTGAATCCCTTATGTTTTCCTTTCCCTTTTTACCTGTTTATGTTTGTCTTGAGTCTTGATATTGGAGGTCACATTTTTGGTTTAGTTCTGGTGTTCTACTTATGAAGGCTTGAAACCTTTCTATTTTGTTGAATGACCATTTTTTCCTCCTTAATGTATTATGCTTGATTTTGCTGGGTAAGTGATTCTTGGTTACAGTCGCAGCTCCTTTGCCCTCTGGAATATCATGTTCCATGATCTCTGATCCTTTTATAGTACAACTGCCATGTCTTGTATGATCCTGACTGTGATTCACCAATACTTGAATTATTTCTTTCTGGTCACTTGTTTTTTCTTTGACCTGATAGTTCTGAATTTGGCTATAATGTTCCTTGGGGTTTTTATTTTGGGATCTCTTTCCTGAAGTGAGTAGTGGACTCTTTCAATGACTATTTTGCCCTCTGGTTCCAGGTCATTACAATAGTTTTCCTTGATAATTTCTTGAAAGGTGCTGTCCAGGTCCTCTTTCAGATTATGACTTTTAGGTCCAATGATTCTGACATTGTCTCTCATGGATCTATTTTCCAGGTCAGTTGTTTTTCCCATGAGCTATTTTAAATTTTTTCCATTTTGTTTTATTCTTTTGAATTTGTTTGATTGATTCTTGATGTCTCATAGAGTCATTAGCTTCCACTTGTCCAATTCTAACTTTTAAGGTGTTGTTGGACTCAGCTTTTTTACTTTCTTTTGTATTTGGCCAATTGTATTATTTAAGCAATTGTTTTCTTCAGTGTATTTTTGTATCTCCTTTTCCATTTGACCAATTCTAGTTTTTAAGCAGTTTTCCAAGCTGTTGACTCTTTTTTTCATAATTCTCTTGTGTCATTCTCATTTCTTTTCCAGTTTTTTCTTCTACCTCTCTTATATAATTTTTAGGCTCCTTTTTTGAGATCTTCCATGAGTTCTTCCTGGGCATGAGATCACTTTCCATTTTTCTTTGGGGTTTCACCCATAGGTGTTTTGACATTGTTGTCCTCTTCTAAGTTTGTGTCTTGGTCTTCCCTGTCACCCCATAACTTTCTATGGCAGATTCTTTTTTTGTTGGTTTTTTTTTGGTCTTTTTCCTTTCTTTTAAGTTTGATCTCTGACTCCTAGGGTGAAAGGGGTTCTGTATCTGGCTTTTTGTGACAGTGGCTGCAGGCTCTGGCTGTTTACTTGGTGCTATGCTAATGTTGCCCTGAGGCCCATGGGGGACCCTTATGTCTGGTGCTGTGTTGAGTGGGCTGGGTGGGTGGAAGGCTGGCACTACTAGAGGCTGAAAAGGTTTGGCAACTTACCTGATGCCAAGCCAGCATCCTAGTGGTGGTGTCTAGCATGTGCTGGAGCCAGGTGGGGTTTTTCTGTGTTTCCTTGGGGCTATGCTTAAGCATGGGGAGGTCCAGCCACTGGAAGACAGCTGCCTGCCAAGAGCCACACTGACACATCCAGGGCTTCCAAGGGAAGGTACCGGACCACCTGGAGCGGTGCTATAGTATGTGGAGGTCCAGCTGCTGCAGGAAGCCTGTCTTCTTACCACCACCACCCTGGCTGTCTTGAAGTACATTTTTGGAGCTGGAGTCTGCCAGTTCCTCTGGCTATGCTAAGGCATGTAGGGGTCCTGGTGTTGGCATTGCCTGACCCACCAGACAGGCTCAGGATCTCCCACTGGTTTATTTAGGTGGGGCTTGCTGCTGGCTTACTGGGATGTTTCCTGTCCTGGACTGCACTCCCCTTTTCCCAGAGTGATATAGACTTTTTCTTGCAGATCCTCCATGTCTCTGGAGCTAAAAGACTGTTCCACTCTGTCTTTCCACTGGCTCCACTGTTCCAGGATTTGTTCTGAGGCACCATTTTATGGTTATTTGGAAGTGAATATGGGAGAGCTACAGCAATGTACTGCTCACTCTGCCATCTTGGCTCCTGGAAGTCCTAGCACAAAGAAGAAATTAGCAAATTTCTTTTTTGTGTTTTTGTCTACACTATTGCCAAGTCTTTAGTCTGGCCCTAAGTAAGTTGATATAAAAGTAGATTTGAACTTACAGGTCTTACATTTCACACAAGGCAATGATGCACAAAATCATTTCCTCAAAATGCTGTCAGTCATGCTCAGGACTACAGGGATAATTAAACAGAACTTTCAGATTGATTGCCTTGTAGTAGGTTGTCCTTTTACTAATGTAGATCACGACCTAATTATCTGGATGACGCCAGGCAAGTCTTTTCTCTAATTCCCAGTTTCCTCATCTATAAAATGACAAGGTTGAGCTAGACGACGTCTAGAGTCCCTTCCAGCTCTAAAGCTTTGTCCCTGTGAAATTTCTTAGTTTAGTTAATAGTCAGACTTGCTGTAACTGAACAATCCATCTCAGTCAATGTGGTCAGGAGCCTCTCTCTGAACTTAACTAGATTAATCCTCTGAGAGTGAAAATGAAGTCTACCACCAGGACTACAGCTGAAGCCTTTTCAGTCTAGTAGGGCCACACAGTCTTGGAGACACCAGAGCCTCCTCTAAGCCATGGTGACCATCAAAGAAGAATTTTAATGGAAACCAAAAGAAATAGTATTGCTAATTTTGACAACTTTCCTTCCAGCTATGGATATTATCCTGAAAATTATATTTTGCCTTTGCATAAATAATACAATTCTTCAAAATGCAAATTAGTAGTAGCAGCTAGGTGGCACAATGGATAAAACTCAGGCACTCCAAGGAGAACTGAGTTAAAGTTCATCCTTAGACACTTGCTGGCTGTGTGACCCATGGGCAAGACAGGGTTAACCCTGTCATCATCTGTAAAAAAAGCTGAAGAAGGAAATGGCAAACCACTCCAATATCTTTGCTAAGGAAACTACAAGTGGAGTCATGAAGAGTAGGACACAACTGAAAAATGACTGAACAACAACAACAGAGTAGTGGACAAAACAATAACCATGGGGAATAATAGCTCTTTCACTTAGAAGCTCTGTTGTTTTGTTTTGCTTTGGACCAGCTTAGTGATTTCATTGGTATTGGAGATTCACATTAAGTAAAGTCCCTCTACCAATGCAGATCAGCTACCTTTCTTCAACTTAGTCTTTGAGAGTTGACTATGCCAAATTAAGTAGCTTATACAGGGTCACAGAGTCTGGGTGTGTCAGAGTCACAACTTAAACCCAGGACTTCCTAACTCAAGGGCTAGCTATGTGTTATAACACTACTAACAAATCATTTCCCCTTTGTAGAACCCACTTTCCTAATCTATGAAATTAGAGGATGAGATTAGATGATCTCATTAACTTCCATGGCTTCAGTTATTTCCTCTATGCAAATGACTCCTAAATCTCTGTATGTAACCTTGAACTACTGATCCAGCTCCATGTCCAACTGTGCCTTTGATATCTATGATCTACAATCTCCATTTGGATGTCCATGAGTACCTCAAACTCCAATACCCAGAAACATATTTATCACCTTCCTCCCAAAACCTACCCTTCTGCTCAACTTCCCTATTTCTTCTGATTTCACTATCATCCTTCCAGTCACTCAGATGCGAAACCTCAGGCATTTTTTAGCCTTCCCTCTTCCTCATTCTCTTCTTGTCTCCAGTTACCCTGTCCTATTTATTCTACCTCCACAGTATTTTTATGGAATCCCTGAAAAAAAGGATCATCTGGTTTATGTTTAAAGCTCTCCAGTAATGAGGAATCCACTTATTCCCAAGTTGACCTACTCCACTTTTGGGTTTTGTTGTTTAGTTAATTAATCTTATCTGACTCCTTGTGACTCCATTTGGGGCTGTCTTGGCATTTCCTTCTCTAGCTTATTTTACAGATGAGGAAACTGAGGCAAACAGGGTTAAGTAACTTGCCCAGGATCAGACAGCTAGTAAACGTCTAAGGTCAGATTTGAACTCAAGGTCTCCTGACTCCAGGCCTGGCACTCTATCCACTGTGCCACCTAGCTGCCCATAGCTGCCCACTTTGGGGTAGCTGTAATATTTAAGAAATATTCTCTTATACAAAGCCAAAATCTACCTTCCTGCAACATCTACCCATTGTTCCTGTTTCTATGGTCTGGGGAAGAGGGAGAGAAGAATAAGTCTACTACAAATATTTGAAGACAGCTTCCAAATCCCAGCTAAGTCTCGTCTCCAGGCTAAATATCTCTAATTTCTTCAACCGATCCTAATGGCCTCCAGTACCCTCCTCATCCTAATCATCTACCTCTGAAGACATTTCAGTTTCTCGTTATTCTCCCTAAAATCCAATGCACAGAAATGTACATGATACTGGAGATGTGTCCTGACCAGGAGAGAGAATAGTGGGACTCTCACCTCTGTAGACTCATATTCAACTGATTTCTATCCCCAAGATAGGACTTTACATTTACCCCTACTAAACTGAGCACTACAGATTCAGTCTGCTGTTCTAGCCTGGTGAGATATGTTTGGATCATTACTCTGTCATTCAATAGATTAGCTATCTCTCCTAGTTTAGGGTCATCAGTGGAACTCCTAAGCCTACCATCTGTGCTTTTATCCAAATAACTGCTAAAATTATTTAACAGCACAATGCCAGCCACAGATCTCTGAGGCACTTCACTAGAGGCTTCCATCCATGTTGACAGTGATCCATTCATGATCCCTTTGGGGGCCCAGTCATTTAGTCAATCCTGAAACTACCCCTACTACACTATGATCTGTGTGTTGTGTTCAGTCGTTTCAGTCATGTCCTACATTTCATGACCCCAAATGGGGTTTTATTGGCAAAGATACTAAAGTTGTTTGCCATTTCCTTTTCCAGCTCATTTTACAGGTAAAGACAAGGTTAAAAGACTTGCCCAGGGTCACACAGCTAAGTAAGTGTCTGAGGCTGGATTTTAATTCAGGTCTTCCTGACTCCAGGCCCTGTGTTTTATCCACTGTGCCACCTAGTTGCCTAAGACTATTTTACTATTTTTCCATTCTGTCTCTCTGCCTCCATTCTCTTATCTTTCACAAAGATGCCAAAATAATTCTCCTAATGCAAAGAAACTTAACTGTGGACCATATATCTCCCTTCAGGGGCTATCCTTTGCTTCTTCTTCCCCTTATCCCATCCATCTTGCTATCAATACAGATTTTGTAGACATGGGTAACATTTTTCTTTTTTTTTCTTTTTCTCTTTTGGTTTTGTTTTGTTTTTAGGCAATTGGGGTTAAGTGACTTGCCCAGGGTCACACAGCTAGTAAGTATCAAGTGTTCGGTCTGAGGCCAGATTTGAACTCAGGTCCTCCTGACTTCAGAGTCAGTGCTCCATCCACTGAGCCACCTAGCTGTCCCACATTTTTTCAAATAAACACCTTTCTTAATTACAGAGCCCAGAAATGCTGAGATTATTAGCAATCTGGTTATTTGAGATTTTAAAATATTTTTAAAATACTTCAATGATTTTTGAAAATCTCATCTTTATATTTCTAATAGCTACTCCATGGATTATTACAAGCTAACAAGTCAGTTGTTGTGTCTAAAGAAACTGCTGCTCTATTCTTTGTACATGAAGCAACCCGAGTATTTCATGATCGCTTAGTTGATGCTGAGGAAAGAAAATATTTTTTCCAGCTTCTTTCAAGCGAACTAGAACTCTATTTTGAGGTAAATGTATTCATTTTTTTAAAAAATTTCATTCTTTCATTGAGAACTTGGGGAAAAAGAATACCATTTTCAGAAATAGTCCTGAAAAGTGTAATTTTTAAAATTGCTTTTAAATTAAGCATAATTATCACTTGAAAAAATCACTGAAGAGTCTCCCTAAAGCTATCACAAAGAAGCAACAATCCCTAGGCTCAAATAGATTTCAGATTAAGTTCGCTCCTCTATCTGAGATATTTGTTGAACTTGTAGAAAACACCATTCCCACCAGTACCATCAGACATACTTTGAAAATTTAAATGAAGATATTATCTCTCAACAGGAAGAGAGAGAAGCTTCCTGTGTATGTATGGGCCATAAAAAATAGCTCCCTGACTTCTGCTGAGGAAAGGAAACAAAAACTTTTTTTTTCTCATCAAGGAAAAGGAGGAAGAGTTTTTCCATAAATGTCTGAAGTTTTTGGTTCTCACCCTTCCCTCACTAGGATGGCCAAAGGAAGGAAGTGTTTTCTCCACTGGTGGCTGAGAAGGTTTTAGTTTTTGTCTTTTCTTGGTATGATGGCCAAAGAAGAGTTGGACCAGAGGATCTTAGGGTCCAGAGGAATTGGACTTTTTTGTCTGCATCCTATCAGTGTCCCCAGAATAGTGGTGAATGCATCAGTGTGTCAGCAGACACACTAGATACATTGAGATAAGTCAACTTTAAGACTCTACAAGGAATTCAGCAGAAAACTTCACCACACCTAACAGGTACATTTGGTAGACTCCAGCAAAACGACTTCTGGGAGCTGTTACCATCTTCGTACATGTGCTCTGTGCCCCAACCCACTTTCTCCTGGACTCTGCATGTTCTTGAATGAGAGTGTGTCATGAACTTGGGAAGGAAGGGGGAATGTTTATATACCAACTGTTCTACTTTACCACCAGAGCAGATTCTCCTTTCTGAAAGCTAATTAAATGTGGCTGATCAATTGATATCAACTGATAAGCATGGAGAGACGCATACTGGCAGAGGCTCATGAGATACAGTCTTAAAAAACTATCCTCCAATCCTGTAGAGCTAATTCTTCAGCCCCAAGGGAGCACAGTAGCCACCCTCCAGAGACCTGATTTGTCAGTGAGATTAGAAATTGAAGTGGTGGCTAAAAAAGCAAAGGGCAGTTACCCCTGTATCTCAAATTACTATCAAGTGCAGAGTTACAGTGCTCCTTACAAAGACTGAGGCCACAAGTCATAACATCATAGATTTAGAGCTAAAAGAGACCCTAGAGGCCATCAAGTCCAACCCCCTCATTTTACAGATGCAGAAACTGAGGTTGAGAGAGGTGACTGACACATTGATATCAGTTTGCAACATCTTAGAGCTTTGTTCTTCACAATGACGAGAAAGATTCCAGCAAGGGTAATAACTTGATATTGAAAGGCAAAAGAAATGGGAGGCGAAGCAAAACTCAGCAGAAAAGTAGTGTAGAAATAACTAGTTCACTTTACATTGAAATGGAGGCTACTTCTAAAATGTAATTGTTCATGATCAGAGAAGATATAGAAGGTTCCTCTCTCTTTTCCTCCACGAGACAAGGACAAGAATTACAGCAGAGATGGGATTGATAAGACGTGGCAACTGATTGGTTCTGAGGGATGGGGGGAAAGGATAAGTCAAGAATGTCTTTGTAGTTGTAAAACTAAGCTAATAGTCTGAGCACAGTTGAGCATGGTGGGGAAAAAAAGCACAGCTTAGAAGTAAAGCACAGGTAGATGTGAAATTACAAAAAATTATTATCAGAATTGGGTCAGTTGAGAGTCTAAGAAATGGAGATAGCACAATTAGGGATGATGGAGAGATCTAAGGTATGATACTCTCTATGGGAGTGAAGATGTGGTTTATGGGGGTTGAAGAGATGGGTGAACTAGAAGATCAGCGTTTTTAAGAGGACATCAACACGCATACTGAATTGTGAGAGGCACAGTTGGTGAGCTGCAAGCCTGGATCAAGACATTTTGGTCAAGGATCAATATTTCTCTTCAGAGCTATTTTTGGAGAATAAGTTCCTCCTTCTAGTAGAATTACATTAAAAATAGCTTGAAGTATTTCCAGTTTCATGTCAAAACTCTACTGCAACAATGTCAGCTTTGTATCTCAGTTATTTACATACACAGGTTGCCAGACACTTATTTTTTTTTTGAGTGAGTCTACATTACTTCAGTTGCAGTTAAGGAATTTAGGTATTTTATTTGAAAATATAGCATTATACCTCATCACCCACAAGCAAATGTTCAGACTGAGAAGATGGTGCAGCTGCTAAAAATGTTTTTAAGCAGATCATGGAAGAAAAGGCCAACTCGATTTGCCAAATTTTCTTATTCCTCAACATGTCATTATGTTCAACTTCAGGCCTGCTGACCTATATTGGGACAGCATCTCAAGATTTGCCTCAAACATATTTTTCCAAACTCACATGAAGGCATATTAAATAAGTGAGAATATATTCCAGATAGGTGTACCTGGTATTAGTTAATTATTATTATGAGAGCCATCTGAATTATTTGAGTTCTAGTCACCATAATTGCTGAGGGTGAGGCATCCTAAAGTTGTGGCCACACTGAGATATCCAAATAGATGTGTGGAAAAATGGAAATGTAGAAAAAATACTGGACTGGAAGTCTGAAAACAGACATTCTAATGTTAGTTGCATCACCAAATAGATCTAAGACTTTGAACAAAGCTCTTTCATCTCTAGGAACTTTAGTTTCCCATCTATAAAATGGGAGGGATTGGATTAGATGACTAAGGAGTCTATCCAGCTCTAAAATTCTTTGATTTTATTTTATCATTGAGTATAACAAGTTTAGATCCAGTTTGAGTGATGGAGAAGCCAAGAAACTTAAGCCACAAAAGCTATTTGTTTTGAGAATGTAATAATGAGGACTAAGACCTCTATGTAAATATAGAAAAATGCTATTGTTAAAGTCACACATTACAGTCCTTGGGATTATATGTTATGTCCTATATTGTGTTTCCTTCAGAAAAATAAGTCTATCTCATCTCTAACATTTTGCATATAGATGCTAATCCAGAAATAACTGCCTCTATCACTCTTGAGAATGTGTAAAAGTTACCAAATCATGTTTTTAATAAGAATTCTTAGAAATGCTAGGGTTTCTATGCCAGCCTGAAAACTTTCCCTAAGATTGAATAAACTAGTAGTATTTGTGTGACCCTAATAGTTATGAATCTAAATACAAGACAGAAACCTGTTGGAGTTTTTTTTTCCTTCAATAATAACTTGGTTAAAGATGCTGCTGAGAGAGCCAATCACTGATTTAGAAGTTCCCAAGTTCCCCCATTGCAAATACCAAGTTGTATGAAGAGCTGAGAACACCACAAGACAGTCTAAGGATTTCACCAGGTCAGGAGGCAAATATGAAGACAGTAGCAGTAGAACAAGCAATCATCCAGAACTATACCTGGTACCAGAGACAGAATCATGAGACAGGATTTCTGCTAACAGAGCGTGGACATTGCTACAACAGTTGTATGGCCCACAAAAGACAATGGACTGGAGTTTGCTGGAATACCTAAACCACCCCAAGACTGAAGAATCTGTAGGCTCCTACACTGATCTAACTTCCATGAAGGACTGCAAATGACCTTGGAGGACACTGTGGAACCTAAGACTCTACCTTCCCTGTCTGCAAAATATCTTACAGCTTGGGGTTTTCTTTTAGCCAAATTTCACTTTGGTACCTAAAGGCCATGTCTTCCTCCAAGTGGAAAGTTTGTTATCAGCTACCAAGCAACAAGATTTTTCCAAGTTTCACCCAGATTATAGGGTCGAGCTCATAAAAATCCCTGTGACATTCCTGGAAGAGAATCTGGGCTCTTTTTGATAGGATCATCTCAGACAATATAGGATTGCATTAGTCTCACTGATAAATAAAATTGTATTCTCTTGGATTCTGCTTTTTAAAAAATGAATTTTCTTCCCATAGATTTTATGGCCCACAGACAAAATAATGAATGATTTACCTTTGTATATGGATTTTTTGGATATAAACAAACCTCATAAGAGAAGGATCAGAACTGTAATAACCAGAAAAAACTTGCAGATGTGCTTTCTGAATTCCAGCTCTCATTGGGCTCAGCTGGTTTTGAGGTAATACGAGATGTTATATAATCTGTTGCCAGTAACTACTGCCTTCAAATTTTAAGGAATTTTTCAAACATCTTGGACAGGAGAGAGGAATCCACCACTCAGGTTTCAAAATGAGCTCTTGTAAGTATAAAGCTTTGTATTATTTTGCCCCTCAGGAAAGATATGATCTTAAAGATGGGAAAGTCAAGTTTTGGCAGCAAGGCTTTGATGGGTAACATCCAAGGAAAAGAACTGGTGGCGTAGAGTTGGGAAAGTGATGTCAGGTAGAAATTACATGGAAAGAGAGAATGGGGAAAGGGTTCACAGGACCAGAAGTTTCCTCAGAGGCCAAGTACTCCAATGTCCTTCAAGAATGAAGGTTCTATATAAGACTGTTTCCTTGAGGGGACACCTCATGAGGAAGAGAAGAAAGAGAGCAGCAGCTACAAGCCTGTTTGGGATTTTCTTTTTCCTGTTTCTGATTATCAAGCAGGTGATAGTCATTCAGCAAAGGAGGAAAAAGTAGAAGAAGGGTCAGTTATTCCAGAGACCAGCTCCTGAAAGCAAGAATGCTACAGCTACTGCTACTCATTTTGTTTTTGTCTTCTTCCTCTCTGGCTTTGCTTTCTTGCATCAGAGAGGCAGCAATAGCAGCCAGTTGCATGAGATGGTCTTGTATGTGGATTATGCATTACTCAAATTTTCTCCTCTCAGATTAAAATTTAAACCATTTTATAAAGACACGATTGTTAAAGTCCTTTATTTCGTTCCTCTCTCCTATTATGCCAAGCCACAAAGGAATTAGATATTCCCCCACCCTAGTACCACTGAAATTTATTTCTTCCTTCCATTTCCTTTCCTAGCTTTCCAATTCAATGGTGTCGTTCAAGGAAGCCACGGAACATGTTTGCAGAGCTGCAAGAGTCCTTCGACAGCCAGGGAGCCACATGATCCTGGTAAGAAAAGAAAGTTTACAAATAAATATTTAAATTTCTCAGGTCGTAGACAACTTAAGAAATTCAGCAAAAATGGTTTGCCTTATGAATGCTTCCTTAGCACTAGCCATTGAAAAGCACAATATTTGAAAGTTTATGGATTTTAACAAAAAGATTTCTTGGATGTGATGAAGTTGCAAGTCCATAAAACAAGATAATAATTTTCCAATATTTCACATAAGACACCATAAACACACAAAATAATACCAAAGTAGATTATGTGTGCACGCAGGTGTGTGTGTGCATAGGATGGATTTGGCACCATCTAGTGGTCCTTTACATTAGCTCACCTTAATCATCTATGTGTGTGACCTGCTTTGAAAAAATGTTACACTAATTGACTTAAATATTATACTAATGTTCCTAAAATTATGAGCTTCTCTAAAAAAATTTTTTTTATTTAGACCCTAGAAGTTGAGAGTTCTCTATACACCTAGAGAAACCTCATCATACAAATAAAGGATAAAAAGTTAGAATAAGACTTTGAAGTAAACAAATTGGCCTCATGTCATTGAAACTTTGCTGGCCAGAACCATTGAAATAAATGAATTATGTCTAGGTGTATTAAACCATTAAGTATTTTTGTATCTTTATAAATAATATCACCAGTAGGATCCAATTAAATTAGAAAACTTTTTTTTTAATTCACGTTGCTACTTTCTGCCCTGGGGGCACTGACACACACGAGGATTTGAATAAATTGTATTTCACAGAATTTTGGTGTTATAGTGAATCCCAGGGGCCATCTGGTCCAAACTTAGAATCCCTCCTACAACATCACAAGTAGTCATCCAGCCTCCACTTGACAATCTGGGGGGCAGGAGAATCCATTACCGACTGGGTCAACAACCCATTGAACTTTTTGACAGTTGTAATTACTAACAAGTATTTCCTTACATAAAGCCTGTCTTCCTTTGCGACTTCTCCCAAACGTTATGAGTTCTTCCTTTTGGGAACAAGCAAAAAGAGTCTAGTCCATGTGCCATATGATATCCCTTAAAATAACATTAATACTAATACCTGAGCTCCTCATTACCACCCCCTTCTCCTAGCTAAATGTTCTTAGCTCCTTCAGCCAGTCTCCAAAAGGACATGGTCTCCAGAGAGTTTTCCAGATACACCTATATGCATATACATACACACACATGCATACACACATGAGAATTATAACACTTACAATTTTTATATGCCAATTATGAGGAGGGGATGTCTTTATCATCCTCCTCTGGAAGCACTCTCCAGTTTCTCTATTCAATGACCTTCCTAAAATGTGACATCTAGAATTGAACATAATATTCCAGATAGAGTCTTTGTATCTAGTAAGAGTTCTTCATGTAGACAATACCCATCAGTTAAGTAACTGAGTTGAAGCTAATTTGCTAATATTTGATGGAAAATTTAAAAGATATTTTATCATTTTTGACATGATGACACATAAAAATGTGAGTATATATATATATGCACTTGAAAAATCACATGAATGGCTAGAAATCCTTTTCACTTCAAGTATTTAGTAAGCCCAACTCTCACTTCCAAGTCAAAGAGAATAAGCAGCCACCAAAATAGATGCACAGAATTACTTTAGTCATCCTCCTACAGATTTAGGGAGGTAATAAGAGAGTAGCTCACCAACTCCCTATAGATAAAGAAACTCTATGAGTTGCCCATGTATAATTATGGGATCGTATATTTAGATAGAAGAAACCTTAGAAGCCATCTAGTTTACCCTCCCCCTCATTTTACAAATTAGGTAATTGAGCCCATAAAGCTTGTACCTTTTTATTGTATTCATTTTTTTTTTTTGCAGAAAACTCAACAATGATTTTAAATAATAAAACATGGTAGTTCACATAGGTGGTAAGACTCACAGGTAGAACTTTAACCCAGTTCTTCCGACTTTAGAGTCAGGGCTCATTCTAATCCAAAGAATGCAGTTCTGAAAAGGAGTACAGACAAGAGTAAGACAAATGAAGAGCAAGGTTGACTGGTGACCATGTTGTTATAACTACTTTCTGGATCTCACTCACTGACTCTTCTCTCTATCCCTAGAAAATACAGCTACATGCACCTAATTAGGCCCAGCTAGAGCCATCTGGTGGCAGTCAAAAGCATCACTATGGGCTATGATACGTTTTGAGTTAAGTCTGGACACATATGCAGTAGATTGTTCTTTGGGATTCCTAGGAACTAAAGAATGTGCATATTAAAAAAAAAAGAATCAATGATGCAAATTATTTGTATTGATAATATATGTGTGTATTCAACAATACCTTTGCATACCATTATTAGCCTCCGTGAGGACATATGTGTGATTTAATCAAGGATGACTTAGTCAATAAAAGGCTGTAGATACATCCCAAGATCATATAAACCATCGATATAAGCTTTGGGAGGGGCTAGGAGCTTCAGGGAGAAAAAAAAAAGGACCTTTGGGGGAAGTAAATAAGTTAAGAAAATGGATACCTGAGAAAAGGATTTGGGTTTCTGAACTATGGATTAAGTATAGATGGTAGACTGCACCTAAGGAGAACAAGTAAAATTAATTTACCTGGAGTTTCACAAATATGATTAAGACTATCTTTCCAGATAATGTTCAAATTTGATGAAATGTTCTCATGTTGCTTTTTCAAAAGGCTCTTAAAAAAAAAAGTACAATGTGGTAAGTGTAAGAAAACTGTCTTATGAACCCTTGATAGAGAGGGAGACCAGCCCTATTATTTTACTGGTGTAAGGAATTCCCTGGTGAGGAAATTCCCTCTACCGATGCATGTTGGCACCTTCTCTGCAACTTAAAATCTTAGAGTTGCCTGGAAGGCAGGGGAGGGGCACTGAGAGGTTATGTAACTTGCCCTGGATCACATAGCCAGTATGCATCAGAGGCAGGACTGGAACACAGGTCCTCCTGCCGCAAAGCCAAATCTCTATCTGCTACAGGATAGACCTTGTTTAAAGCAGGCTGGGAAGAGCTACCAAAAATCTAAGCTATATTCACTCTCTACTCTTAGCATACACAAACAAAAGTCTTTTTTGAAAGATTTCTCAAAACATGTCGGTTTCATAATCCATTTTCTCCCCATAAGATTGGAATGGAAGGATGTGGAACAGAAACATGTGCCACCCTTGCCTGTTATTTGGGAGACTGCAAACTCTACAGATTATCCACAGCTCGCACTTACGGCCACCTGGAATTCAGAGAAGACTCAAAACAAGTCTTTCTACAGACTGGACTAGAAGGAAAACCCAGTGTTTTGCTTATTCTTGATACACATCTAACTCAGGTAAGCAGCTTTTGTTATGGATCATTGTTTTAAAGACTGATGTGTAAAATATCTGTTTTGCAAAAAAGTGACAATTCTATAAAAACTGTTTTTGCTTCCTTAGCATTTAAATTCATTAGAGATATTTTGTAAGGCAATCTGAGTCATTTGATTCAATTCCCTAATGAAAGTAGAATGCCTGATTGATGCTGTATTTCCTTAGTTTTCCTAAATGACATCTATCTTAAGTTAAAAAACTTCATTTTAGTTTGCTTATTGCCTAAACCTATTTCCAGTAGTAAATTAAACATTTGAAGGAATGAATTTTTTTTTAATTTGTGTAACATTTTTATTTAAAGTCTTGAGTTCCAAATTCTATCCCTCTCTTCCCTCCCCTCCCCGAGACTGTAAGCAATCAGATATAGGTTATACATGTGCAATTATGTAAACATTTCCATATTAGTCATTTTGTACAAGATTTGAATAAAAGGAAAAAAATGAAAGAAAGTAAACAATAGCATGTTTCAGTCTGTATTCAATCAATATCAGTTCTTTCTCTGGAGGCAGATGGTATGTTTCTTCATTAGTCCTTTGAGATTGTCTTGGATCATTGTACTGCTGAGAATAACTAAGTCATTCACAATTCTTCATCAAGAATATTGCTGTTACTGTGTACAGCATTCTCCTGGTTCTGTTCACTTCAGTTTGCATCAGTTAACATCTTTCCAGGTTTTTCTGAAATCATCCTACTTGTCATTTCTTATAGCACAATAATAGTCTGTTACAATCATATGCCACAGCTTATTTAGCCATTCCCCGATTGATAGGCATCCCTTTGATTTCCAATTCTTAGCCACCACAAAAAGAGCTGATATAAATATTTTTGTACAAATAGGTCCTTTTCCCTTTTTCGGATATCTTTGGGTTATAGACCTTGGTAGTGGTATTGATGGATCAAAGGGTATGCACAATTTTATAGCCCTTTGGGCATAGTTCCAAATTGCTCTCCAAAGCGGTTGGATCAGTTCACAACTCCACCAACAGTACATTAGTACCCCAGTTTTCTCACATCCCCTCCAACATCCAACATTTTCCTTTTTTTGTCATATTAGGCACTCTGATGGGTATGAGGTGGTACCTCAGAATTGTTTTAATTTTTTTAATTTAATTGGATTCTATTGTGCCTCACTCCAGAACAAGGGCAATTCCTGCAATTGACAGAGAAGATGCTGCCCCATAGTAGGGCTCTTCCACCAACACCTCCATGATTATTTAGCCCACCACTGATTTTTACCCTTCCCCAGTTGCCTTCTTTTCTCCATTTGCCTCAGAGTCTTCTCCTTGGGTCCATGCCCTCTAACTTTCCCAGGTGTCAGTTGTCCTCAGGAGTTCCAACTCCATGCCCCACCCCAACACCACTTCCTACATCCAGGACAAGTGGTCTTTTCAAGCACTAGATTCCCCAAACCACACCCAGCACAAGGTCCTCATCATTCAGAGAATATCTCTCTTCACCCATAGGAGCATACAAGCAAGGCCTTCCTCTTTTCAATCCTTCCCCCCTCCTCTGAAACTGCTCCCCTGTAGGCTTTTCTCTTCTTGAGACCACAGGGTTCACCTTCCTTGCCCTTGATTTTCCCCAGGAACATCACACACTCTGCTCTTTATCATTCATCATCCCATTTTATAAGGTAGACCCCCCAAAAAAACCCTATTGATTCACTTTTAGGCAAGGTATCACCCTGTTCTATCTGTGTTACCCCAGGTCTGCATCGTCACTGTTACCTCCACTTGATTTCTGCCTTTATCCTTGTATCTTCGTGGACATTTGTTCCTTATTGGTCTCTCTCTGTTATCAATTGTTGTTGCTGTTCTTCTTTGGCTGCTATCTTCATTTATTCCTCCTGCATTTCTCTTATCTGAGCTGTTGAAAAAGCAAATAATCTCTTCAGTTCTGGTTTTCTTTCCAAGAATGTTCCAGATGTCTCTATTATTGAATGTCCATCTTTTTTTCATTTACGCTTAAGGCTCAGATTCACAGGATAGATTCAGCCTGGGCTGTACCTTGAGCTTCATTGCTTTTCAGAACATGTAATTCCATTTCATCCTGCATTTTCTGGTGGATATTGAATAATCTTGTATTATTTGAATTGCCTTTCCTTCATATTTGAAGGTCCATCTCCTGATAATTTGCAGAATTTAATTTTTTCTAAACTGAATTATTAAATTTAACCACTATGTGTCTTGTAGTTTGAAGGCTTGGGTTGTTTTTTGTTGTATTTTTTTCTTCTGGAGGCAATTCATGAATACTTCAATTGGTATATCTCATTTTCTATGTTCAGAAGTTCTGGACAGTTTTCTTATATTATTTCCTGCAGTATGGTGTTAACAGCTTTTTGTTGTCCTGTGCTTCTGGGAAACCTATAATCTTTAAGTTGTCCCTACACATCATATTTTTTAGATAAGTATGTTTTGCTTATAAAATGAGCATATTTTCTTTCAATATTATTGCCTTTTGATTCTCTTCTTCTAGATTGTCTTTCACTTCTATGTATTAACATTCCCAATCTGTTGTTCTCTCTCTGGTTTCTTTGCTAAGACTTGCCATTGTAGAATCTAGATTTTTTGTTCTGCCTATTATTTTTGCTGTGCAGGCCATAAATTCTGTTCTTTTATTTCTCATTTCTCTTTTAAACTATTCAAGAAGAGCATGTGATGGTTTCATGTTCTCCTCCACAGGGTCCTCCATCACATCAAGTGTTGGATCATTTCCCTTTTTTTTGCAGTATTTGTACAGAAACACCTAAACACATTTACTAGATCTGGAGACCATATTTTCTCCTGCTATTATTGTTTTCCTTATTGTTTTATTTGCTTACTTTTGAGGCCTTTTGAGTTTTCTTCTTGCTGAGCTCTTTGGTAATTACAGTCTTTCTTTTTCTTATTTTCCCCTACTATTCACTTTCTGATCCCCTGACCCGGTAGTTTTCTGATCTGGTAGTTTGGGGACTGGGTCCCAAAGCCTCTCAACCTCCTCACATTCTGGGCAATTTTTTTTTTCTTAAAAATACTATTTATTTATTTATTTATTTATTTTTAGTTTTCAACATTCACTTCTATAATATTTTGAGTTTTAAATTTTCTCCCCCTCCTGCTTTCCCCTCCCCAAGATGGTATGCTGTCCAATATAGGCTATACATACATAATCATACTGAACCTATTTCCATATTAGTCATGTTGTAAAGAAGAATTAGAACCAACGGGGAAAACCACAAGAAAGAAGAAACCAGAGAGAGAATAGTATTATTTGATCTGCATTCAGACTCCATAGTTCTTTCTCTGGCATTTTCTATCATGAGTCTTTTGGAATTGTCTTAAATCCTTGTATTGCTGAGAAAAGCTAAGTCTATTAAAGTTAGTCATTGCACAATGTTGCTATTACTGTGTACAATGTTCTCCTGGTGCTGCTCACTTCACTCAGCATTAGTTCATGTAAGTCTTTCCAGGTTTTTCCAAACTCAGCTCATCATTTCTTATGGAACAATAGTATTCCATTACATTCATATACCACAACTTGTTCAGCCATTCCCCAGTTGATTAGCATACCCTCAATTTCCAATTCTTTGCCACCACAAAAAGAGCTGCTATAAATATTTTTGTACATGTGGGTCCTTTTCCTGTTTTTATGAGCTTTGGGGGATATAGCTCTAGAAATGATATTGCTGGGTCAAAGGGTATGCACATTTTTATAGCCCTTTGGGTGTAGTTCCAAATCGTTCTCCAGAATGGTTGGATCATTTCATAACTCCACCAACAGTACAATAATGTTCCAATTTTCCCACATCTTCTCCAACATTTATCATTTTCCTGTTTTGTCATGTTAGCCAATCTAATAGGTGTGATGTGGTACCTCAGAGTTATTTTAATTTGCATTTGTCTAATCAATAGTGATTTACAGCATTTTTTTTTCATATAACTATAGATTGTGCTGGGCAATTTATGTTTTATCAATTTAGGTCTCTTCTTCAGGTGACTTTTGGGAGGACAGAATTGGCTCCAGCTGGATGCTGGACTTCTTTCCCTCAGGCTTAGTGGAGTGCTGCATAGCCTCCCATACATACACAGTGTCCTGTCCCACTCCCTGTATTCTTACTTCTTTGGTCCAGCACCAGCAGTTCAGAGATGTGCCTGGTGATGTGGGGTTGATGTCTCTGTAGTTTGGGTTTCCAAGGTTCTACGAGGAGGGGTTTGAGACATGGTGTTGAACTCTATTTCAGTCCCTATGCCCTACTCCTTTCCCTGTGTTCCTGGCTCTCTTGCAGAGATCTTTTATAGCACAGACCACAGCTCTGCAATGTACTGGTGATGTGGCCCTAGTAAGTTTCTGACCTTGGAATGACTATCTTTCATTACCTAAACAAGCTTCCATAGCCCAGAAGCAGGATCTCTAAGGCACTGGAAAGAAGGAAGGGGAATGGAGTGTTGGGTTGGGTTGGGGTTTGGGGGGGTGTTTTGATAGCCTATGTTCCAGTTGCTAGTATACCCCCGCTACTGGCAGTGCAAGAGTTGGGAGAGGAGTAGTAAGTGAGCTCAAGGTGAATGTTAGTTCATGGATGTCAGTTTATTTTTCATGGAGCTTTTGGGGGGGGGGTTTCTTTTGGATTCTGAGTTTCCTGAATTCTAGAGACAGATTAAGTTTCTTTATTTTTGTGCATAATTTCTGTTTGGAGAGGTTTGAGGGATTGACGGGATCAGAGAAAATGTCTAGTCTTTCATTCTCTTGATCACATTACCTGTTTGGCTGATTTGAATTATGAATAGACTATAATGCTTTACCACCATCAGTTTGCCTACTCACTATAGCTCTGACAATTTTTTGTGCCTTAGATTAGAGTATTGAGTCATTTCTGATTTTAAAAATATATGTGTTTTTACCCAGGGAGTCTGTTTTAGAAGATTTGAACTCCATTCTCAATTCAGGAGTTATGCCTGATGTATTTGAAAATGAAGAGTTGGATAATATAGCAGCAGGTCTCAAAAATCTTGCTGAAGAAGAAGGTTGTGGTGATAGCCGACAAGCTCTGCTTCTATTCTTCCAAAAGGTATTGTTTACATGAATTTATTTTTTATCAGACTATGAAATCAAATTAAGGATGTATATTTGAGACCATATCCATGTTTCCATATATAATTTATCACTTCATGCTTTTGTCCTTAAAATGAGCTTATTAAGTCAGATCAATTATGTTATTATTTTAAGGTGATCAAAAGTCTTTTATACCACATAACCTTTTGGCTTCTTGACATCCTCGTGAATTTAGCATCCAGAGATGATATATCATCCTTGGTGATATATGTGATTTTTGCTAGATTATTTCACACTCTAATATTATTTGATTTTTACATGACGACTTTCTACTCAAAACATCGCAGTATCTATCATGTGATTTTCCCATTAAACAGCTTTCAATAATTCCCTTTTGCTCCCATATCAAGATTAAACTCTTTTGTTTGGCTTTCTGAGACTCATCACAATCTGACCCAACCCTGCTTGTTCAACCCTATTCCCTACCACTCTCCAACTCCACCATTATGTCTTCTTTTTGTTCTTGGCACACACCATGGTCATTACCTCTCTGCCTTTGCTCATACTGATTCCCTGTCTGGAATGCATTCCTTCTTCTGCTCTGCTTACCCTAATTCTATTCATACTTCAAGGCCCAACCCAAGGTCTACCTCCTTCAAGGAGTTTTTTCTGACTATTTTCATCTCTCTTATTGATGCCACCTGGTATTTTGTGGTTAGGCTCGTAGCCTACCAGCACCACCAGATAAAACATCAATAGTAAGAAGCAATGGTTTCTCTCCACCATGATGCAGTAATAAATACTTGAAGTCATTAACTTATTAATTACAGAACACCCTCATGCTGGTAAAGCTAACACCACAGAATGCCTTTTCCTAGTAGATGATGTATTTCCTCAGCAATGATCACTTTTTACGACAGAAAAATTCAGGAGAAACTGGAAGTCTTAAAAGTTATACTTCATTTTTTGAAGTAGATACACAGATGATTTGGATTCTGGTCCTATGCCTTCTGCTAATAAGCAGTTTAAGCTTAGGCATGTCACTTTACTTATATGGGATTCAGTTTACTCATCTGTAAAACAGGTACATATCTGAATGTGAAGTTACTAGACTGGTCCAGCTTTAAGAGGATTCCACCTTTTGTTGGATATTAGTAAAAATACAAGGCTCACTAAGGGCTTAAATATGATATTACTTTATTTCTGTGAAATCCTGAGACCCTATTTTAGAAACCAGATACATCCATAAAAATGCAAAAGAAACAAAATACAACCATGAACAGAAGAGTAACAAAAACACCATCATATCAAAGTGCCACACCACATAGATACTTGCTATTCTGATTATTTCAAATGTGTTACTCTCTTTGGTTGCATAATAAGCTTGTTGAAGACAAATCCCTTATACTTACTCCTTTTATATCTCATACAGTCCATGGAATAGTGTTAGGCATAGAGTAGGCCTTTTATTAAAATATTTAATAGCTGGTTGATTGAACATGTAACAATATTTTCCACACTACAGGAGAAATGACTGGTTTTTTTATTTGAGAAATAAAGATATAGCTAATAAAATGTCTGAGAATGGGATTAGGATAGAGTATACCTAATAAAGGTTGATAAAAAATTATTTCCTTGGACTTCCAGGAGAAGAACCAGGATGACGGAGTAGAAAAAGCCAAGCTCTCCCGACATTCCCCTCCAAACAACTTTAAAAAATGCTTCAAATCAAATTCTGGACTGGCAGAGCCAACAAAACGTCCAAGTTAGATGTTCTTTCAGCCCAAGACAATTTAGAAGGTTGGATAGAGAGATCTGTGACGGAGGGATAGAAGATGGCACCAGAGCTCACATGAATGAAATGCCAGTGGTGAGAATAGATGGTGGTAACAGACGTGACATCAGCTTTGGGAATTCTCAAGCCAGAGACAGTAAAGGAATCTGGCAACTGATCATAATGAAGTTACAAGGGACTCCTATGCTAACCCTGGACACAGGATTTGCTGTTCGGCAAATCCATTGCCTATAACCTACTTCTGGGTCATAGTTCAAGAGCTGAGATGGAGAAAATTATCTCACATAAAAGAGGCATACAAGGAAAACTTTCTACAGTGAAAGGGAAAATGGTGGGGTTTGTGGTAGACAATGCTTGAACTTCACTTACATCTAAATTGATTCAAAGAGCATAAAAAAATTCTATACATACGTACTTGTGTATACAATCAACTGGTGATAGAAATCTATCTTACTCAACAAAGAAGTAGTGGGAGAAGGAGATAAGAGAAGGGGTGAGTGATAAAAGATAAAAGAAGGCAATCAGAAGCAAAATGAACTTTAGAGAAGGGATAGCATAAAAAGAGAGACAGAAGAATAAACAGGAGAAAGTCGAATAAAGGGAAGTATACAGTTAGCAGTCATAACTGTGAATGTGAATGGGATGAACTTACACATAAAATGGAAGCAGATAGCAGAAAAATTAGAAAGCAGAATCCAATAGACACACAGAGTTAAAATAAGGGACTGAAGCAGAATCTATTATGCATTAGCTGAGATTAAAAAGAAAAGGGGTAGCAATCACGATCTCAGACAAAGCAAAGGTAAAAATACATTTAAAAGAAATAAGCAGGGAAACTACATTTTGCTAAAAGGCACCATGGACAATAAAGTAATATCAATACTAAACATTTATACACCAAAAAGTATAGCATCCAAATTCTTAAAGGAAGAGTTTAATTATAGGAGGAAATAGACAGTAAAACTCTACTAGCAGAGGACCTCTACTTTCCCTTCTTAGAGCTAGATAAATCTAACCACAAAATAAATAAGAAATAAATTAAGAAGATGAATACAATCTTAGAAAAGTTACATATCTGGAGAAAACTGAATGGGAATAGAAAGGAGTAAGCCTTGTTCTCAGCTGTTCATGGCAACTTCACGTGTTCACCGTGGCAACATTCACCATGTATTTGTGCATAAAACTCTCACAACCAAATGCAGAAAAACAGAAATGTTAAATGCACCCTTTTCAGATCATAATACAGTAAAAATTACATTCAATAAAGGGTTGTGGAAGCATGGATTAAAAATTAATTGGAAATTAAATAATCTAATCCTAAAGGATGAGTGAGTCAAAGAAGAAATCATAGAAGCAATCAACAGTTTCATTAAAGAGAATGACAGCAATAAGACCACATTCCAAAATTTATGAGATGCAGCCAAAGCAATATTTAGAGGAAAATTTATATCTCTAAATGCATATATCAATAAAAGAGAGAAAGAACAGATCAATGAATTGGGCATGCAACTTTTTTTTAAAAGCTAAAAAAAGAAGGTAGGACGGGGTGCCTCAGGTGTGGTGGGCTCTCCTGTACTGAGGGTCTTCAAGCAAAGGCTAGATTGTGACTTGATGAGTAAGTTACAGAGGGGGGCCCTCATCCAGGTGCAGGTTGGGTGAGGTGTCCACTTCCAGCTCTGAAATTCTGTAGTTTGGTGGTAGCCTTTCAGCTTTACAACAGTGAAACAACAAAATTAATTGTCTCCTATTTGAAAATTATATCCCTTGAAAGATAGAATTGAAACAAATTTTTAGTATAACATTTTCTCATCATGTAACCAACTTAATTCATCCTTTTCCATTCCTATTCAGAGAATTGCAAAAATCTTCATATTTTTATGACTGTAAGTCCTGCAGGGCCCAATTTCCGCCGAAATTGTCGTGCGTACCCAGCCTTGATTACTTGCAGCACAGTCGATTGGTATGAGAAGTGGCCTGAAGAAGCTCTTTTTACTGTAGCTGTGACTCATTTAAAGCAAAAACATGGCCTGGACACCCAAGAGGTAACGCTTAAAGAAAAAACTGAAAATGTGTTTTTAAACCCTCTCAAAACAATATCAAAGTACAAATGTTTATTTGTTGGTAGCATCTGAGCACATTTGTAGATCCTGGGTGCAGAGCAGTTTATTGTCAACCATACCCCAACACGTCAATATCCATTTCTTCAGATTTATCCTCCTACCCACATTCTACCTCCACCTCCAGGGATAGAAGATAGTGATCCCAGGTATAAATAAAAGCCGCCAGGGAAGGGAGGGGGTCTTTCCCCCCTTCCCTTGTTGTGCCTTTCTGGATAGCCTCAAGGATCAGGCTGTTGTTATTTTCTATGTTATACTCTTTTGTCAATGACTATTAAGATATCCAAACAGATTAGAGGCAAGACAGGATTGTAAAATGATGAGAGTGTCACAAGCTACCCATGCAAATAGGCTTACTTTGTTCATACCACACAATGGGTAGGCAAGAAACTAGAATGGGAAGAGGGACAGCCCACCAAGTGACAGCTAAAGGAAGAGAGGAAGAGTTAAGGTAATTCAGCAACAGCCGGAGACCCTTACAGATGTACAGGGGTGCCATCTCACTTGGGCATGACACAGAACCTGGGGAACCAATAAGAGAACTATTCCCTCAAGTATGCAAGCACAGATGGACCAAGAATAGAGACTGGAGGGGAATGAAAAGATAGTACAGACATCACAGGCTAACACAGAAGAACATTGGTCACATCCAAAGAGGGATCTAGGACCAAGGATAAAACAAGACTTACCTCCCAACTTGGACAAAGCAGGACTCCATCCTGTACCTGTATTTGCCTATCTTTATTGGGTATGTGCCATGTGGAAGTCCTTCAATGCCTCATTGTGACTGAGAGATAGCTCTGGGTTCCCAAAGACTTTGCCAGCAAAGTATTTCCTCTGATAAAATTCAAGAGATTTCCAAGACTGGTCCAGGGATGGACTGTAGGTCTCTTGTCCAAGGACCAACCTAGCTAAATAGAAAAAAAAAATCTCATCACTAATTTGGCCATCAGATGATGACTTGTTTTTCGACTATGACAACTCATGAAGACTATCTAACTTGTAAAGTAGTCACAATTTAGAGGGAGTAGCCACATCTATAGAAGCCAGAAGTTTTCCCCAATCCTTAAATTTCTAAGTATGGAATTGATGCCTTTACAATTTCTTCTGCCTGTAGTCATTTTTTTGCGTTGGCCTGGGAATTACTACTGGGATGAAACCTAGGAGGTAAGGAGAGGATTACATCCCTGTAGCTACCCTCAAAGAGAACTCCTAAATTCTTAGGTGATATCAATTGAAGAGAAAGGAAAAGCTGTGATTGACATCATTCTTTGCTGTGGTTTTTCCCTCTTTCTCATTGCTCCCTCCCCCACCTCCACCACTCAATACACCAATCACCAGATTTTCTATGTATCCCATTCCCTTGGGGTATCCTAGACCAGAGTACTGATAAACTAATTTAAAGCAATTAGGAATGCCTCATATATTAAAGATTTCATGAAATGTTCTTTTTCCTCTGTTTCAGTCAGTTATTTTTTCCTAATTATTCTTTTACAGGATTTAATACCAACACTCGCCCAAACGTGTGTTCAGTTCCACCGTAGTATTGCTGATATTAATACCAAATTTCGGGAGGAAACTAAAAGACATTATTATATCACTCCAAGTAGCTATCTGCACTTCATAGATACCTTCACACACATCTTGAAATCAAGGGAAAGGAAAATGGTGATCAAAAGGTGAGAATTTAAAGTCAAAATCAAATCAGAAATACATAATACATCTTTACCATGGTACTCTCAGAGATTAAGCAAATACTGAGCCCCAATTCCCGTCATGGTGGAAAAATAGAGAAGTAGTGTTCTGTAGTGGACTTGGAATCACAGAATCACAAATTGAGAAAGGAAAGAGATCATAAGAGTCAACTATTTAACAGATAAGGACACTGTAGCCCAGAGAGGGAAAGTGATATGCCCATGGTCACATGACTAATCAGTGACATGGATGAGATGTGAAGCCAGGCCCACCAACTCCACAGCTTTCCATTTTGCTATGCTTCTGCCTCAGAAGACCTATGTTTGAAATCCTGACTTTCATAGATGTTAACCACAGGACCATGGGCAAATTTAGCCTCTCTAAACTCCAGTTTCCTAGCCAGTAAATTGAGAGTAATGAGTTGTAAGCATAGTAATTTGTAAACTGAAAAAGCCTATAAAACATAAGCTATTATTGTAAAAACTGATCTCAGAAATTCATAGAGAATGTCTCCTAAGGTGTATAGGAGTTATGATCAGTGTGCATCCATAGAGAGAGATCACCTACCTGGATTGAAATTGTAGATCCTTGGAATATTAAATGAGAAAGTGTTATACAGGTATAGATACCCTTCAAAGCTTTGCATGAGCCAAGGAAAATGTCTATCACTCACTATATGTTCACAGTATGTTTATCTATGTTCATACGTTCACACAGCAACTCTGAAGTCAAACATAACACTGTATACATATCCCCCAAAGAGAGAAAAAAAAATTTTCCATGCTTAGCACCTGGTAGATGCTTAAAACATTTTATCATTTTCAAAGCATACTCACACTCACATTGCCAAATCCTCTCATAGTCTACCTTCCCACAGTCTCTCATATACCTCCCCTTCGATCCACTGACATTGTCCCTCATCACCTCTCACCTGGACAATTACAATAGCCTTCTAACTGATCTCTCTGCCACAGATCTCTCCCCACTGCCTGACATCCTCTATTCAGGTATCAAAGTGATTTTCCTAAAGCCAAGTCAGACCATGTCACCACCTTTCTCTACAAGTTACTGGAATAGCTCCCTGTTACATCCAGGATCAAGAAAATCCCATCTGACCTTCAAAACTCTTCATAACTTGGCTATTCTTAACTTTCCAGGCCTCCCTCCACAAACTCTACAATCCAGCCCCACTGACCATGCCTTTGTACTGGGTGGCGTTACCATATGCCTGGAATGCTCTGTCCCCTCACCTCCTCTTAGCTGCTTCCTTCAGGTCGCAAGACAAACTCCATTTTCTGCAGGAGACCTTTCTTGGTCTTTCTTTTCTGCTAGCACCTTCCTCTCTCAGTTTACCTTGCATGTCTTATTTATCTATCTTGTATGTGCCTCATTATTTACACATTGTTTTTCCATTAGAAGGTAAGTTCCTTGAAGGCAGGGACTGTTTTTGCCTTTCTTTGAATCCCATAGCTTAGAGTAGTGCCTGGTATATAGCAGGTACCTAATAAATACTTGTTGACCTCACAATGTCTCTGTAAGTTAGGCAAGGACAGCTCTTATGCCCAGGAACCTGAATTTCAAAGAGGTTGCATCTTGTCAAAAATCACACAGCTACTGAGTAATGCAACCAGGATTAAAAACTACACTTTCTAATTCCTTTTCCAGTGCCATTTACACTACACCATCACCATGCTGCCTGGGGCAGGGACGCCCAGTCTTTTTGTGAAGAGGAATTGTCCACAAAAGCAATTTACTCCCTATATACCTGGGCAAGTCACTAAACATCTCTAAAACTCAATCTCTTCATCTGTAAAATGAAGATAATGATAGCTACATTTAGTGTTGAAACTAGCACAGAATAAAGGGAATTTAATGGGGACAGGGTGCTTGCTTCCTGGGAAGGTGATGTACTTTTGAGGCAGGACATGTTCTTCCAGCAGCAACCACCATCCCCAAATTTGAGGGATAAAATATGTACCCCCAGGGTCCTATTACCCTTTCCCATGGCCATCTTAGCCCCTCCAGTACCGTGGGATGGATGAAACTCTGCACTGCCACCTTCCCCCCACACGCACACACACCCATGGCTCACCTGGATTCGCTTCAGACAGAGTTTCAGTGGCTCTCCTTCATTTCAGACAAATTGTCAGAAGGAGGAGGAGGAGGAGGAGGAGAACAAGAAGAACAAGAACAAGAAGAAATAATCTTCTGATAATACCAGTTGTTATTAGGATCACTCCTTACCCTACCCATTGGAATGTAATTCTAATATTTCTCAGCTCTGGCATCCCTCATCAAAGCCAAGCAACACTCTGAGAAGAGTGCTAGACTTATAATCAAGAATACTGAAGATTGAATCCTGCCTCAAACATTTACCAGTTACATGACTCTGGATAAGTCACTTCATCTGTGTTAGCTTCTGTTTCCTCAGCTATATAATGAGAAGGGTAAACTCAGTAGCCTCTAAGGTCCCTTACAGATGTAAATGTATGAGCCAATGTCCTTATTGATTTGATTACTTCTCTGGGACTAAAGTTAATTTCCAAACTCCTGTGTCCAGTATACCATATGATATAGCATTTTACAATATTCTGTCATGTACTATTGATTCATGTATGTTAATCCCATCTAACCAATTAAAATGCATGTTTCATTATGGTAGAAATCTTATCTTAACACTTCTTGTATCTCCCACAATGCCTCACATTGTAGCAAGCAATTGACAAAGGTTCCATTTGGCTTAAGCCAACAGAGAACAGTTCTAATTTAGGGATTTTAAGCATCACTAAATCAAATGGGGATTTCATTTTGTAAGATAGAAGCCTCCTAGGCATCCCTGAAATTGAAGCTCATCCTCTCAGTAACCACAAACCTCCTGTATCTAATGACGTGCAATTGTACATTTTGCACTTGTTAATATTTTTCTTTCTATATATCATGATATCCTATCTCCCCTGGAGATTATGAACTCCTCACAGGCAGGAGCCATGTCTTCTGTTTCCATGGAAACACCCCCTGAGCTTGTACTACTATGCGGGGTACACAGTGGGGACTTGAGAAATTCTGGTGACTGATAGTCATCATCTTCAAATTCTGGAGTGTTTCTAAGCTGTATTCCTGATGTAAATGGTTTAAAAATTCAGTGCTGTTTTCTTCCAGTAAATAGGTCAGATAAAAGGATACACAAAAACCCCACTTAACAGATGTTTGATATTTGCTTTTTTCAGGGAACGTTTTAATAATGGCCTCTCAAAGATTCTGGAAGCATCAACACAAATTTCGAAAATGCATGAAGAGCTTCTCATCCTCGGTCCTCAAATAGAACAAAAAACTAAGGTATACTTGGTTGGAAATAGATGTTAATTATGGGTTTCCTGCATCTTTAAGACATAAGTCAGGAGTTTGTTTTGGTAGCTTGAGATCTTTATATTATTATAAAATCAATTCCTATCATTGTTCTTCACATGTATTATCTGAAGGAAATTTTGCTCTGTATTAATCTTCTCAAGACACAAATGCATCCTGGTTGCTTTGATAAATTTGCTAACTCCTGGAATATTGAAAACTTTGATTTGTTTCAGATGGATTCTCAGAAAAAATATGTAGTTTTAGTTTCTTTTTCTTTAGGAAACAGAGATCCTCATGGAAAAATTACGGAGAGACTCACAAATTGTGCAGCAAGTACAGATCCTTGTAAAAGGGGATGAAGAACTGATGGTTAAGGAAATGCAAATTGTAGAAGAGTATTCTGAGGTAGTATTGAATTCCATCAAAATAATTCCACACACCCATAATGTCCTACATACTGAGTTAAACAGAGTTGGATTCTGCCTCTCAGAACATGAGTTTTACAAACATGTAACACTGGCCAGTTCAGTTAACCTCAAGAAAATGAAGTGGCTGGACTAAATGTTCTCCGAGATCTCATCTAACTCTGGAATTCATCATCATCATCATTATTAAAGTTAAATTTATTATGTAATTTAGAAGTAAAGTAAGTTGTAAATACATATTAGAAACTTGCAGCTTTTCATGCATAACTCTCTTTTCCTGTTTTATTATACATATGAAAATACCTATTTTATCTGGTGTTTAAGTTCAGAATAAAAATAATTTAAAAAAGAAAAAGTAGAGTCTATCCTTCCAGGTTCACCTTAATTGCTCCCTTGCACCAGGAATTATAAAAATGTATAAAACATATAAAAGTATTCCTCACAATATATGTATCAGGTGGAGTAGGAGAAGTATTTTTATTCCCATTTCACAGATAGGTATACTAAAGTTCAGAGAAGTTAAATGATATGACATATAGCTCATGTGACCCTTTCAGATCCAGGATTTGCACTTAAGGATATTGATCCTAGGGGGAGAAAAATTTAAGTGGTCAAGGGGAGAGGTGTTAGAGGAGTACCGTTTCTTAAAGTCTTTTTTTACACCAAGCATTTCTCATTTATATCTTGCCTCTCCTACTATTCAAAAATAAAGACAGTTAAAACCAGCCTTGAGATTGTCTGTTGATATCACCATTTGTAGTCTCTTCCACCCTTATTGTGCACAACTTAGCACTACTACAATAATGTAAGTGTCTTGCATGTAGGAAGGCTTAGCAAACATTTGTTAAATTAATGAGTAATCACAAAGGTAGAACTATTTAAACTTTAAACATTTCTAGAAAGATTTTCCTCAAAAAGTGTGGCAGGGTTAACCTTCAGTTATTAGGAAACTTTGCTTCTCTAGGAAAACTCATTGTCCAACTTTGAGCTAGTAAATGTTAAAATTTTTCATTTATTTCATGAGAACTACTGATGTTTTCTGCTCTCTAATTTTGTGCTTTCAATGGATAGAAATTTTATCTTTAGCCTTCTCCCTGTATCTCTTCTCTCCCCTTTTGTTTCTTTCTGTCCTATCTCTTTCTTTTCCCTCTTTTTTTCTGCCTTTCTCCCTTTTTTCTTTGCCCTTCTCATTCTCTCCATTATCTGCATATATTGTATATCTGTAATACACTACTTAAAATAATAAAGTTATAATGCAAATAAATACAACTAATGATATTCTGTGTTCAGTCAATGAGTATTCTTGTTTGCCATTTATTAACTACAACTAATAGTCACATTTTTGGTGTTGCATCTTTACCGTAGAAAACACAAGAAGAGCTAAGTAATGTGATACCAGCTTTTGAAGAGGCAATTATAGCTCTGAATGCCCTAGATAAAAGTGCCATATCTGAATTAAGGTAATTTTCCAAGTTCGTTATTTACTTTCTAAATTCACTATTTAATTCTTTTAAGTATTCATTGATAGCCCTAAAATAATGACCTTTATGAGTTAATATTATTCCAGTTTTCCTCCTACCCCTGTATGACTCACCATTTTTCTAAGTTTCTTTAAATCAAAAAAGCTAACAATTACATGTAAATGAGCATTTTAAAATATGATGGTGTATTCAGTTTTAAATGAATATATTTAGATTTATGTTCCCAAATGGATATAAGGTAGTTGCAGACAGAGACTGTCTCATTTTGTTTTTAAAAATGAGTACCTAATGAGTGCCCTAGTGCCTAACAGTGCCCAGCACATAGAGGCACTTAATCAATGCTTATTGATGGACTGATTGGACACCAGACTCTCAATCAATACACAAATATTTAAGCAAGCCAGGTTTCAAACAAATTCCCAAGCCCAGTCACTTCAAATCAGCACCTAATGCACCAGATGACAGAGTAATTAAACTTTCAAGTAGATGCCCCTATCCTACTAAAAGCCTTCTGATATAATGAGAAAGCCTAGTGGAAAATTCTTTAAATGACCCAAAGTTTCACATGGAAACATGTTTTTTAATACCACATTCTACCAGTTTTGCTCTACGGAAACAAAACAGAACCTAACAGTGTCTGAGGAATTTGAAATGAATATCACACAGAGGGCAATGCAGGGACTCACAGTAGATGGGAGAAGGCTGCAACCTATAACCAAAGAAGAACTTTAAATAATAGGAATAAAAAATATCATCAAGGAAATGTATGATAGGAATAGAAGATGGGGTGATCATATAGTGAGACAAAGGGATGGCAGGTGGACAGCCACTGGTCCCCTTCAGATTTCTGGAGAAATCTACAAAGATCTCTAGCACATTAGGTGGATGCCTATGGCAAAGGTATGGGAGGCTATGGACAAGAGTCATAGAGGATGGGCAGCCACAGATGGACAGCATTCCACATAATTGGAGGGATGTTCCAAAAGGAGGAAATCTGTGATTCGTTTGAGTATTAGAGTATTGGAATGTATGTCATGGTGCTCAGTAGAATGAGAGCTCCTTAAACACAAGAGCTGTGTTATTTTCATCTTTTGTAGCCTCAGACTCCAGCATGCTTGTCATAAAGCAGACATTGAATGTTTTTTGACTTGAGTTGTTGGCTCTGTTACAGAGTGTATACACATCCACCCTATCTCGTCCTATCATGAATGCAGTCTGTGTCCTTCTAGAAAAGAAACCTAACTGGGCAACTGCAAAACTACTCCTTGCAGATCCTGGATTCCTCAAAAAATTGACTAACCTGGACAAGGACAGTATACCTGAAAAGGTAAGGAAGGAATTCAAGAGCTACATAAACAGCATAGTTCAAAGCATACATTTGGCTTAGAAGGGAAAGGTACACGTATCATTGATGTAAATAAAGGTATAGGCTCTACCACATGTGGCCTTCTGGGTCCTTGAGCGCAGGCTTTTGCTTGAGTCCAAGTTTTACAGAACAAATCCTTTTATTAAGGGGATTTGTTCTGTGTAGTTTGGATTCAGTTAAAAGGCCATGCTTGAGGACCTAGAGGGCCACAGGTGGCTTCGAGGCCGCAAGTTCCCCACCCCTGGGTAACCAAGAAAGTTCTGTGTTCAAACTAGCTAATGGTGTAGGATTTAGAGCAGGAAGGGATCTTAGGTCCAATCCTTTCATTTTACAAATGAGGAAACTGAGAGGTCAAGTGATTTTCCCAAGGTCACATCATTGAATTGCAATGCTAGGATTTGAACCCAGGTACTCTGACTCCAAAAGAAGGTACCTGGGAGGCCAGTCAGTACAATCTCCTCATTTTGTAGGTAAAGAAACTGAGGCACAGGAAGTTTAAATGACTTTCCCAGGGTCACACAGCTAGTAAATATGTGAGGTGGGATTTGAACCCAGGTCATCTTGACTTCAAATTCAGTCCACTGAACCACACTGTATTCCCTAAATCATGCTGCCTCTTGAAAGTTCTGAACCAATCAATTCCTCTAACATAAATCCAGGAAAAAAAATTCATTGAGGCTTTTAGGATCTACTTAAATGATAAAAGAAAATAAAGTTAGACTGGTAAGCTTTCAGTAGGGGCAAGATAGACTTGGTCTATGGCCCAACTTTGGAAAAATTTAGAATGATGGGGAGATTCACAAATGAAAATGTAAGTAGAGGTCAGAGATGTGCTCAGTGGATGGGGAAATGCCCTAGAATGGAGGAATTGAAAGGGATATTTACAGGGCTTCCTTTAAAAGAGAAGGTGGACTCACGTAGATCATCAGCATTTCTATATATTACCAACAAAGCCCAACAGCAAGAGATAGAAAGAGAAATTCCATTTAAACTTACTGTAGACATTATACAATATTTAGGAGTCTACCTACCAAAACAAACCCAGGAACTATATGAACACAATTACGAAAAACTTTTCGCACAAATAAAGTCATATCTAAATAATTGGAAAAACATCAGTTACTCATGGGTAGGCCTAGCTGACATAATAAAAATGACAATTCTACCTAAGCTAATTTACTTATTCAGTGCCATAACAATCAAACTACCAAAAACTTATTTTATAAAGTTAGAAAAAATAATAAGATTCATTTGGAAGAACAAAAGGTCCAGAATATCAAGGGAACTAATGAGAAGAAATGCAAGGGAAGGTGGCCTAGCCATGCCAGATATTAAATTGTATTATAAAGTAGCAATCATCAAAACTGCTTGGTACTGGCTAAGAAATAGAGTGGTGGATCAGTGGAATAGGTTAAGTATGCAAGACACAACAGTCAATGACTTTAGTAATATATTATTTGATAAACCCAAACACCCCAGTTTCTGGGATAAGAATCCACTCTTTGACAAAAACTGCTGGGAAAATTGGAAAAGAGTATGGCAGAAACTAGGCATAGATCAAAATCTCACATCATATATCAAAATAAAGTCAAAATGGGTTCATGATTTAGATATAATGGCTGATACTGTAAGCAAACTGGGAGAACAAGGAATTGTTTACCTATCAGATTTATGGAGAACAGAAGAATTCATGACCAAACAGGAGATAGAGAACGTTATCAAAAGCAAAATGGATAACTTTGATTACATTAAATTGAAAAGTTTTTGCACAGACCAAAGCCAATGCAACCAAGATTAGAATGAAAGTAGAAAATTGGGAAAGAATTTTTACAACCAGTCTCTCTGATAAGGGCCTCATTTCTAAAATATATAGAGAATTAAGTCAAATTTATATGAATACAGGTCATTCCCCAATTGATAAATGGTCAAAGGATATAAACAGGCGGTTCTCAGATGAAGAAATTAAAGCCATCTATAGTCATATGAAAAAATGCTCTAAATTATTATTGATTAGAGAAATGCAAATCAAAACAACTCTGAAGTACCACATCACACCTATTAGATTGGCCAACATGACAAAACAGAAAAATGATAAATGTTGGAGAAGATGTGGGAAAATTGGAACACTAATGCATTGTTGGTGGAGTTGTGAAATGATCCAACAATTTTGGAGAGCAATTTGGAACTATGCCCAAAGGGCTATAAAAATGTGCATACCCTTTGACCCAGCAATAGCACTTCTAGGGCTGTATCCCAGAGAGATCATGCAAATGGGAAAAGGACCCACATGTACAAAAATATTTATAGCAGCTCTTTTTGTGGTGGCAAAGAATTGGAAATTGAGAGGATGCCCATCAATTGGGGAATGGCTGAACAAGTTGTGGTATATGAATGTAATGGAATACTATTGTGCTATAAGAAATTATGAGGAAATGAACTTCAGAAAAACTTGGAAAGATTTGTATGGTCTGATGCTGAGTGAAATGAGCAGAACCAAGAGAATGTTGTACACAGTAATAGACATATTATGCAATGACTAATATTGATAGACTTAACCCTTCTCAGCAATACAAGGATCCAAGACATCTCCAAAAGCCTCATAATGGAAAATGCTATCCACAAAGAAGAAAGAACTATGGAGTTTGAATGCAGATTGAAGCATATTCTTTGCTATTTTTTTTCTTCTGTTGTGTTTTGTTTCCTCTTTCTGGTGGTTCCTCCTATTGGTTCTAATTCTTACTTACAACATCACTAATGTGAAAATATGCTTAATAGGAGTATATATGTATAGCCTATATCAGATTGCACGCTGTCTTGGGGAGAGAGGTGGGAAGGGAGGTAGAGAAAAATTTAAAACTCAAAAGCTTATGGAAGTGATTGTTGATAATTCAAAATAAATTAATTTTTAAAAAATAAAAGAGAAGGTTGGGAGAGGCCACTAAGCAAAAGGGGACAGAGCATGAGAGGAAACCAGAAGAGATTGACCCTTGTGGAAGAGGCCAACTCTCTGGAGATAGAGAGGCTGAGGTCAGAGGCCACATCTGATGGGATCTGAGATATGGCCCAGCCTGGGAGTAGGGCAAAAAGCTCCTCAGTCTGACTCCAATTTGGCAAGGGGTGCCTTCTAATCAAACAGTGGGGACCTTTGGAGACCACACAGAATGCCTTACCACCTGGGATGTCCAGCAACTGTGATTCCCAGCAGTATCAGTACCAATAGTGAATTGGGAAACAGTCTTACCTAATAGGTAATTCCCCAAATAGGGGGAATCTGAAGCAGGACAAGGTCAAGGAAAGGAGTCAGCCTCTCAGCCCCCGCTGGAAGTCTTTGCACTCCTAGGGACCACTGCCTCTCTAATCCTCGGGACTTTGGCTTCATATATTGTCTTTTTCAAGGACAACAAGGTTGAAAGTGTGGTGGGCTGCCCTTTGAGGCAAGATGTAGGCATTCCAGGCCCTTAGGTCACGTAGAGGAATTGCCTTGTGCTCCTATGGGGGAAATAAAATGCTTTGACAAATTCTCTCTCCTCTCTCTCAAAGCACAGTCTGATCAGGGAAAAGAGTAGATGAGGCAGACTTTAGGCAGAAGAGGGCGGAGAAGAGAATCAAACCCTAAATTCCTGCTGGAGGATCAAACCTTGGAGATTCCTTTGTATCCCCATCCCAGAGACCTCTTCTTTACCTGGAAGCTTTGCCTTCCCATTCTGCTCAGACTTTCCCGGAGGGTGTTAAAGCTTGGGTCTCCCCTCCTTCTTAGCTGCTTGCCCTGATAATAATTATAATAACAGTTAGCGTTTAGATAGTATTTTAAGGTTTGCAATGTGCTTTACAAACATTACCTCATTTGATCTTCACAAAAACCCTGGGAAGTGGGTGCTACTATTATATCAATTTACATGTGGGGAAACTGAGAAGTTTCACAGAGAAGTTCAGTAATTTCCCAAGTCATGAGACTCAGTTGCCTCTAGTAATCTGGACAAGGAAAACCACCCTAACCAGGATCTCCCTGGCTTAGTTTCCCCTTTGTAGACCAGGTTACCCCTAACTTTGATTAGAAAGCAAGGATATAAGGGTTGCCCTTTGGTAGCATGGAGGAGTTCAAGCTGGTCTTCTGTGCTCACAGAAGAAACAGGGTAACCCAGCCCAAGCCTTGGGAGGGGCTGGACTATGGTCACATTTTTTTTAGCTAGAATGGGCTGGGAGAAGTTTCTCTGCATAAGAAGTGGCCTTTTGTACAAAGAAGGCAATTAATATTAATTAATTATTAATTAATTAATATGAATACTCAAATGACACACTAAAATTAATTTTCCTCATCTAAAAGCATATACAATAAATGACAAACAATGGTAACTAGTTCTATGTGCAGAGTAAAAGACATAAACAAAGATGAGGGATGGAGGGAAGAGAATAAGCATTTATAGAGTCTACTACATGCCAGGCACTGTGCTGTGCTTTATGATTATTTGGCTCATTCGATGATTTTGCCTTCTGACTTTGAAGATTAGGCCAAGAGCCTGAGGAGGCCTCTTCCCAGTCTGTATAGCTGCCTAAAGCAGGATAATTATATGCCTTATTCAACTAGAATACAATCTTCACCCTTTGTGGGGCTTAGTTTGAAGATGGGGCAACCACTTAACTCCTCACTCTCGTTCCCCATATGATCAGTTGTCAACTAAGAGAGTACCATCTCTCACATAAGTTCCCCTTCTTTCCCCACCATGCTACCACCCTGGTGCGGGTCTTCATCACTTCATGCCTGGACTATTGCAGTAGCTTCTAGTTGGTCTGCCTTCCACAAGTCTCTCCCCACTTCAATCTATCCTCCATTCAGCTGTCAAATTGATCTTCTCAAAACGCAATTCTGATCACATCACTCCCCTTTTCAGTAAACTCCCCTGGCTCCTTTTACCTCCAGGATCAATTATCAAATTCTGTTTGGCTTGTAGAGCCCTTCATAACCTGGCTCCTTCCTACCTTTACAGCCTTGTTACACCTTCCTTTCCACTCACAAACATACATACACTCTTCAAATCCAGTGACACTAGCCTCTCTGCTGCTCCTCACACACAACGGTCCATCTCCTGACTCCAGGCATTTTCACTGACTGTCTCCCATGTCTGGAACTCTTTTCCTCCTCATCTCTACTTCTTAGATTCCTAACCTCCTTCAAGTCTCAACCAAAGTCCCACCTTCTGCAAGAAATCTTTCCTAGACTCCTTAATTTTAGTGCCGTCCCTCAAGGACCACCGCGAATGTTTTCTGTCTGCATCTTGATTGTACGTAGTGTTTGCATATCGTCTCCTCGAAAACATTGTGAGCTCCTTGAGAGCAGGGATAGCCTTTATTTGTATCCTCAGTGTTTAGTCCAATGTCCAGTACATAGTACATGCTTAGTTGGCTATCAATCAGGCTAGAGAATCACTACTGTACCCAAATAGTAAGTTTGAATTTGGTTTGGTTTTTTAAGGTTACATGCCCTAGTTGTTTATTCATATGTATGGTTTTAAAAGTATCTTCTCGGCAATTATAACAAAGCAACTCTAACAGTAACAGAACATGATACAAGGCAAAGCTCTTGTTCTTTGTATAGTTTCAGCATAGCCCTATCATCTTTTTGGATTTAGGTATTTGCCAAAAGTCTACTCTAGAAGAAAGGATTAAAAAATTCCAATCAATCCCTTTTTTTCTATAACAAGAACAGTTATTATATGCATGTGCAAGAATGATATGTCAAATCCAGAATACTTTTCTCATTATTTGTCTTTATTCCCTCTAGGCATTTGCAAGACTGAAAAGATATTTAAATTTACCTGATTTCAACCCAACAAAGATTTCTCAAGTGTCTGTTGCCTGTTGCTCCATGTGCCAGTGGGTGATAGCTTTAAATAACTACCATGAAGTACGGAAGGTACGTCTTTTCATTTGTAAAGGACAAGACGTATTGCCATTATTTCTCCAATGTGAATTTATTATAGGGGTACTTGGTGTTAAGGTGCACCTAACATCACTATTTTGTTAGTTGAGGTTCAATTTTGGTAGGTTACAAGGATATACAACAAGGATATAGAAGCCCTTAGCTTCTCTACCTGTGGACTCACCTCTTCTCCACATGGAAGCTTGTCTGGTCTGCAGGGCAGGATATGAAGCTTCACATGGTCTTAAGACATCTACTAAGGTGTTTGGGCCCTGACTCCACATAGGTGGGACTTTTTATGCCCCTAGGTCACCAGGGATCAATTAAGTCCCAAGGACAGCTTTGTTAACTTTTGGGAAACACTAATCCCTATACAATAGGATAAATGATGAGAACCATAGTCCTATCACACTAGGATACTACAAGAGATCCATGATCTCAACAGTATGGCTCCTCCATCTAAGGTACTTCCTTTTCCAGGTACTTCCTTGACTCCTCCAGAGAGGGCCTACCCAGTATACTGAGGACCTTCCTCTGTATATCTCATGAATAGCAAGGAGATACTCAGGCTATCAATCTCTTATTTCTCACTAAATAGCTGTATAATATACATGCATATATGTAATATATACACACAAATATATGCATATATATGTAATATATACATATAAATATAACCATATATATTTCAGAGAAAATTTAAATATATTATTGTACTTATGATAAAATCAACAGTGAAAAATTATAATCCTTTCATTGTACTTTATATACACATTAAAATTTCTGAGCATATAGTTCCATATATGTTTATATACACCATTAAAAACATGCTCTGTTCCTTTAGCTGAAACTCTTTAGTCAATCTATTTATATTATATTATTATTATATATTATATTACTTTATATTATAATATATTATTTTATATTTATAACATTTTATATATATAATTATAACTTATAATTCTTTAAATGTTTTATTGATGCCTTTTTTTAACATTACTGTCATTTCCTAATCTCTTCTCCTTCTTCCTATAAAATCCTCCCTTGTAACAAAAAAAGGGGGGTATACTTAAAACAAACCAATGAATTGACCCTGACAATGTATGTCACATTCCGTATCTATAGCCTACCACAATTCTGACAAGAAGAGGGAGCTATGGTGCACTCTTAGTCCTCTGGATACACAGAGTCACAGAATTTTGAGAGTTGGGAGGGACCTCAGAGACCATTTCATCAAGCCCATGCCCAAAAGGAATCTCTACTACAATATACCCAGCAAGTATGGTCATCTAGTCTCTGGTTTAGGACCTCCAAGGAAGGGTGAACACACTGTTTATTGAGTCATCCCCTTCACTTCTATACGACTCTAATTGTTACAGTCTTCCTGACATCAAACCCAAATTGGCTGCTTTGCAATTCCCACCCATTATTCCTGGCTCTGCCCTCTGTCGCCAAACAGAAAAAAATTAATTCCTTTTCCATGGGAGTCCTTCAGATCTTTGAACCTGTATAAATATCAGGTCTAGCCAAGTCTTCTCTTCTTCATTCTAGACATCTTCATTTTCTTCAATCAATCCTTATATGGCATGAACTCAACCCTCTTCACTTAGGTGCCTTTGTCTATATGCTCTCCAGGCTATCACTGTACTTCTTAAACTGTTGTGCCCAGCAATATTTAGGTAAACTATAGCTACTGCACTCCTCTTCTCTATAATTCTAGTAACCCTCTGGAAAATTATGAAGTTAGTGTGGTATAACTTATGCTTGATGAAGTCATGCTGGCTCTTTTTCTAGATATTCACCAACCATATTTTGAGATATGGAGTTCTTATAGGAATTGAAATCAAGCCATGTTATAGTGTGCAGACCCTCTTGTCTTCCCTTTTTTCAAAAAAAAGTTTTTACTGGTGTCTTTTTTTCTAGTATTCACTTTTACAAGATTTTGAGTTCCAAAGTTTTCTGCCTCCCTCCTTATCATTCCCTCTTCTGAAAATGGTAGGCAGATTGACATAGTTTTTAAAACCATAAGAAAGAATGAAGTAAGTGAAAAAAAATATGCTTTGATCTGCATTCTGAGTCCATCAGTCCTTTATCTGGATATGGATAGCATTTTCCTTTGAGAATCCTTTGAACTAGTCTTGGATTATTGTGTTGCTGAGAAGAACTGAGTCATTCAGAGTTGATCATCACACAATGTTGCTGATACAATGTTTTCCTGGTTCTGCTCATTTCACTTTGCTTCAGTCTGTACGAGTCTTGCCAGGTATTTCTGAAATCTGCCTGTTCATCATTTCTTATTGCACAATAGTATTCCTTTACATTCATATAGCACAGCTTGTTCAGCCATTCCCAGTTGATGGGCATCCCCCCAGTTTCCAATATTTTGCCACAATGAAAAGGGCTGCTATAAATATTTTTGTGCATGTAGGTCCTTTCCCTTTTTTTATGATCTCTTTGGGATACAGATCTAGTAGTGGTATTGCTGTATCAAAGGGCATGCATAGTTTGGTTGCCCTTTAGAAATAGTTCCAAATTGCAATCCAGAATGGTTGTATCAGTTCACACCTCCACCTACAGTGCATTAGTGTCCCAATTTTCCCACATCCTCTCCAACATTTATCATTTTCCATTTTGGGGGCAGCTAGGTGGCACAGTGGATAGAGCACTGGCCCAGAAGTCAGGAGGACCTGAGTTCAAATCTGGCCTCAGACCAAACACTTCACACTTACTAGCTGACCCTGGGCAAGTCACTTAACCCCAATTGCCTAAAAAAAATTTTTTTAATTATCATTTTCCTTTTTTGTCACATTAGCCAATTTGGTTGGTATGAGTCGGTATCTCAGAGTTGTTTTAGTTTGCATTTCTCTAATCAAAAGTGATTGAGAACACCTCTTCATATATCTATAAACAAGATTTCTTCATTTGAAAACTGCCTGTTCATATTCTTTGACCATTATCAGTAGGAGACTGGCTCATATCTCATAAATTTGACTCTGTTCTCTACATATTTGAGAAATGAGGCTTTTGTCAGAGAGACTTGCTGTAAAGATTGTTTCCCAGTTTTCTGCTTTCCTTCTAATCTTGGTTGCATTGGCATTGTTCATGCTAAAGCTTTTCAATTTAATTTGATGAAAACTATCTATTCTACATTTCATAATGCTATCTCTTATTTGATATCATGAATTCTTCCCCTTCCATAGAGCTCACACATAGACTATTCCTTGCCCTTCTAATTTGGTTGCTTTATTGTCTATGGTACCTTTTAGCAAGATGTAGTTTCCTTTCTTCCTTGTCTCTTTTAATTAGATCTATTTTTGCTCTTACTTTGTCTTAAGATCAGGATTGCTACCCCTGCTTTTTTTTCCCCTTCAACTGAAGCATAATAGATTCTGCTCAAGCCCCCTACCTTTGTTCTGTGTGTGTCTCTCTGCTTCAAGTGTGTTTCTTGTAATCAAAATATTGTAGGATTCTGTTTTTTTATCTACTGTGGTACCTGCTTCCATTGTGTGGGAGAATTCATCCCATTCACATTCACAGTTATGATAACTACCTGTGTATTTCCCTCCATCCTATTCCTCCTATATGTCCTCCCTCTCCTTTCACCTTTTCCACCTGACCAGTGTTTTGCTTCTGTCTACCACTTCCCCTGATCTGCCCTCCCTTATGTCAGTTCCCCCCCACACACACACCCTCTTTAATCTCCTCCCTTCCTATTTCCCTGTTGGTATGATAGATTTCTATATTCAACTGACTCTGTATATTATTCTCTCTTTGAGTCAATACTGATGAGAATAAGGTTAGAGCAATGCTCATTGCCCACCCTCCTAACTTCTTCACTGTAAAAGGTCATTCTCACCTCTCCATGTAAGATAATTTGCCCCATTCTATCCCTGCCTTCCTTCTGCACCCTTTTTTAAAAAAAAATCTGTATATTTGCCTTCTCCAATATTGTAATACCTCTTCTGTTTTCCGTGATCGTTGGCAGAGAAAAATAGAAACAAACTAAGATTGAGCAGCTGCCTTTTCTCTGTTGTCAGTTTTTATTGTTGCATGTCTTGGGTATATTGTAGAGAGGATCCCTTTGGGGTATATAGGCTTTATTAGATGGTCTCTGAGGTCTCTCCCAGCTCTCAAATCTATCTATCCCTAGTGTGGTCTTCCTTTTTATTCCAGTATCACTTTCCTCCCCAATTTGTTATTTATTAATTTTTATCATTCTTTTCTTTTTAAATTTTGAGTTCCAAATTTTCTTCCTCCCACTCTTCCCCCCCCACTCAGAAGGCAAACAATATGATATCAGTTATATGTGTGAAATCATACAAAAACATTTCCATATTAGCCAAATCAGTCAGAAAGAAGGAGGGAGAGGGAAAGAGGAGAGAAAGACAGAGAGAGAGAGAGAGAGAGAGAGAGAGAGAGAGAGAGAGAGAGAGAGAGAGAGAATTATACCTCAATTTGCACTCAGTTCATCAGTTCTCTCTCTGTAATTGGGTAGTATTTTTTCCTCATAAGTCCTTTGGAATTGTCTTGAATCATTGTATTTACCAGAGTAGCCAAGTCTTTCACAGCTGATTATCATTACAACATTGCTGTTACTCAACAATGACCTATCTCCCGGTTCTTCTCACTTCACTTTGTATCAGTTCTTATAGGTCTTTCCATGTTATTCTGAAACCACTCCACTGATCATTTTTTACATCACAATAGTACTCTGTCACAATCATATGCCACTGTTGGTAAGCATTCCCTCATTTCCAATTCTTTGCCACCACAAAAAGAGGTGCTATAAATATTTTTGCACATATAGGTCATTTTCTTTGATCTCCTTGGGGTACAGACCTAGTAATATGCACAGTTTTATAGCCTTCTGTTCAAGCATAGTTCAAGATTGTTCTCCAGAATTGTTGGACCAGTCACTATTTCACCAACAGTTCATTAACATACCCATTTTCCCTCATCCCCTCCAGCATTTGTCATTTCTGGAAGATTTTTGT